ACACAAAATCAATATTTACCGGCTCTGGCTAATAGCAGCTTCATTTCAGTTCTAGAACCTTCATCTGCACTCAGTCCAAGAGTCGATAGATGTCCAGTTACATCTTTCGAGCAATCCTCGAGTGTAATGCATTCCACCTGACCAGGATAATCAGGAGATCGCCCGCAAGGGGTCACCTTACCAACTAGCGTTATATAGCTACAGAGAGCCATAAAATGACAAGAAATAATAACTTCTGATGAGAGCACGTATGAAAGCTCAAGACTCGTCCGTGAAATAACTTTCCTTAGATCTGTTACGAAATTTAGACCATTTACGCAAGAGCTTCGTGGGCAGTGATGACGTGCAGGCCTCACCACGAGTGAAAATTGTGATTGAATGGTGCGAAATGTTGGAAGCTCAATGAAAGTAAATCAGAGATTGAAGTATAAAAGTGTTACCGTGTAGTTATCAGACCTTGAGTGAAGTTTTTGTTTTTAGTCTTTGGTATATTTCATGATGACAGCCCATTTACGGTCTCATGTGGTGCGGCCAGTGTTTGTTGGGACCGGATGTCGGTTAATTAGGAACAATTCGCCTTAATACACTGGACTACTCGTAAAGAATGCTGTTCTCCTTCTGTATTCGCTGGAATTTAGATATATATATACATATATATCTAAAACAAACTAAAACAAAGCCCTTGCAGCTGAAATGTTTAAAAGTCATTCAACAGACTGATCAAGAGATTGTCACATACAATTTTCTTAATCGTAATACATATAATGGTGATTGATGAAATGACTGTAAGAACATTTTCGACGGTGATTTTATTTTTTCTCAGCTCTCACACAACTCCGAATGTACGACTTCCCTATTACTCAATATTTTGTAGAGTACTAGCCAAAAATTTCCAAAATTAAAGTTTATTTTAAAACCTTTTTCCACCAGGGAAGGAATGATTAGATTGGCGTTTGTTTACACAACACACATCATCTCGGTCACTCTGGACACAAACATTTGCGGTATTTTCGAAGGGAAGCGGTCCGATTCAAAGCATCAAATTTTACTCAGGAAATAAATAATATCATTATATTACGAATATCAAGTTAAAAAGTTAAAAAGTGAGGTACCAGGTACACTTTTATCGCGTTAAATTTCACCTATTTTTTGCCTCCATATTAAGCGCTCTTTAAGGGTGTTGCTTAGAGGACTTAAAAATTCTCAGTATCAATGTGTACAGAAAAATTAACATAACGAAAATGAATGGAAAGGCTTTTTTTATTATATCGTGTGAAGTTTGGTGTTAATTGAAATCATTTTAAGCCTTCAACGGAGCTTGGTTTTTACAGTGAATTTTGGACAATTTGATAGGCGGAAAACCGCACTTAAACCGCGTTTTCAAATTTTCGCCAATTTCTAAAAATTTAATAATCGTCGGAACTTTTAAACTTGATTTTTGAAAATAGTTTACCAAAGGGTATCGTTGGGCAAAATATGAGCAATTCACCAAAATGGTCGTTGACGGACGATTCTCGATCCTGACAGGCAGCCATTCTTAAGCTTAGACTGCCCCACTGTCATTTTGGATTTCCGCCTGGGTAGATTTTGGTCACGTGCTAAGCAACGTATAATCGAGAACAAGATAGAATTTCATTTCAGGCCTATTCATCAATTTTGTGGTGTATAACTTTCGCATTTTAGTACGTAGTATTTATTTTGAATCTTCAAATTGTCTTGACACTTAAAAGAAAAGTATTCTTTAAAAATTCACTGAAAATCGGTAGCCAAAATTATTTGTTTAGGTGTTATTTGATTTTCGTGTTAACCTGTAATTTCGTCAGTCGCCGGCACCTTTTGTTGCTTCACACAGTAAAAAAACACACGATACGAAATGTAATGATCGATTTTGTTCCCAATGTCACGCCATAACAGAAAAAGCTTTTGAACGCCTGTAAACTCCGAGCGCTTCGGAGTAAGTGATATTTTTAATGAATCTTCGGATTTTTTTCAAGTTCAAGAATTGTAAATTACAATTTTATGAAAAACAAAGGTTGTTCTCTTATTTCAGTGTGAATCCTCGCACGCCTGCCAGCCGCTGGCGTCGCTTGTTGAAACTAAAACGAAAAAAATAAACTCTTTTAAGATTATCTTTGGCTTCTTTTCCACCCCACCACTATTCTTAGCAACAAAGGTCGCCATTTCGCTTGTTTATTACTCGCCAAAAACTATCAAATGCACTCAAAAGCCTAAAATCGAAAAAAAGTTTACAGGAATCGACCAATCGAGCGTGCGAGCGAGTACCATTCTTCACATCATATCTACAACTCGCTCTTGCGCATGCGCGCAATTTACAAATTAAAAAGGAAATAATAAAAATTCAAATTATTCATTATTGATTTATAACAGTCTTGAAAACAGTCATAATTCCGAACACAGTTAACTGACAATTGAAAATTAATCTGTGGCCTCAGATTTCAAATTTTTAACGTTCCGTTTCGATATTTGAAAACATCCCCAAGTTATTTTGTCTTCTCGCATTTGATTAGAATTTAAGAAAGGAACCATGATGAATGCAAAATGTTACTTAACTAAGCTAACACACCGTTAGAAATCCATTTTAATATTTATTCATAATTCCATCCTCCTTAATTTCTCTCAGTTTCATTCGAACTGCAGCTGGTTGTGATCTTTAATCCTTCACCTACATTGTCTTCTCGTTTAAAAAAATTAAATTTACTCAATCGTGACGAGCCAAATTGATCGCTATACGGTTACGAATTGTCAACATGAATCGACAATTTTGATTTATTAAAGTAAAGTGCTAGATAACGAGCATGCTCATTAAAATGTCAAGATATTGGAATATTCAAGAAATTATTACTTTCTTTTTTTAAAATATACATTTTTTTGGTGTTTTTAGTCATTGAGAAAAAAATTGTTTTGCGCTTTCGAGTGATCGGCAAATAAGGACCTTTCATTACAGTCACAATTATTCGAAATTTGAATTCTAAATTTAAAATAAATTTTTTTGACTAAAGGTCTCGCTCTTTTTGCAAACATATAATAACAAGAGAAAATTTCCTACATATTCCGTATTTCTCTTTTTTTCGCGTGCAGTGACTATCGACCATCCGTTTCGAATTAGCCTTTAGCATGTGCAATATGTGTCAATTCTATTTTACTTTTTCTTGCCCTTCAAACTTTTCTTTCGGACAAACGATCTATCATTAAATAAAAGCCATTTTAGAAACCGCGACAGTCAATTTCCCGATTTTTTTGGACTACAAAAACAATAGAACCGTTATTCTTTAGTCTCCGTATTGGAAATCATGCGATCCCTTAAAAATTTTCCTTAGATTCTACTAGATTCTCCTACTTCTTAGAATAAATTTTAAATTTTCACGCATCTGGAATCGGAGAGACATTAGTTCCCGCAAAGCATAAATGATTTCCATTTGCATTACTAAAACTCCCGCTGCAATCTTTGCATATTACACGGAAATACCTCTGACATAAAAGTCAAAACCGTTATAATCTCCGAACATATGAGATTATTTGAAGCTATTCAGTGGACTTAGATCCCAAGCAATTTCAAACAATGTCTCATTTATGTCTCGTTATTGAAAAACATCTACAACCTATTTTCTTTTTTTCGCATCTGACAAGGACGTGAAGGAACCACACTAGGTGAAAAAAAATAAAGTAACTTAATCAACAAACTGTCCATCCAATCTTCATCTTTATTTACTTTACTAACTTCTAAAATATCTCTCATTCGCTATTTACCCTTTCTCTTTCAAGGCTGAAACATATCCCATCTCAAAGAGTTCATTTCGTTCAATTCTTATAATCAGGAGCAGTTTAGTCCACAATAGCGCGTTTTTACCATATGGCGTACTTGTTCAATTTTAAAAACATGGAATGAGCAGAAGACAGCTTTAGGATTTGGCAAGAAAACAAGCAGCGAGTTCGCAAAGGCCCTGCCATACAGTATATCAGAGGAAAGTCAAACAAATAGCACCTCTCAGCATCTGGGTGATATTAATGCTTCCTTTCAATTCGTCTTGTTGCCAACGATTAGAATACTAAGCAATGGTATTGTGTTTTTATGCGATATTAATTAGTATAAAAGGGCAAACACTAAAGCATAAATTTTTAGATCTCATGCATTTTTGAGGTCGGAGAGAAATTTTTTCCCGAAAAGCACAAACGATCTCCAATTGAATAACTAAAGCTCCAACCGTAGTCTTTACATATTACAAGCAAATATCTCCGAGATAGACGTCACAATGACCTAACATACAGAATTTTTCAAAAATATTTGGTGAGCCTAGATTCCAAGTAATTTCAAACAATGCCTCATTGATGTCTCGTTATTGAAAAACGTCTACAAGTTATTTTCTCTTCCTTTCGTGTCTGACAAGAACGCAAAGGAACTACACAGGAGATGAAAAATAAAAAGTAACTAAACCAACAAACCGTCCATCCAATTTCCATCTTTATTAACTTTCCTAACTTCTACAATATCTTCCATTTGCTATTTGCTATTTACCCTTTCCCTTTCAAGGCTGAGACATATTCCTATCTAAAACAGTTTATTTCGTGCAATTCTTATAAATTGTGTGCTTAAAATCAGGAGCAGTTTAGTCTATGATAGCGCGTTGTTATTAAACAGCTTACTAAGCAAAAGACAGCATACCTTGGCAAAAAATTGAGCAGCGAGTTCGCAGAGGCCCTGCCGTATAGTATATCGGAAGAAAGTCAAACAGATAGCACCTCTCGGCATCTGGGTGATATTAATTTTGCCTTTTAATTTGTCTTTTTGTCGACGGGGTTAGAATTCTATATAATGGTACTATGTTTTTATTTGATATTTATTAGCTTAAATAGGCAAACACCAAAGCATCTTTAACACTAAAGATGCTGAAAAGTTGTGTTTGTCTGATTCCATCTTCTTTTTTCTTTCCCTTCAAATTACGCCTGATCAATACAAGTCTGACGACTCCGAGGAAATGTATCTAAGTCCATGGAAAGCAGAGTGCTTGTCGGATTGTTTGCTTTACTGCTTGTCTCACTTCTTTGATTTTCCAGCAGTAAAGAAACGGGTTCAAAGTGGAGTTAAAATATGTTAAAATAGTTGTTATTGCTTCAATAACGATTACATGTAAAGGATAAGTTTTTCTATAAGTTCTCACAACCAGCATTGTAAATTTTGGTACATAAAAAACAGCTAATGCTAACTGCACACACAGTGCACTGTTCACTGCCTTCCTGTATCTTGCCATGTTCAGTGCATTTGTTTGGCTCGGCTGTTTTTGAACATGATCTCGCACTTGAGCCTGATTATGTCTGAGAGTGCGAAATATCTTTGTATACGAGGCGATTGAGATCACTGAGCATGACGGTATACCTATGATACTATACCAAATGGTAATTCGGGGACGTGAAACGAAAAATGATCCACCGGCGACGGATAAAATCCAAAACGTAGCGGTTATGATACATGTGCGCTTTAAAGTTACTATTTGTCTGTATCTTATTCCCAACAACAGAGCGAGAAGTCTGTCCACGCTTATGGCTGTCAACGTCAGCAAAGACACCCCACATAATGCAAAGCTTGATATGTAAGCTGCGCCCCTTGCGTATTCACAAAGAGTCCAGTATTCGTAAACCAAGGACATCCAATAAGTAGCATGGAGAGGCTGGGAAACAAGACCAACCAACAGATCAGTTGTTGCCAGACAACGATACAAGAGTTTGGACGGTGGATGAAGGGAAGATTCCTTGTTAAGGGCAGCAAGGATTAGAAAATTCCCGAGAAATGCTGTGATGGAGAGGAAAATGTTAACTGCTGAGAAATAAATGGATTGTTGTTGTAACCCAACTACCGAGGAGGGAGAACATGGCAATAATTGATTTGCTTCAGTCTGTGTTCCACCCTCTGTTGAGTTTGTCGTCGCAATCATGGTGCAGCTCTTAAAACGGTTTTCCTCCTTTCGCTATGGATTTTTGGAACTGCTGACAACACGGGATAATACTTCTCCACAGCAACCACCTGGCCAAGAAAAAGTTAAATGTAATAATTCTTCAAATTATCAAAGGAAATAATAAAAATTCAAGTTATTTCTTTCCATCCTTTCTTACTTTCTGTCCTTTCAGTACAACATCCGCCCTCAGGCTGATATTTCACTGATGAAACTGTCAGTCATTTAAAGACGGCCTTACTTTTTTGCCTGATAAGCGCAAATTGTCTCTGTCCGTAAAAATAAAACTCCCGCAAAATGTTCATGGCACACGAGAAACAGTCTTGAAATTAGTTCCGAGCACATTTGACTGACAGCTGAAAATTAGTCTATGGACGTACATGTAAAAAAAAAATTTTAATAAAAGTTTCGTTTCGTTATTTGAAACCATCCCCTAATCATTTTATCTTCTTGTCGCATCTGATCAGAATTTATGAAAGGAACCATGAAAGGTAAAAAATGCTACTTAACTAAATCATCACACCCTTAGAACGCCATTTCAATAATTATTCATCATTCCATCCTCCTCAATTTCTCTCAATCTCATTCGAATGGCAGCTGGTTTTGATCCTAAATTCTTTTCCTACATTGTCTTCATTTTCCAAATTTATAGTTTCTCTAGCGAACGCAGAGAAGCCAAAATTGATCGATGCATTTTTTACGAATTGCCAAAATGGATCAAAAAGTTTGATTCATATATTGAAGTAAAATACTGGATAGCGGACATGCCTATTTAAATGTCAAAATATTGGAATATTCAAGATGGGAAATTAAAAAGACTATATATTTTTATGAAACGTAGAGCATGAGAATTCTTTTCCTAGGGGGCACTGTGCTTCTCCTCTCACGAAATCTTTTTCTTTTGTCTCACACGGATGAAAATTCAAGTACTCGAAGGTCTCCGTCTCCTCGTAATACGTTTGGATGTCAAGAGTCGATTCCCTATTAAAATTCTCGCTGTTGTACACTTTTATGTCCAAGCATATAAATTCTGAGTCTGGTATTTCAGCAACGAATAGCGCTTAATGCGTGTACCCGAGTTCCATTTCATTCTTCTGAGAATTTGAAAAATGAAAAATGAAAATTTCATTTTAGCTGAAAATTGAAAATGACTTTAGCAACCCATCTTTCAAAATTGATTTTTCATCATAACATAGCTAGTAAATTTGTCTAATCAAATTCAATTGCGTGAGCGTGCTTCATATTCCTATTGTGCACGCTCATGACGTCAGCAAACAAATCCCTCGAGAAAAAAATTTTCTCCGCGATTTTTTTACTTTGGGATTTTACCATTAAGAAACTGGTTAAGTCTTCGGCGGCATTTTAAGCTGAACATGGAAACAAGATTGTTTACAGCATAGCGAAATGTTTTCCTCAAACAAAATTATCAACGCGCTGAAGCGTAGCTGAGGGAATATTAACCCTTTTACAATATTTAAACCATCGGGTTGAAAATTTTATGAAAAAAATTGCTTCATACGTCAGCTGTGTGTTCATTGAGATATGAAGCACTTGGGAGGTTTGGAAAGCACTCAAGAGGTTAGAGTTGCTCTCGGCTACGCCTCGAGTATAACATAACATTTATAACATAGCGCGCGTCCCTGCCTAGATAAGTCCTATTGTGCCGCTATGAACAAAATCTTTATTTACGCACAGGCGTGCGTAAATAAGATGACGTGCACATTTTTTTTTACCTGGTTTCAGAGTTTCCGTCCTGTTAAGCTGAAGTGCAGTTTTCCTTCTCTTTGAAATATGGAAGAAACCAGCCAAGAACTTCCCAATTTTCAATCGGCATTGACCTTTTAGGTCCTGATCCAATAAGCAACAAAAATAAAGCCGAAAAAAAACTCGGAAGTTGCATGTTTCGCAAATTTTTAGGAAGATCCTTGTTGTTGCTCTGTTATGACAGAATTTGCTCATACTTTTAGCTGTGCGTATATCGAGTTACGGATGCACTTGGGAAGTTTGGAGAGCACTCAAAAAGCTATAGTTGCTCTCGGCTACCGCTAACATAACCTCCAGCTCAGGAAAAAAAATTACATTTTTTTTTTTACTCAAAACATCCATCGACTAATCGCCTACCAGCTGAGTACCTCCTCTTTGTAAAACTATAGAGAAGATGGAAGAAGGAAATAATAAGAAATTAAATTATCTATTTCCTTCTTTTCTTCCTGTCTGTCCTTTCAGTAACTTCCGCCCTCACGCTGATGTTTCATTGATGAAACTGTCAGTCATGTAGAGACAGAAACTCCCGTAAAATGTTTATGCCACACGAAAAACAGTCCTGAAATCAATTGAAAACCTTCATAATCCCGAACAAATCATACAATTGTCAATTAATCTAAATGATTTTAACAACGCAATGTCAAGCGTTTGGTTTCGTTATTGAAAACGCAGTGACTAAATATCCGGCAGCCCAGCATGGTCTCAAATAGACTAAATGTCTGGCAGTCAAAACTTTTCCCGCAATTTACGCCAAAAGGTTATTTCAAACTTCCCAAGGATATCAAATATTTGTTAAGGAATGTCAAGCGATTCCAAAAATGTATTTGGTTTTTTTTAGTGGACAAATTCTTCGAGCTTGTGCATACTATAAGATCGCTCGGCTGTCGACAACTTGGAAATTTAACGCTTCTGATCAAACTGTCGGTCACAGTCTCAAATTGACTAAATTGGGTTTAGAACTTTTCATCAAAATGCCACTGAAAGGTTCCTTCAAAGTGCTAGAGAGTATGAGATGTTTACTTAGAAATGTCAAGCAGTGCTAAAGTTGGTGTTCTGACGTAGCTGACCCTTGCCGGCACACCACAGTTGTCACAAAGACAACATATTCTACGAAACCAGCCTGACTACCCAAGCTTTATAACATGTTATGTTGTTCAAATTTGGCAAGAAAATGAGCAGCGACCTTGCAGAGGCCCTGCCATACAGTATATCGGAGTGAAGTAACAGATAGTACCTCGGCATCTAAGTGATGTGAATTCTGCCTTTCAATTGTCTTTTTGCCGACGGGGTTAGAATACTATACAATGGTACTGTGTTTTTACTTGTGTTTTAATCAGCATAAATAGGCAAACACTAAAGCATCTAGAACACAATAGATGCTGAAAAATCGTGTTTCTTTTTTCTTTCCCTTCAAATTACGCCTGATTAATGCAAGTCTGACGACTCCTAGAAAACATATCTAAGTCCATGTAAAGTAAAGTGCTCGTGGGATTGTCTGCTTTACTGCTTGTCTCACTTCTGTGACTTTCCAGCAGTAAAAAAACGGGTTCAAAGTGGAGTTAAAATACGTTAAAATGTTTGTAATCCCACCAATAACGACTAGATGTGAAGAATAAGTTTTTCTGTTAGTGATCACAATCAACATTATAAATTTTGGTGCATAACAAACAACTAACGCTAACTGCACCCAAAGTGCACTGGTCACTGCCTTCCTGTATCTTGCCATGCTCAGTGCAGATCACTGAGTATGACGGTATAAGTATAATACCAAACCAAATGCTTATTCGAGTATGCAAAATGGAAAATGATCCAGCGGCGACGGATAAAATCCAAAAGGTAGTTGTAATGATATATGTACGCTTTAAAGTTATTATTTGTCTGTATCTCGTTCCCAACAACAAAGCCGCGAGAAGTCTATCCACGCTTATGGCCGTCAACGTCAGCAAAGACACCCCACACAATACATAGCTTGATATCTGGACTCCATCCCTTGCGTATCGACAAAGACTCCAGTGTTCGTGAACCAAGGACATCCAGTAAGTAACAGCGAGAGGCTGGCTAACAAGACCAACCAACAGATCAGCTGTAGCCAGACAACGATACAATAGTTTGGACGGCGGATGAAGGGAAGTTTCCTTGCTAAGGGCAACAAGAATGAGGGAATTCCCAAGAAATGCTGTGATGGAGAGGAAAATGTTAACTGCTGAGAAAGAAATCGATTGTTGTTGTTGTAACCCAACACGGGATAATAGCTCTTCACAGCAACCACCTGGCCATGAAACAGTGAAATCTTATTTTTCTTTACATCATTCACGCTAAGAACTTCCTCAATACATCCAATTTGTTTTACATTGGTTGAAAGAACTGCCAGTCGAGAAAATTAGATAACAATACATAGAGACCTTTCTTGAAATTTGGAGGGTATGCATTGCATCAATCAACCCCCCAACCCCAAATGGTGTCCATCTAGTCGATAAATTTCATTTAAGAACGCATTTTAAATAAGAGCTGATAAAAGTTTAAGGTTAAAGACAACCGTTAGTTTAATATTAAAAAAAAAACCTCTCTGTAGACAAATAAATAGAAATTGCTCCGGAACAGTAAACTTAAATTGATTTTGAGGATATATGTCTATCCGCAAAATTACGTTCCCCGCTGAAAACGTGTCAATAAAACTTTGCGAAAGTCTGCTATCTTCAGCAAAATGAGAAAATATAAAAGTGAATTAATTGCAAGTATCCAGAGCATATTCTTTGTTTTCGGACTTACTCGAAACACTTATCAAGTAATCGTCTACCAGCTGTGTACCTCCTCTTTGTAAAACTATAGAAAAGTTGGAAAAAGGAAATTATAAAAATTTAAATTATTTATTTCCTTCCTTTCCTCCTCTCTGGCCTTTCAGTGTTAAATCCACCCTTAGACTGATGTTTTACAAATTGTCTCCATCCGCAAAAACATAACTCTCACAAAATGTTCATACCACACGAAAAAAAGTCTTGAAATGAATTGAAAGCAGTTATTATTCCGAACACATTTAACTGACGAATGAAAATTAATCAGTATGCCCGTTGATGTCAAGAAATTTGAGTAAATATTTGACGTTTCGTTTCGTTATTTGAAAATATCCTGCAATTATTTTCTCTCCTTATCGCATCTGATCAGAATTTATAACAGGAACGATGACAGGTAAAAATTGCTACTTAACTAAACCATCAGACCCTTAGAAAACCATTTTCATTGATAATTTCTCATTATTCCATCCTCCTTAATTTCTCTCAGTCTCATTCGAACGGCAGCTGGTTGCGATCCTAAATTCTTTTCTTACATTGTCTTCTTTTTATAAATTTAAAGTTACTCGATCGTGAACGCTGAGAAGCCAAAATTGATCGATATATGGTTACAAATTACCAAAATGGATCGACAAGCTTAATTCGTTAAAGTAAAATACTAGATAGCAGACATGCCTATTAAAATGTCAAGATGTTAGAATATTCAAGAAATTGTTACTTTTTTTTAGGAAATATACATTTTTTTAGTTTTTGAGTCACTCAGAAAAATTACTTTTGGCTTTTATGCGATCGGCAATTAAGGACCATTCACTGCAGTCACAAATATTTGGAATGAAATTTTAATTCGAAATTTAAACTATAATTATTTGACTTAAGGTCTCGCTTCTTTTATAAACATATAATAACACGAGGAAATATCCTATACCTTTCGTATTTCTCTTTTTCCGCAATGTAGTGCGTTTCGAATTTTCCTTTCAGAATGTTCAATTTGTGCCAATTCTATCTTATTTTATTCTTGGCCTCCAAATTGTATTTATTTCAAAAGAAAGCCATCTTAGAAACCGCGGCGGTCAATTTCCCGCGTTTTTAAGGCTACATAAACAGTGGACTCCTTATTCTTTAGTCTCCACGTTGTACTCTGTCAGCGACGACTGAGCCTCCCTCAGTTCCGTAATGGAATCCATGTAATTCTACCAGGTTCTCCTATTTCTTACAACAAATTTCACGCATCTGGATTCGGTGAGACATTTGCTCTCGCAAAGCATAAATGATCTCCAATTGCATAACTAAAACTCACGCTGCAATCTCTGCATATTACGCGGAAATACCTCTCAGATAATAGTCAAAACAGTTATAATCTCCGAACAAAAAAAATTATTCAAAATCATTCGTTGGACTTAAATTTCAAGCAATTTTAAAGAATGTCTCATTGATGTCTCGTTATTGAAAAACATCCAGAAGTTATTTTCTCTTCCTTTCGCGTCTGACAAGGACGCGAAGGAGCTACACTAGTGGCGAAAATATAAAGTGATTAAACCAACACACCGTCCATCCAATTTTTATCTTTATTAACTTTCCTAACTTCTACAATATCTGCCATTCACTATTTACCCTTTCTCTTTGAAGGCTGAAGCATATTCCAACCTGAAACAGCTCGTTTCGTTCAATTCTTACAAATGGTGTGCTTATAATCAGGAGCAGTTTAGTCCACAATAGTGCGTTGTTATTATATGGCTCATTAAATCAATTTTAAGAACATGGAATGAGCAGAAGAAAGCCTTAGCATTTGGAAAGAAAAGAAACAGCGAGTTTGCATAGGCCCTGCCATACAGTATTTCGGAAGAAAGTCAAACAGATAGCACCTCTCGGCACCTGAGGATGAAAATTCAAGTATTCCAAGGTCTCCTTCTTTTTATAATTTGTGTTTGGGTATCCAGAGTCGATTCCCTATTAAAAACTCTCGCTTTTGTACACTTTTGTGTCCAGCAATATAAATTCTGAGTCTGATATCTCAGCCACGAATAGTGATTGTATCGTGTTACAATCTACATCAAATGTACAGATTGTGGCTGTTTTCCCGTCATACGAACTCTGCAATGTTGTCTTTGCTTCTGTTCACAGACAGAAAACGTGGTCAATATGCCTCTTCCAAAGTAGCGGTTTAGTTGTGCTCAGTGTGATACTACCCTTTTTCTATTTTTGCCATGAAAATATTGGCAAAAGTTATTTCGCCGTTAAAAAAGTATTGAATTCCCGGATAACATAAACAACGACGTGCAAAATACGTCGGTTGAGTGTGGCCTTAAAACCCTGCAAGTTAATCTGAGTCTGCTCTCGAGCAGAAATGCTCCATCAGAGCTTGATTACCCCGATTTTCTTAGTATGAAGTGACTTGGAAACCAAGCAGTCATAATGAAGATACAAATTATTCATATCTCTTCCGATAGCAGGCATGTCCGTTCCTCTTGCACTTATGGCTCTAGTTTTATTTAAACTAAGAGCTTGCACGCATCATGACGCACGAGTGTCTCCGGGAGAAAAGATCTAACTCCATGGACAGCAAAAGACTTGTCTGATTGTCTGTTTCACTGCTTGTCTCACTTCGCCAACCTTCCAGCAGTAAAGGAACGGGTTTAAGGTGGACTTTAAATACACTAAAAGAGTCGTTATTCCAGAAGTGATGAGTAAATGTAATGAATAAGTCCTCCAGATGATCACAAGTGTTGACAGTGTTAAACTTGGTGCATAACAAACAACTAATGCTAACTGCACTCACAGTGCACTGCTCACAGCCTTCCTGTATCTTGCCATGTTCAGTGCAGTTGCTTGGCTGGGCTGTTCCTGAAAATTATCTTGTACTCGAGCCTGATTACGACTGAGAGTGCGCAAAATCTTAGTGTATGAAGTGAAAGAGATCACTGAGAATGACAAGATAACTATTTTATTATACAAAAGAGGTATTTGAGAATTATAAAATGATGAAGCAAGAATGGATGCTATCCAAAAGATAGCTGTAATGATATACATGCGTTTTGGCCTTACAATTTGTCTGTATCTCAGCCCCAACGACAGGGCGAGAAGTCTATCCACGCTTATGGCCGCCATTGTCAACATAGAAACCCCACATGATGTAAAGCGTGTTATAAAGATTGCATCAGTTACGAATCGACAAAGATTCCACTTCTCGTGAACCAAGGACAACCAATAGGCAGCATAGAGAGGCTGGCTAACAAGACCAACCAACAGATCGGATGCTGCTAGACAACGATACAAGAGTTGGGACGATGAATGCTGGGAAGATTCCTTGTTTAGGGCAACGAGTATCAGGAAATTCCCAAGAAATGCTGTGATGGAGAGTATTATGTTAGCTGCTGAGAAAAAAGTTGCAATTTGTCCTACTTTTCCCACATAAGTGGGTGAGCACATTATTTCCTGATAAGCTATTGTTCGTGTTTCTTGTACTGTTGAATTTGTTTCCGCAATCATTCTGCAGCTAATGAAACAGTGTCCTTCCCTTCCGGCTATGGTTCTTCTTGAATTTCTGGTAACTGATATATTTAGAATTCACAGCAACCACCCAACTATGAAACAGTTAAAACTCCTCTCCTTCAGTGATACTATCGACTTTCTCAATGCATTCTACTCGTTTCAAAGTGACTGAACGATTTTTCTTTCGAGACTGTTAAATAACATTAGGTAGAACCCTTTCTTGGGAGTGTCTTTTATCAATCAAACCATAACCAATGGTGTGCACCACAAAGGCGTCCATATGGTTAACAAATTCAATTGAAAAACGAATTTCAGTAGGAACTGACAAACATTTTAAAGATGAAGACATATGTCTAACTATTATTTGATGATACGATAAGAAAATTATCTGTTTATACAAAACTAGAATTTGATTAGGAACGGTCAACTTTAATTGAACCTAACTGACAAGAAGAATGCCTATTTGTGGCTTAAACTTCTGCCCACATTCTGTAAAATCAGAAACGGTTTTTAGAGAAAGTTCCTAGAGAACACTCTAAGAAAACGGCAGCTAGGGAAGCAACTTTAAATAATCAGAATTAGTTTTGGCATCCTTTCCTGTGTTTTTAAAGCCAGAGTGAATCTTACAGAATTTGCTTATTGCTGATGCGTGCGGCAATTAATTCTGCCTTTCAAATTTTCTTTTTGCCGACAGGGTTAGAATACTAAACAATAGTACTGTGTTTTCACTTGATATTTAATTAGCATAAATAGGCAAACACCAAAGCCTCTAGAACACAATTAGTAGGCCTCCATCGGTCAGGGTCGACCATGGGTATAGCATCCTAATTGTGTGTTTGGCTGGAGCATCTGCGGCTATGACTGTGAAGGCCAATGCGTGAATGGCAGTCCCTGCCGCAAGTGCTGCACTTGTATGCTGTTTGTTGGACGTTGCTGATACGAAGTTTTCTGCGGGTCCGCCTCCTTGTGGCAGCTTGTGTCAGCTTCTCTTCTCCTGTTTTGAGGTGCCTTGTAACGGCTCCTCTCCATTGTGACCGATCAGCTGCGAGATTTTCCCAGGTCTCTTTGTCAATTCCTACAGCCTTCATGTCACGCTTCAAAGCATCTCGGTATCGCAGCTGTGGGCGTCCTCTGCGTCTGCTTCCAGTGGCTAGCTCACCATACAGTAAGTCTTTGGGGATGCGGCCGTCTGGCATGCGATGAACGTGGCCCAGCCAGCGGAGTCTACGTTGCCTGAGTAAGGTTGACATGCTTGGCAGGCCCGCACGAGACAAGACCTCTGTGTTTGGGACTTTGTCTTGCCACGAAATTCCCAGGATGCGGCGGAGGCTTCTCATGTGGAAGGTGTTCAGGCGTTTTTTTCTTGTCTGGCGTACATCGTCCATGTCTCGCTGCCGTATAGCAGTGTACTGATGACACAAGCGCTGTATACTGCCATCTTGGTCTTCTCTGTGAGCATGGGGTTGGACCACACACGTGTAGTGAGGCGTGCAAGTGTGGCAGCCGCCTTTCCAATTCTCTGGTCGAGCTCGAAGTCTAAGGAGAGATTGTCAGTGACAGTGGAGCCTAGATACGTAAAATGATGGACCACTTCGAGCTCGTAATCGTCGATGGTAACGGATGGTGGTGTTTCTGTTCCTTGTTCCAGGACTTTAGTCTTTTTCAGGCTGATGGTAAGCCCAAAGTCTTTGCAGGCCTGAGAGAAATGGTCCATGAGTGACTGAAGTGCTTGCTGAGTATGGCAGGCTACTGCTGCATCGTCAGCAAATAGCATGTCTCTTATCAGGGCTTCACGCACTTTGGTCTTTGCTCGGAGACGGGCAAGATTGAAAAGCCTGCCATCTGATCTTGTATGCAGGTAGATCCCTTCTTTCGATGCGCCAAATGCATGTTTCAGAAGGAAGGCAAAGAAGATTCGAAAAGGGTTGGGGCAAGTACGCAGCCCTGTTTGACACCGCTGTTGATGTTGAATGACTCAGAGGTTCTGCCGTTGAACTGCACAGTCCCCTGCATGTTGGCATGGAAGGACTCAATCAGGCTGTGTAGTTTAGGGGGGCAGCCAATTTTAGATAGAATTCTGAAGAGACCCTCTCTGCTTACAAGATCAAACGCCTTGGTCAGATCGATGAAGGCAATGTACAAAGGCATCTGCTGCTCTCTGCATTTCTCCTGAAGCTGGCGGAGGGAGAATACCATGTCTATCGTTGATCTTTCTGCTCGAAAGCCGCACTGTGACTCTGGATAGATACGTTCAGCCAGTTTCTGAAGTCTTACCAAAATAACCCGAGCAAAGACTTTGCCCACAACGCTGAGTAAGGAGATGCCCCTGTAGTTGTTGCAGTCACTGCGATCTCCCTTGTTTTTGTAAAGGGTAACGATCTTAGCATCCCTCATGTCTTGTGGTACGGCCCCTTCTTTCCAGCACGCACATAGGACATTATGTAAAGGCTGTAATAGTGTAGTCTTGCAGTGTTTGATCAGGTCAGGGGGATCCCGTCACTGCCTGGAGCTTTCCTTGAGGCCAAGCTGTTGATAGCCTTGCTGAGTTCGCCATTAGTGGGTTCGTTGTCAAGCTCTTCCATTACAGGTAAGCATTTTATGGCATCAAGGGCTGATGATGTTACTACATTCTGTCTTGAATAGAGATCAGAGTAGTGTTCCACCCATCTCTCCATCTGTTGTCCCTTGTCTGTGATGGCTTCCCCTGAGGTGGATTTAAGGGGAGCTGTCTTGTTCTGGATTGGACCTATTGATGTTTTGATGCCTTCATACATCCCTCTTATGTTCCCAGTAATTGCTGCAGTCTGGATGGCTTCGCTGAGTTCGGTCCAGTAGTCGTTGGCACAGCGTCTTGCAGTGTGTTTGACTTTGTTCCTTATAGCTCGGAGAATCTGAAGATTTTTCTCGCTGGGTAATCGCTTGTATTCCGTTAGAGCGGCACGCTTTGCTTCTATGATGGGGGTCATCACAGCGGATTTAGCTTTGAACCAGTCATGCGATTTCGAGGTACTTTTTCCAAAGGTGGCCAAGGCAGTGCGGTGCATTGTATCCCGTAAGGTGGTCCACTTCTCAGTTGCGGAGTCCCCTGACTGTAATGTTTTTAGATGATTCTCAAATCTCTCAGCAAATTGCTCTTTAAGATCAGGCTGGCTCAACTTAGTGACATCAATACGAGGGCTCCCTTTCTTCTTGCCACGATGGAACCTTTTCGGATGGAGCCTGACCTTGCAACACACCAAGGAGTGGTCTGTGTCACAGTCCGCGCTGTGGTAAGAGCGTGTGTGGAGGACGTTCTTAATAGCGGTTCGTCTGACAAGGATAAGGTCCAGCTGATGCCACTGCTTTGAGCGCGGGTGTCTCCAAGAGACCTTGTGCTGAGGTTTGGTCTTGAAGAAAGAGTTGGCTATGCAGAGTTTGTGATAGGTGCATAGCTCGAGCAGTCTCTGGCCATTGTCGTTCATCTTGTCGTTCATCTTGCCTAGGCCATGATCTTTGATCAGCTCCTACTCTGGCGTTGAAGTCGCCCAGAAGGATAAGTTGTTCTTTGTTTGGGATGTTGCTGATCGTGGCTGTGAGCTGATCATAAAACTCGTCTTTAATTTCAGGTGTAGCAGAGAGTGTTGGAGCATACACGCTGACGAGAGTTACAGGGCCTGCCGTGGTGTTCAGGCAGAGGGTGAGGAGTCGCTCTGAGCCCCTCTAGAACACAATAGATGCTGAAAAATCGTGTTTGTTAAAACATTGTAAAAGTCTGGTATCGTCAGCTAAACGAGAGGCTACAGAAGCGAATCAATTGGAGTATTCAGAGAATGTTTTTGTTTTCGGACGTACTCTATGAATCGCCAACCAGATATGTACCTCCCCTTTATATAAATGGAGAAAAATGAGGAAAAAGGGAAAGACCAACAATTTGCCCTTAGGTTGATATCATACTGGTGCTAATGAAAGCGGAAATCGAATTAGTTATTTTCCAGAAGAAATATGTGGGGACGGACTTGATAGTTTTTTTCGTGTAAAGCACAAATTGGCTTTATCTCCTTAAATAAAACTTTAGCAAAATGTTCATGCCACAAGAAAAAGAGTCCCTAAATTAAATGAAAAATGTCATTATGCCGAAAAAAAATGATACGTTTGACAATTAATCTAAATAATGTTAACAATGCAACGTACTTTCTAAAGAAACTGTGGTGCTGCTAAGGCTGGAAACGTCAGCTTTAAAACTCTTTTAAGGTGGCTAATTTGTGTTATCACCTCAGCTGATAATAGTAAATTATCCTGATGTATGGTAACTGTTACTACATTATTGTGCAAAAGTAAAGCAAGCGAAATGCGCAAATTTCGTTTCTTGTTCTCGCGAACTTTCAACGAAATTTCGTGCGAAAGTTTGAATGACAATTCGAGGCTTTTTGAGCGAATTTTCCGTTGAACAACGAGTTCTATTTCGTTGAATTTTGGCTTCGAAACGAAAGTTCAGCGAAATTTTGCGATAAAAAGCGTTGGTTTACTGCCCACTGCTCTAATTTTGCTCTGGATAGACTCAATTGTTTGCCATGCGATTTACGCGATCTATCCTTTATATAACGTTCACGAAATACACGAAAGTTCCTCGACTGGAGTTAAGTCACGAATACAAACGACTAGAAATACTCGCTAAGTTTACCAAGAGTAAAGACTTTAAGAAAAAACAAAACATAAACCTGTTCTGATCAAGGTCATCAGATGCTGCTCTAATAGTAAATTTTACGCATCGCTTTTGACTTATACGAACAGTACACGAATGTTTCTCTAGTTTCGCAGATTATATTCACGAATGAACAAATTTGAATTCCGTCTTTAAAGCGGGAAGTTTGGATATTGCGAAAAAAAATTCGAAAACCACTTTGCAAGGAAGGGAGTCCAGCCTTGCTGCTTTCGCGATCTTCGCACCATTCCGTTATTCTATTATTAGAATAGTTACATATTAAGTGGATGAGACTGATTTCGAATTTTTCTGCAATGCATTACAACAATACATGGACTATACTTCGCTGTAATAAGTAGAGCGAATTTTCTCTCGAAATTTCGCACAGAACTTTGACTGTATCTGTTTGACTTTATCTTATTTCCAACAAATGAGCGAGAAGTCTGTCCACGCTTATGGCCATCAACGTGAACAAAGACACTGAACATAATGCATAGCTTGATATGTAGACTGTGTCCCTTGCGTATCAAAAAAGACTCCGGTGTTCGTGAACCAAGGACATCCAATAGGTAGCAGCGAGAGGCTGCCTAACAAGACCAACTAACAGATTAGTTGTTGCCAAACAACGATACAAGAGTTTGGAGGGTGGATGATGGGAATATCCCTTGTTTAGGGCAACAAGGATTAGAAAATTCCCAAGAAATGCTGTGATGGAGAGGAAAATGTTAACTGCTGAGAAATAAATCGATTCTTGTTGTAACCCAACTAACAAGGATAGGGAACATGGCAATACTTCATATGTTTCCGTCTGTGTTCCTCCCTCTGTTGAATTTGTCGTCACAATCATCGTGCAGCTCTTAAAACGGTTTTTCTCTTTTCGCTACTGTTCAGTTTGGAACTGCTAGCAACACGGAATAATTTTTCTTCACAGTAACTACCTGGCCAAGAAACAAATAAATATTGTTTTTCTTTATATCATCGACACTTAAAACTTCAATATATCCTACTCGTTTTAAATTGTTTGAAGGAACTCTCCGTCGAGACTACTGCATAACAATACATATATACTTTTCTTGAAATTTAGAGGGTATGCAGGGTATGCCTTGTATCAATAAACCTCATATAAGGTGTCCATTTGGCTGATAAAAATTTTGTGGATGAAGACATTTGTTAGATTATGATTTTTTTTAATGTTTCTGTTAAAAGAACAAATAACAAGTGGCCCGGAACGGTATAGCTAAATTGATTTTGAGGATATTTGTCGATCCGCAAAATGACATTCCCGCTGGAAAATCGCGTTTAATAAAACATTGCAAAAGTTTGTTATCTTCAGCCAAATGAGAAACTACAAAAGGGAACCAATTGCAAGTATACAGAGCACGTTCTTTGTTTTCGGACTTTCTCGAAACATCTATCGACTACTCGCCTACCAGCTGTTTACTTTATTTAATAACAAATACTTATTCGGCGCAAATATCTATATGAATATATTCAGATGCGAATATATTCAGATGCGAATAAATGCTGAATATATTCAGATACTTCCTCTTTGTAAAACTATAGAGAAGATGGAAAAAGGAAATAATAAAAAGTCAAATTATTTGTTTCCTTCCTTCCTTCCTTTCTGTCCTTTCAGTAGAACATCCGCCCTCAGGCTAATGTTTTACTTATGAAACTGTCAGTCATGTAGAGGCGGACATGATTTTTTCCTCAATGCACAAATTGTCTCAATCCGCAAAAATAAGACTCATAAATTCTTTATGGCACACGAAAAACAGTCTTGTAAAGTAAATTAAAAACAGTCATAATACCGAACACATTTAACTGACAACTGAAAATCGATCTATGGCCGTAGATTTGAAGAAATTGGAGAAAAATGTTTGACGTTTAGTTTCGTTATCTAAATATATCCGGCAGTTATTATTAAAAGGAACCTTGCAAAATGTTACTTAACTAAACCATCAGACCCTTAGGAAGCCATTTCAATATTTATTCATTATTCCATACTCTTTAATTTCTCTCAGTCTCATTCGAGCGGCAGCTGGTTGCAATCTTTAATTCTTCCGTTGCATTGTCTTTGTTTTCGAAATTGAAAGTTACTCGAGCGTGAACGCTGAGAAACCAAATTTGATCGATTTATGGTTACGAATTGCTAAAATGGATCGACCACTTTGATTCATTACAGTAAAATACTGGATAGCAAAAATGCCTATTAAAATGTCAAAATATTGGAATATTCAAGAAATTATAACTTTCTTTTTTTTTAAACGTGTATTTTTCTGTTTTTTGAGTCACTCAGAGAAAAATGATATTGGGCTTTTGAATTATCCGCAATCAAGAACCATTCATTGCAGTCACATTTATTTGGAATGAAATTTAATTCGAAATTCAAATTTTAATTTTGAAAGTCACGATCTTGCTTCTTTTGCAAACATATCAGTAACACGAGAAATTATCCTATAATTAAATTCCGTATTTCTCTTTTTACTGCAATATAACATGGTGTTTACTGACCATTCGTTTTGAATTTTCCTTGTAATATGTTCAATATGTGTCAATATTATCTTATTTTTCCTTTCCCTTAAAAGTTTCCTTCGGAAAAACCATCTATCATCAAAAGAAAGTCACTCAGAAACCGCGACGGCCAATTTCCCACGTTTTCTAGACTACATAAACAATATAACTCTTTTCTTTAGTCTCCTCGTTGTACTCTGTTAGCTACGACTGACCTCCCCTCACTTCCGTACTGGAAACCATATGATTCCCTAAAGTCTTCCTCAGATTCTACAAGATTCTCCTCGTTCTTAGAATAAATTTTAGGATTTAACGCATCTGGAATCGGAGAGACATTTGTTCCCGCAAAGCATAAATGATCTCCAATTGCATGACTTAAACTTCCACCGCAATCTTTGCATATTACGCGGAAACACTTCTCAGATAAAAGTCGTAACCGTTAAAATCTTTGAACATATAAAATTATTCAAAATTATTCCGTGGACTTAGATACCTAACAATTTCAAACAGTGTCTCATTGATGTCTCGTTATTGAAACATCTACAAGCTATTTGATCTTCCTTTCGTCTCTCACAAGGACGCGATGGAACTATAATAGGTCAAAAATATAAAGTCACTAAGCCATCAAACCGTCCATCCATTTTTCATCTTTATTAACTTTCCTAACTTCTACGATTTCTCTTTTAAGGCCGAGACATATTTCTTTCTTAAAGAGTTCATTTCGTTCAATTTTAATAACTTGTCCTCTTATAATCTGGAGCAGTTTAGTCCACCATAGCGTCTTGTTATTATATGGCCCACTAGATCAATTTAAAAAAAAATGGAATGAGCAGAAGACAGCTTCAGGATTTGGCAAGAAACTGAGCAGCGAGCTTACAGATGCCCTGCCATACAGTATATCGGAGAAAAGTAAAACAGATTGCACCTCTCGGCATCTGGGTGATATTACTTTTGCTTTTCAATATTTTTGTGTGCCAACGAGGTTAGAAAATTTAATGGTACTTTGCTTTGATTTGATACTTATTAGCACGAATTGACAAACACCAAGGCATCTAGAACACAATAAGTGCTGAAAATGGTGTTTGTTTCATTCTATCTTCTTTTTTCTTTCCCTTCAAATTACGCCTGATTAATGCATCTAAGTCCATAGAAAGCAAAGTGCTCGTCGGATTGTCTGCTTTACTGCTTGTCTCACTTCTCTGACTTTCCAGCAGTAGAGAAACGGGTTCAAAGTGGAGTTAAAATATGTTAAAATATTTGCTATTGCATTTATAACGAATACATGAGAAGAATGAGTTTTTCCATGACAGATCACAATCAAGATTATACATTTTGGTACATAACAAACAGCTAATGCTAACTGCACCCACAGTGCACTGTTTACTGCCTTCCTGTATCGCGCCATGTTCATTGCATTTGGTTGGCTCGGCTGTTGTTGAACATGATCTTGTACATGAGTCTGATGATGTCTAAGAGTGCCAAATATTTTTGTGTACGAGGCGATTGAGATCACTGAGCATAACGGTATGCCTATAATATAACACGAAATGGCTATTTGATTATGCAAAATGGAAAATAACCCAGCGGCGACGGATAAAATCCAAAAAGAAGCTGTAATGATACATGTTCGCTTTAACGTTACTATTTGTCTGTATCTTATTCCCAACAACAGAGCGAGAAGTCTGTCCACGCTTATGGCCGTCAACGTCAACAAAGACACTGAACATAATACAAAGCCCGATATGAAGGCTGCGCCCTTTGCGTATTGACAAAAACTCCAATGTTCGTGAACCAAGAACCTCCAATGAGTAGCAGCGAGAGGCTGGGTAACAAGACCAACCAACAAATCAGTTGTTGCCAGACTACGATACAAGAGTTTGGACGGTGGATAAAGGGACGATTCCTTGTTAAGGGCAACGAGGATTAGAAAATTCCCAAGAAATGCTGTGATGGAGAGGAAAATGTTAATTGCTGAGAAAGAAATCGATTGTTGTTGAAACCCAACTACTAAGGAGGGGGAACATAGCAATACTTTATATCCTTCTATTCCACCCACTGTTGAGTTTGTCGTTGTAATCATTGTGCAGCTCTTAAAACGGTTTTTCTCCTTTCGCTACTGTTTTTCGGAACTGTTGGCAACACGGGATAATACTTGTTCACAGCAACCACCTGGCAAAGAATTAGTGAAATATTATCATTCTTTGTATCATCAACACTAAAAGCTTCTTTAATGCATCCTACTTGTTTTAAATTGGTTGAAAAAACTGTCTGTCGAGACTATTACATATTTATACATATGCACCTGTCTTGAAATTTGGAGGGTTGCCTTGCATAAATCAACCCCATAAAAGGTGTCGCTCTGGCTGATAAATTTCCTTCAAGAAAGCATACTGAATAAGAGCTGATAAAAATTGTAGGGATAAAGACATCTGCTAGTTTATTACTTTTTTTAAAAAACCTTTCTGTAGATAAAAAATAGGAATTGGTCAGAAACGGTAAACCTAACTTGATTTTGATGATATTTGTCGATCCGCAAAATCACGTTCCCGCTGTAAAATAGCGTTCAATAAAACATTGAAAATTATGTGATCTTCAGCCAAATGAGAAACTACAAAAGCGAATCAATTGCAAGTATCCAGAATACATTCTTTGTTTATGGATTTACTTGAAACACGTTCTACGAATCACCGACCAGCTGTGTATCTCCTCTTTGTAAAAATATCGAGAAGTTGGAATATTGAAAAACAAAAACAAAACGAAGAAGGAAATGATAAAAATTCAAACTATTTATTCATTATTAAATTATAACAGTCTTGAAATAAATTGCTATAGAACAGTTATAAAGGGTTCGAGGTGGAGTTAAAATACATTAATATAATTGTAATTCCATCAATAACGACTTCATATGAAGAATAAGTTTTCCTATAAGTGATCACAACCAGCATTGTAAATTTTTGTACATAACAAACAACTAATGTTAACTGCACCCACAGTGCACTGCTCACCGCCTTTCTATATCTCGCCATGTTCAGAGCAGTTGTTTAGCTCGGCTGTTGTTGAAAATGATCTTGTACTTGAGCCTGATGATGTCTAAAAGTGCGAAATATCTTTGTGTACGCGGTGATTGAGATCACTGAGCATGACAGTATAACTATAGCACTATACCAACGGGTTATTCGAGTATGTGAAATGGAAAATGATCCCGCGGCGACGGATAAAATCCAAAACGTAGCTGTAATGATACATGTGCGCTTGAAAGTTACTATTTGTATGTATCTTATCACCATTAACAGAGTGAGAAGTCTGTTCACGCTTATGGCCGTCAACGCTAGGAAAGACACTGGGCATAATGCAAAGCTTGATACGTAAACTGCGGCCCTTGTGTATCGACAAAGACCCCAGTGTTTGCAAACCAAGGACATGCAATAAGTAACAACGAGAGGCTGGCTAACAAGACCAACCAACAGATCGGTTGTTGTCAGACAACGATACAAGAGTTTGGACGGTGGACGAAGGGAAGTTTCCTTGTTAAGGGCAAAAAGAATTATGGAGAGGAAAATGTTAATCAGCTATTGAGAAAAAAAATTGAGATTTGTCTTTCTTTCCCCACATAAGTGGGTGAGTACATGATTTCTCGATAATTAATCGTCTCTGTTTTGTATGTTGTTGAATTAGTTGCCGCAATCAATCAGGTGCAAAATATTACGTAACTACCGCTAACACAACCTCAACGCCACTTTCATCGTTATTCGTCACCAGATCTCTATCATTTCTCCCATTTTTTACCCCTTGTACCATTTTCCTGTCAAAACTGAAACATACTTCACTCAAAAAAAGAAAAAACAAAACAAGACATATATATATATATATATATATATATATTTCATTTGATTATTAAAAAATCGTACGCTTGTAAATCAGAAGCAATGTTTAGACTACAGGAGAACGCTATCAATTCCTTTCTAGTGTCCATTTGGCAGCAAGATGAGAAACGTTTGTATTTATTCACATGATTTGGAAACATAGACAACATAATAAAGTCAAACGTACCGTTTGTGTAAAGTTGTTTATTTAGTATTTAGTATTGACTTTTATTAATCTGTATTTTCAGAGTTTCGCAGCTAAGCAATTAAACGTACTAATCCTGTGATATTTCTGCCCACCTTGAAAATTTTGTCAAGGGAAATTGAAAAGTCAAATTATATACTATATATGATTAGCCCGTGAAAAATATGAAAAGGTTAAGTCTCAGTCTCAGACGAAGACTTACCCGACTTCCTCAGCATGAATCGACATGGAAGGCAAGTAATATTACTCATTCGATATCGTGTCTTTTTCTCATGCATCTACGACTGTGGTTTTATTAAACCATGAGCTCCCACGCATCATGAAGCACGCGTAACTCCAGCTCAGGGAAATAAAAGTATAACTCCATGGAAAGCAAAATGCTTATCTGATTTGTCTGCTTTACTGCTTGTCTTACTGCTCTGATCTTCCAGCAGTGAAGAAACGGGTTCAACGTGGAAGTTAAATACAGCACAACTGCCGTTATTCCGTAAATGACGACAATATGTGAAGAACTTTCTTTTACTATGAGTGATTTCAAGGAACATTATAAAACGTGGTACATAGCAAACAACTAATGCTACGTGTACCCACAGGGCAATAATCACTACCTCTTTGTATCGTGCAATGTTAAGTGCACTTGGTTGGCTCGGCTGATGTTGAAAATGATCTTTTATTTGAGCCTGATGAGGAGACTCTTACACTAATAAAATGCTTAAAACGCTTTTTTAAAAATAATTTCTTTTAATCGAGTTTTCGTCTTACTTTCTTAATCTTAAAATAACTTCACGGGACACAGTAGTCCTACATGTTATCGAGGGTTCCTCAGCTGCTAGAAATCTGGACACTAGTAAGACGAAACATCTATTTTTATCTCAGGTTGTCAGCGGTATATATAAAAAGCGATCACACGTGGATGTTCTTTAGTCATCGAAATCAAACACAACATGCCGGTCGATAAGATAATCCCCGAAACGGGTCAAAAATGGCCAGAAAATGTTGGTATTATTGCGATGGAGGTTTACTTTCCTTTTACATGTGTCAACCAGGAAAAATTGGAAGAGTTTGATGGTGTTAGTAAAGGGAAATATACGATCGGTTTGGGGCAACGAAACATGGGTTTCTGCGGAGACCGCGAAGACATCAACTCGATGTCGCTTACGGTTGTTCACAAACTGATGGAGCGAAACTCAATCGATCCAAATGATATCGGCCGGCTTGAAGTTGGAACAGAGACGTTGATTGACAAATCGAAATCTGTGAAAAGCTTTCTGATGCAGCTGTTTGAGGAGAGTGGTAACACAAACATTGAAGGGATCGATACGACAAACGCTTGTTATGGTGGTACACAAGCGCTCTTTAATTCAATTGCGTGGATAGAAAGCAGTGCGTGGGATGGTGAGTTTTAAATTTATTGAACACTGAAAATTAAAGGAAAGAATGTTGTTTGCTTGAGCTTTAGACTTTTATTAAGTACAAAGGTCGATCATTTCATTCCGAGTTGTCAGGTTTCAACTTGCAGTCCTTGCAGATTCAAAGTTCTCAAACTAAAGCCCAGAGCTTTTTTTTACAATGTCACATTATGGCTTCATCAGAAAGCGAAGAGACTGTCTCGCTTAGAAAATGTAACTAAACAAAGCAATTAAAATAATGAAAGCCTCGGGAAAGCCTTTTTTTATCGACACTAGTTGGAACGTAGATGAAACTTCTGAGTAAAACTAATGTTCGTGCGATAAGTGCTGTCATAAGCACTTTCAAGTGTGCCATCGTGATTGAATTAATGACCCAACAAAGACTTCCGCTGGTTATTTTACTTCATCTTTTGACCCAACATGCCCCGGCAAACACATGCGGATATCCGCTGATATTTTCTGAATATTATTCCCCAATGTTGAAACATGATAATTCAATTATTTTTCAGACTTCCTAGGTACAGTGTTGTCAAGTTTATGTAGACCATTCAGTGTTGCTAATCACGATTTCTTGGTTCATTCTAGTAGAAAATGAAATGAATATGTATTTCTTAGTACATTAATATCTATGTAAATATGTATGCTTATAATCAATCAGATATTTTTGCTGATGTGTAATTGCTTTTAAATGTGTCATTTGGCTGAACAGTCAAGAAAAAGCCATGTGGCTTTTGCACTCACTCGGCTATGTTGCAAAAACTATAAGAAAACATATATATATATATTTATTAATTGTGAGTGTCTTGTTTTGATTTTAAAACTAAAGGAAGTTTTTATCGTAGAATCTTTTTGTGGTCGTCCCTTTCCTGCCTGTCTACCATGTCTTATCTAGCTTGACACAAAAGTTTTGCGTAGCGTTCATATGTCACAAAACTTATTGATGGAGTTTGATCCGGCCAGATGGTAAAGTACTTGGCTCTCAGTCATAATACACAGACTTTTCAATCCTAAAGTCATGATTTTGAGCCAAAAATGTTCTAGCCCAACCTTTCCAATCATTCTCTAAGTCTCTACTGGTCATATTTTTCATGGCTTTTTCTTTTTGTAAAATTTCATGTAACAATCTACTCTTTTTTTTAATGTAATGAAGTGGAGGAAATGATAAAAAAAATCAAAAACAAAACAAAACAAAAAAAAACATTCTCTATGTGGCACAAAAAATATGCCTGTGTACTTATCTTTGGACAGTATCTGTTTCTTAAAGTGATAAGTTTTGGTTTCAAGAGTTTTGCTCTCAGGGCAGATAAGCCCACATACAAATATTCTGTCATATTTCTTTACAAAATGGTGGCTATCATTTATTAACAGTGTACTTTTGAAATGTTCATTACTACTGTTTAGTTGCGCACACATGTGGGGCTGAAGTAGGCCATGAAATTTTTTACTCTCCCACACAAGCCTGACTTCTACTTTTGGTTTTGATGCACAGGTCGACTAGCTATTGTTGTTGCTGCTGACATTGCTGTATATGCAGCTGGCAATGCACGTAGCACTGGTGGAGCAGGAGCAGTTGCTATGCTGGTTGGACCAAATGCTCCTGTGGTTATGGAACGAGGTGAGTTGACTTTTAATCTTTAAACTACTATGAGTGACCAAGGCAGAATTTCTCCTTACTATGTCTGTATAGTATCATGTAAACAAGTGATGAGAATAAAGAAAAATATCAATTATGGGCTTACTAATTGATCCTATACTGAATTCTCCAAACTGACATAATGAGAATCATTTGGCACACAGTAATGGGAATTACTTATGAGATCTTGGGAGTTAAAGGGTTAACCCTGACATTATTGTAGGTTACATAATTGAACACCACTTAATCCTTTGAGCCCCTAAGTGCGATCAGAGTCAAATTTCTCCTCACAAGATTACCCCCCAAATGACACATTTAGGTCACAAGAATAAAGGAAATGATCACCAGCTAAAGAAGCTCTTGATTGTTAAACAAATTCTCCTTGCCAGTCCATTAGGAAATGTGTAGGAAGCAGTATGGAGAATAGGCATTTTGATGTTAGAGTGTAAAAGGTTAGGGGGATGCAGTGTCAGTAGCTGTTAATTTGCAAGAAACAGTGGGATCTAGAGAAATCCACCAAATGGAGGAGGGGAAAGTTGGTGAGAGAGCATTTTCTGTGATCTACTAATGCAAAGACCCACAACAACATGGAATCTATCTGCCAACTATATATGATAGAAAAGGCAAAATGTTGTTTATGGTGATTTCATCTATATGTTTGTCATCAATGCATTGTAAGGAAGAACTGATCAAACTTCATGTGTTATTCAGCTTATCATTTGATGTCCAATATTGTAAGCTTTTGAATCAGCAGGTAGTTAATTCTAGAAATTTTTTACACTGAACATATTAAAAAGGATTTAGGGGTTTTATAAAGAATTGTTTTATCATACAGAAATAGAAATTAAGGAAGACAAAGTGCTGCCCATTTTTCATGGGATTTATTGGAAGGGTCATGTGCCTCTGAGAATTGCATTGTACAGTGTGTCCCTTAAGGGTTGATTTCAAGTATTTTCTGCCTAGATGTTCTGTTTATATCTGTAATTTAGGAATTTGACACTTTTTAGATATTAGAAACATATTCTACTTTTTAATTCTTTTTTTCTTTATTTCACTACATAACCAACTAGGTTATTAATTAATTTGTGAAGGTGTCATTTGTGAAGATGTCATTTGTGAAGGTCCCACTGAAAATCGCCTCGGCAAGTTGAGGTTGCTCATTAGATATATGACGATCATAATGATAGTCAATATTATTATTATTATTATTATTATCATTATTCTAATAAATTACTTATTTACCATTTCCTTCATTGCATTAGGATTGAGGTCAGTGCACATGCAGCATGCATATGATTTCTACAAGCCAAACATGTCCTCTGAGTATCCTGTTGTTGATGGAAAACTCTCAGTTCAATGCTACTTTAATGCACTGGACCAGTGTTATAAGAGATACAAAGAGAAAGGAAAGCAGCTCTGTCAAAAGGCATCATTTACACTGGATGATATCGATTATGCTGTGTTTCACACTCCTTTCTGTCGGATTGTTCAGAAATCACTGGCCCGGTTGATGCTTCAGGATTTTCTTTCTGACATTGGATGTGAAAGTTCTGAGAGAGAAAAATATTCTGATTTAGCAAAATTTAGGTGAGTCGTATGTCACTTGTTACTGTCACACTCATGTAACCATAAACACCAGCTGCCAGTTGTATAAAGGGCGGATAACGCAATCCAACGGATAAATCACTATCCAGCGGATGTGATAACAAAACGTATAGCGTTATCCACCGGATAGAGATTTATATAATGAATAGCACTATCCGACCTTCGAACAACAGGGGCCAGAAGAATAGAGCAAATTTTTAACCGAGTGTCGAAAATAATCCTCGATTGCATTGGTTTTTGCTTTAATTCGCTCTTTGATTGGTCCAGGAAACTCGCGCCGTTTTCTCAACCAATCAGATGCAAAGCTAGCACCAAGTGCGAGCTGGTTGCCAGCGTTTTCCCGCGCTTTAGGCAGTTTGCGTGTTTTAACTCTGAGCTCTCATTGGGGCTCTTCAGGGTTCTTTCCTTTTCATTTCATTGGCTGTTATCTCTTATTTTGGTTTGGTTTTACTACACTCAATGGAAAAGCGCGCTACTGAGAATAACTTCTTTCTTTATCTGAAGACCGCAGTCAGAGGTTAGCTTCTCTCTTATTATCTTCCTTACATTCTGTTCATGTCATGTATTGTACAGTTTAACAATAAGCAGACATGCCTATCCAGCAGTTCATTGTAACGATCATCTAGGGCTTATTTCTCTCTCATTCCCTTTCATGCAGAGATGTCAAATTGGAAGAAACGTTTCAAGACGAGGGTAAAGCCAAGGAAATCGAGAAAGCGTCAATGAAATGTAGTAAAGATGCTTACGACAAAAAAACAGCGCCATCCTTGTGTATTTCTCGTAACGTTGGAAATATGTACACACCTTCACTTTATGGTTGTTTAGCTTCCCTCCTGTTCAGGTAATGGTCAGCGTCAAGTCATTAAAACTAGGAAATATATGCAATATTGTGTTATGGTGATTTGACAAGTAACTAGATCGATATCTACGGTCAATAGCATAAAAAGCGCTGCACAGGGCACTTGTCATGTGATCAAAAACGATCAGTGCAAGAGTACGAGCAACTCCTTAACGGCGAAATCCGTCGCGCTAAAAAAAAAAAAATTGGAAAGAAAAAGCGGAAAATTAAGTCAGCGCGCCGCGCAGAACTTTGGCAGAGATAAGGACGTTCTGCGCGGCGCGCTGACATATTTTTTTCCTATTATTATTATTATTATTATTATTATTATTATTATTATTATTATTAATATTATTATTATTATCATGATTATTATTATTTTTTTATTATTATTTTATTTGCGCGACAAACTTCGCCAGGAAGGAGGGACTGCTTATATTCTAGATTAACTTGCGACAGTAACTTTTCCGTCTGTCAGTCAGTCTGCTTGTCTGTCTCTGTAAGCGTGTGTGTTAGTCAGTCATGGTCAGTCATTCCGTCTATCTGTCATTCTATCTGTCTGTCTGTTCTTGCGTCTGCCTGGCTGTTTTTCTGTCTCTGTCCAGTCTCTGCTCGTCCAGAACTCAAAGAAATGACACCATAATAATTCTTGATAGAAGATCTGTAAGATATTTCACACCTGATTCTGCCCGCTTTAACTTACAGTTTTTATGAAACATTTTTCTATTTTTGACGGATGACAGTTTGTGTGAATTTCTGCTTTCCTGTTTATATTTACAGATCAAACAGCGATCACTTTGTACCCGAGCAAATTCGTCTTGACAAAGTTCTCTTGTTATCTCCTTTTTTTTTTCTTTTTTAGCGAATTGCTCGATGAATTGGCCGGCAAACGAGTGATGTTGTTTTCCTATGGCTCTGGACTCGCTTCAGCCATGTTTTCCTTTCGAATCTCAGACGATTTTGGACCCAGTTCCCCACTGAACACACTGGTGACGTCACTGAAGGATATCCCAGCACGCTTGACGTCCCGGAAAGAAGAGGAACCCGCCGAGTTTCTGGAAACCCTCAAAATACGCGAACATACGCATAACAATAGCAGTTACACGCCGATCGGCTCTGAGGAAGATTTATTTCCAGGGACTTATTATTTGACGTATGTGGATGACAAGTTTCGACGAACCTACCAGCGAAAAAAAAATTCCTCTAATGAGGGGAGCTGTATGGTTGTTTAAAGGGGATTTGTGCTTTGGAGTCCAGATGATTTTAATCACTTTTAGTATCTATAAAATTGTGACACTTACGGCGTTTTGAGATTCCAAAGAGTAACCCTCTTTTTTTTTTTCGAAAGTTGTCTTCGAATTAGGGAAAACTTCGAGCGCCACTTTGAATCGTGCTCAGCAGCCTGGCCACTTTCCTGTGACGTGATCTAGTCTCCTGCAGACTCCCCAGTTTGATTTATTATTATTATTATAATTATTATTATTACTTTGCAATAATTAGAAGAGTAACTGTTTGTGAACCTAGCGTTGCGATTTACTAATTTTTTTCCAATTTGCACGCCATAATCGAATTATAAGCACATCCAAAACAATTTTGGATCTTTACAGTCTCTGTCTGAAATCTCTGAACGCCGCAAGGATTTGGTACTATATACACATTTTAAATGATGGTTTGTGGAACACAATTTTATTAACCAGAGCAGATTTTAGGTATACCTGCACCATGCAAGTAATTTAAAAAAGTTTGTTACATAATATGACGGTGGATCTGTGTTAATCAACCATTTTTTGTAATCCTAACCAGAGGATGTCTCGAAACTTATTTTTTTAGGTCCTCGTTGTTAACGCTCGTGCAAGAGAATGGGGAATGTTTCTCTCCGAAATTTTATTTATAACGCTGATCTCGATGATGTGTTTATTATGTGAAATTGTTCGTCGAAATACAGCGTTATGATTTACCTTCTCCGTGTGGAGGTAACTGCAAGCAGTAATTGCTTTGAAATTAACAGTTTAAGTGTTATTTGGCGTTAATTAGCCTTTTTGTTCTTTCAATTGATGTAATGAAAAGAGTGAATTGCCGCTAAAATGGTTACCAACGTCATAATCATAGGGAAATACTTCATTAGACTTCTAACTGCGAAGTCACTAATTAAATTAGGGACAATTTATTCAAAAATGACAAACTCGAAGAGATATTTTGCTGAGTTGTTGCAATTTGTGAAGGGTGTAATTGTGGATGGCTCGAATCTTCTTACTCGCTTGAATTTTAATGGTAACAGTTAAAGTAAACGTAGTAAATAAGTGTAGTATAACTTTGAATAACCCCCCTTCCCGCTCAACAATGAAAATATGAAGTGAATGTCTTTTTTTCTTTTAAATTAAAAATGTTGATATTTTGAGTCAAATTTACCGGCCATTAATTAGTTAGCTGCGATCTGATTAATTAGAGAGGAATCTTACAATTAGTGCAAAGCCTATCTAAGTGACATTCCTTTTAGCTAATTGTACAGAATTAAAATTGATTTACAAATCATTTGGATTTCATTTTGGGACATAGTGAGGAAGTTTCTATCATAATTTTCACAATGAGCGAAAGAAATGACAGCAATGTCGTCCGTACGACGAACATAGCGCCGACTTGTGATCAGTTTTCACATTTCTATCACTTTAATTCCGGAAATTCTCGAAACGTTGCCAAGGAACAGACCGAATCACATGATCGCCAGGAGGAGTTACAGCAATTTACCGAGGATCAAACGGAAAAGACGAAACAGAAGAAGCAAGCTGGAATACTCAGTTGGCTGCGAAAACGTGTTTCGTTGAACTCCGAGTCTGAGGTACGAACGTGGTTGACAGCACCCATGGGCACTGCTCACAACAGAGCTTCGAAGGAAGTAAAGGACAACGTTATAATCACACAAGTGAAGAGAATGCCCACGTACCGTTGCGTCTCTCTGCCTCCGGGCTGCATTCCAACAGAAGTTTTACTTGTCGCGGAAGGAACAAGTCACGTCGAATTGGATCCGAGGTCAGAAAGCGTCTCTGACTCCAAAAGCACCAGAAACGGGAGAGGAGACGTTCAACAGCGTGCCATCGTCGTCTCAAGGGCTCAGAGAAATGAAGAGTTTTTGCCATTTAAGGTTTTGAGAAATAACTGGGTCAGTCCAAATTAATGAACTGGAGGCGAGTGAGGGTATTTCTTCAAACTGGGACACAGAACCTGTATCCCTTTTTCTTGTTAATCATATCTTTAAAGAAAGAAATAAGCATGTTAGTGAATTTTCCATAGCTCTAGATCTCTAATAAGTTCACCGCTGTCAACATTTACTTTGTTCCCATACATTTATTTAATGCAAAGTCAGAAAACCTCCAATTTTTTTTCACAGCAAAATTAAAATCGCAGATATAGGACTACAAAATCCGTTGTTAAAAAAACAAAACACAACACAACAAACAACGAGAAACACAGGTTCTAAAAATGAAAACAGCGAACAAAGTTCAAAAAGCGAAACAAACAAGCCGAGTAGTTGTGTGGGGAGTAAGGGGGGGAGATCACTTTGCTAGAAAGAAAATTCCTATCGTAAAGGGATGCTTCAACCTTACACTAAGTCTGACAAAGCATAGGACAAACCTTTCCTCATACTACTGGAACGGCGTTTTGGTTTACAATTTATGATTAATCTTTTATTCAGATATTCTTGACTTAAATAGCTTTCTCGCTTTTAAATATTTATTTACAACAATATACAGCCATCATAATATTTCAAAAACTAAGCAATGAAAACTCCCCTTTCACCTTAGATTTTGGAATAAGACATTTCTTTAGCATTGAATTTGTACACCGCACACATTTATACCATTTAACTTTCTTTAAACATTTTTACAAAAATCGTTTCATAATGAGTCAAGCTAATCTTATGATTAAGAACTCCTTAAATGTAAATAATTCTTAAAGAAAATTTCTTTAATATGTATGAGCTGAGAGTAATATCAACCGCAGTAATATTAGTGATAATATTAATAATCATAATAATAACAACAACAATAATAATCATTATTATTATAATAAAATCAATAAGTAGAATGGTCCGGCCAAGATGCATACGAAAGGTCTTGAGTATTTCCTGCACCGGAACGATCCGAAAATTCATTTAATGATCATTACAAGTCGTCCCGAGTGCTTCTTGGCGGCTTGTTGTCTGATATGGGCGAATGAGCTTTGATATTCTCCGAGATGGTGTTCTTTAACCTGGTTAAGAATCCTTCTCTTTGGTCTTCGGATGAAACACTTAGACGGACGCGCAATGAGTCCAAAAGCTTGTCTAAGAGGTCCAAGTTTGCAGATGCACCAAATCGTCTGTTGAATTGAACACGGCTGAAAATGAGACAAGTGATGACAAAAGTCAATCAAGAGCATTTTGTGAATGCAATTCAAAACCTAGGTTATCACGACCGGCCAATCACAACAAAAGAAAACATCACAAGGAGCCGATGATAACTCAGATGAACCACAAGCAAACTCCTCCAAGCGCGGGAAATCGAGGGTGAGCAAGTTGAGATTGATTTAAATTCTCATCTGATTGGTTGAGAGAGTGGCGCGAGTTTTCTGAACCAATCAAATAGCGAAGGAAAGCAAAACCATTGCGATCCCAATACAAATGAAACTCGCTCAATCTAATGAAAACTTTTTTACAAAATAGTTACATTGCAGACAAAGTGTTCTCCTATAAAATCATCGGTAAATGGTAATCTTAGAAAGTTTCATACAGTAGGACGCTGTTTCAGCTCGTAAAGTGCAGTTAGAAAAAGAAAAAAAATCTCACAATGGATATCTCCTGTAGTCGTCTGCGATGTTCCTCACTTGTTCCACCGTATCATCTTCATCAGCCTCGTTTCTGAACACCTCGTAATCAAACTGATACGGCAACCTATACTGGCCAGCCGACTCCCACTCGTCACTGATTGTCAAGCATCTTATTTGTGATTGGTTAGACAGATTACTGTAATTGTACGGGCTGACAATTATTCCAATGAAGGGTGCTCCGCCCTTTCCAAACCATTCCTGTTCACAGAAAAATTAAAAATATGAAGATATCTGGTTGTCTACTAAAGAAATAAACTAGCCCTAGTTGTTTAAAGGTTGAATAACACTATTTACAAGACAAATCTCAATTCGGTAGATAGCGCAGCACGTTTTGCCATCACGTATCCGCTGGATAGCGATCTATCCGTTGGATAGCGTTATCCGTCCTTAATACAACTGGGCCCTGGCCTTTTGGCCGGGTGGTCCGGGATCGAGCCAATTTTATGGTCATGGGGATGGGATGTTGGGAGGAAGGGGGGATGCTTTAATGCCGTTTCATAACATCGTTTAACCCTTGTCTGCCGGTTTGGAAAAGAGAAGTAGTTTTCCGAGGTGAGTGTGCGAAAGGTATGTCATTAAGCAATGTCAGCTCTTTGAAAGGGGTACCTCTTACAAACTATTTTAAAAAGAATAGGTACGGAGATAGACCACGAATACCCCTCTCCCTGGCAAAAAGAGTGGAGCAAAAACAAGAGTGACGTTACTTTTTCTCCTAACCCGAGAAATTCCATTAAACTGAAATAACCCCCCCCCCTCCACCCTACCTTACCCCATTTACGACATCAGGAGTTACCTGAAATTTTGCTTGAGTTTCTATGTCGCGCACGGAAGGAATGGGAGCGAACGTGGGATGAGAGTGGTACCAGCCCACTACAGCCAATCCTCGGAGCGCTAAGTCTTCAGAGGCCTGCGTTTGAGATACAGGGTCCATTTCACACTGAAGTCCTGTGCTTAAGCTACGACAAGGGATCGCCTTGGAAACCTACACAAGCAAAACAATGAATGAACGGTTGAGACTATTTTTGCAACAAACGCAATCGATCAGTGTTCAAGTTTGTAAGGAACATAACTGACAACTCGCCTTCAATACTCTCGAGTCATGTGAGTAATGTCCTCCAAGCAGACCTATCACCTCAGTGGTTGACATGTGCGCATGCGTGTCCATGACCACCAAAGTCTCTGATTGGATGTGAACATCAAAAGGCACAGCACCAAGCGAAGGAAACTTCCGACAGGGAACGAGTAAGAACGGATCGTACGAGGGCTTGCTTCGGGAAGGTCTTTTCCTGGGGACTGACGGGGAGCCCTTTTCGTTCAAGGATCCATTGGGTGAAGCTTCTTTGTCAGGAGACAAGTGCTGGAAATTAAAGTTTTCAGATAAAAAAACAACTGCAAAATTTTAAGTTTAAAGAACACAAGAACACAATGCAAAGGCCTTCCCTGGTCTCTAACCCAGACCTTTTGGGCTCTATATTTGACCACCGCGTGTAAAATCCTCCAAGAGTAAACATAGTTCTTTAGAAAAAAGGCCACAAGATACCTGTATCGTCATCCCTTCAGCTTTACTCGGGTCGATCCAGTCTCCCTCTTCATTCCTCTGTCGCTTTCTCCTCGGTCTAAGTGAATTTACCCAAGATTCCATATGAACGTTTACCTTTGCATCTGTAGCCTCGTCTTGCTGTCGGACGCGGGGAACTGGTCTATCCAAACAACCTTCGTTTATAGCCTCAATATCTTCTAAAAATGCGTGAACTCTTCCTATAGAGTTGACATCGCCGCAGTTTCGAAGCCCGCTCCTCACGGCCGTTTTGAAAAGGAAATTCGGTTTAGTTTTTTCCCACATGTCGAGAATGTAGTTGCGGATTTTCATATATCGCTCTGGTGTCTTTAGAGCACGCCCCATGAAAAATTCCATATTGTGATCTTTCTCTAAATCCTGTATAACATTTCTGTCGATAGTGATTGGTTTAAGTGAAGTCACGTCAGCCCCAGGCTGCTCCCGGTCTAACGAGTCTATCAGTTCAGAGCTAGTCACTTCACCACTTGTCGCTGCCTCCCAGTCTCTAGCAGATACATCATCTCCTTTTTCACTTGCGACTGGCGCTCGAGAATTGTGGCCTGTATCTTTACTTTGAACACAATCGCTTTTCGAAATTATTTCTAGGCTCTTAGCGAGTCCGTCTGGAAAACACTGCTTCTCTAAAGATGATTCCTCTTCACATTCATTTGGCAAATGATTTCCATATTCCACACCATAACATAAACGATCATAGTTCTTCACCTCTTTAACTTCAGTTTCGTTTAAAGAGGCCATATCCAGGAATGATTTTGATAAAGATGAAGAAGTTCTATTTTCAGACAGCGATTTTTTATCCAAATTCGGAAAACATCTGACATCGATAGCAGAGATGCTGGCCTCTGTTTTCGAAGAGTTCGGCGACATGCTTTCTGGAAGGATAGTGACAGGATTCTCTTCCAAACTTATCTGTTGGTTTTCTACTTCTGCAGCGTGAACCAGGGCCGAATAAACAGCCTCGGGACATGATGTCGTTTGACCTGCAGTAAAGCAAATTCATTGAAATCAAAAAAAGCTCGTAAACGTTTTAATAGCGCTATGTTTCACATATGTCGTTATGAGAAGAGTAAAGGAGGATTAAAACGAGGAAATATTTGGACGAGAAAGTATAAGAACGATAAGAGATTAATAAGAGGGGAGACTGAGACGAGAACAGATTGGGATACAAAAAATTAGGACTAACCCTAAGATTTGTATTGGTGAATACGGGAATGAATACAAACTAAGACGAGAGGAGAAGGGGAACGAGAATAGATTGTGACGAGAGGAGATGGGATTCAGAATAGACTGGGACGAAAGAAGAGGGGGACGAGAAAAGATTGGAACGAGAAGAGATCGGAACGAGAATGGATTGGGACGAGAGGAAATAGGAGCCAGAGTAAATTGGGATGAGAGGAGATGGGAACGAAAATGTAATGGGACGAGAGGAAGAAACAAAACAGAAACGAGTAGATGACAGGAAAACAAAATTTTCCTAAGAGAAAGGAAACAAGAAAACTGAGAAAAGCTATTATTATAGTCAGGCACTCATCCTAACGAGATGGAAGAGGAAAAAAAAGAAAGCAAAACACTGTTTTCACCAGTGAATTTTCATAACAATACTGAATATTTCAAATTACCGGGAATTAAATGAGTATCTGACTGTTCACTATCAGATCCGTCCACGTCCACCTCAATATCTTCGTCATCAGATTCATCCTGTGCCTTGTCCACGACAACTGTAGGAAGTACAGACGTAGAATGGATCACTGAATCGTCTTCCGAAATGATATTGTCATCTAGGACTTGCTGTATTTGTACTTCAGAAACAAAAATAGTTTCATTGGACTGTCCTTCCTTAGCTGCTCCTGACTGTGCGAAAGTTTTATTCTGCAGAAATGAAAAGGAACAGTGTTCCTTTAGTTGAGCGGGGAAGGGCAGAGCAAGCGCCAAACGCAAGGTCGACAGCGGAGAGGAAGGGAAGAAAACAACAACTTCGGCGGCTTTTATTCAGCTTGCACCCTGGTCAAAACTAGACAGTAGATCTGAAGGTCTACGAGCAGACTAGTCGTTTAGCTGTGTTGTAACTGCTTGTACCAACGAACAACTCAGAAAAAAAAAATACAGTTTGCAGTAGCTCTAGTTGATGGATTAAATTACGTTCGAGGATATTTTTTATTCCAAGCAGTGTGCGTGTTTCACGCGTGCAGTGCGTGGGAATTGCATGCGCGTGAAGCGCGTATAATGCTGCGGCACACGGTACCTTTTGTCTAAAATATTGCTTAGCATAGTTCTTCACTTGCAGAGCCGTCCGTGTTTCAATCATGCTGGCTATCTTTGTCCAACTTCGGCCATACAATTCCTACAGAAACAAATCACTTTGCTATCAATTTTTATATTTGTTATCGACAACGAAGATTGTATTCTAGATAAAGCACTTGGACACATACACAGCATATCACTTAACCCTGTAACTCCCAATATCTCATTAGTAATTCTCCTTACTGTCTGCCAAATGATTCTCATTCCGTTATTTTGGAGAATTTGGTATTGGATCAATTAGTAATCCCATGATTGATATTTTTCTTTATTCTTATCACTTGTCTGAATGATATTGTGTAGATATAGTAAGGAGAAATTCTGTTCTGGTCACTCATTGGAGTTGAAGGGCTGACATGATTTTCAAAGATGTGGCACTTCAAATTCCAAAACCTTACCTCAACACAACACTTTATGAGTGTGGGCAAACACGACAGAAGTATGAAAAAAACCAAAGGAAGATGACTTAAAGGCGATTACAATAATTAACAAGAGGTGTGACAGTGTACCTTGATAAAAAACCAAATTCTCTAAACTAAAAGGAGAACAACTGATCAAGTTTTGACAATTTACATGGTCAATATGTCATTTAAGAAAGAAGCCTCTATTATCTCTGAATAACACCAAGATTATATTTATTAAAGATATCTATTAACTATAATTTAAATTTACAAATGTTTATAAATGGAGTACTGTTGTATTAAGTCCATGTAGGTCCACACCAGCTCTACTCTTTTCAATTTTTAACCTACTGTGAAAAGTAGAATTGATTTTGATTCTTGAGTAAACTTACCAATCCTTGTTCAAAGAGTTCTTGTTCCTCAATTGTCCAAGGTTTTCTGTGAGTTGCTGAAGGTTGTTCCCTACAACAACACAAATTTCAAAAAAGGTAGAGCATTGCTTATGTGGATGGTATAATGCTTTAACCATTCCAAGAATCAGGAGGTTCAGATAAAATTTTTTGGTTTCTAAAATTCCTCCGTCCAAAAAGCTGATTTATGTCTGCACAGTTTTAGTACAAGACCAAAATATTTGTAAAATGAATTTCAAAAATTTTTGAAACACATCAAGACGAAAGGTTTCATCAATTTGTTACAGGTAAATCAAGATATCCTAGTTGAAGCTTTTTTGAAATAACTTTGACACATGGCATTGTCCGTAAATTTTATATTTTTTACCTTTTGGGGTTCAACTTGGTGATTCCCTTCTTCACATTTGAATTTGAATTCCTTGAAGAAAAAAAAATGTTTATAAATAATTATTATTATCTATTAATTTCAATTGCAATCTACTTCAAAAAGTTATCACAAGTTGAATTTTGGAATCACTTTGTAACCCATTAACTCCCATGAGCGATCAAGACAGAATTTCTCCTTACAATATCGATACAATATCAAGCAGACAAGTAATGAGAATTAAGAACAATGTCAATTATGGGATTATAAGTTGATTAAATACTGAAATCTTTGAAGTAACAACATAAAAATTGAGAATAAAGGTAAACACAGACCAGCATGGACTCCCATGTGGTTTTGTGGTCACGTCACATCAACGCCTTATTATAGTTTTGCTCTCACTAGCGTGTCTTTAACCCTTTAAGTCCCACTAGTGACCAAGACAGAATTTCTTTTTACACAATCAGTACAATATCAAGTAGACAAGTAATGAGAATTAAAAAATATATAAATTGGGGGATTATTAGTTGATCCAATTCCAAATTCTCCAAACTAACATTATATAAATTGTATGGCAGACAGTAAGGAGAATTACTAATGAGATCTTGGGAGTTACAGGGTTTAGGGATTTCCCCTTTTTTTGAGAGACAATTTGTAAAAATTTTTTTCAGTAGTGGCTGATTGTGTATCAGACTCCAATGTTCCATCAATATATATTTTTTTAATTTTTAACAGCAGAGTAGTACATTGTGACAAAAGGCAATAAACATTTATGACCTTTTGGCTTTTGCGTAGGCAGTATGGCAAATTACTTATCAGATTTGGGATTGATAGGGTTAAATTTCTACATACAAGAAAGCAAAGTATAACACAGTTGGTTCACTATAACTAGGGTAAGAATAGATTAATATGTTTTTTCGGTGAACCAGAGGTGAATAAGTAAGGAAGCCTATAAAAGTAAATACCACAACCTGGTGGCAATCAACATTTTTTATTGAGGTAAATAATCAAATAAATGTTATACCTTCCAACACAAGTTTGCCTTTTCTTCTCCCCTGCAAAATTAAATGCAGTATATTAATATGGTTACTGCTGTAAAAACAAACACACAAACAAACAAACAAAACAATAAAACCATACTAAATTCAAAATCAGTGTCCATGCCCCAACCTCAACCAAAACCCCCAGAATTTTGCAGAACATTTTGAAATTCCGTGCTTGTTTAAAATCAAAAGATTATAATTCAGTAATAAAACTAATTGCATGTCTTACCCGTTGGTGTTTTGTCCAGTTTGATTGGTGTTGACCTGTAAGCATACATTCTACAATTCAAGTTAAGGAGCAACACTGTTCATGAAAAGGAGATATATAAAAATAAAATTTATTTTGTTAATGTTAAAAGTCTGCATTCTTGGAAAAGGAACTGAAATGAAGATAGTTTGTGTTGTTTCTGGTTAAATAAATTATACACAATACACACTACGACCTCTAAGTCTTTTTTACTTCACTTCTAAAAAATTGAAGCCTATACAACAAAAACAACACTTAAATATCTCCAGTCTCCTAACTCTTCAACACCTAAGGGTGACCAGCATCTAATTTATCCACACAAAATCACCCCTGAATCACACATTAAGTTCATGAGAATGAAAGTAATGATCCCTGACTAAAGAACCTCTTGATTATTACACAAACTCTCCTTGTCAGCATCTTACGAAATGTGTAGAGATCAGTATGGAGAATATGCATAATGATATTAAAGGGTTGATTCTTGCACTTAATCCAAGATCTTTTCCATGATTCTCTGTACTATCAGCTATATGTTTCCCTGTATATTAGTAGAGAGAAGTTCATGTGTGATCAAGGAAACAACCTCTAATTGAAAAGGTTTGGGTTATTCTGACTCATTACCTGTCTGTTGGATAATTTTGAACTTAGGAGAAACTTCCAGTTAATCACCTCTGGTATGAAAGGGTTCAGTTGAACTCATATCTCAAAAATCTGGTACAATGACTTTAGATTTTTCAACACATATAGTAAGGATACTGTTCTTCTAGAATCATTTTCTCAATAGCTGAACGACTCTTGTCATCAGTGCAAGGATCCAAGGACCAAACCTGTTCAATGTTAACGATTATAAGTCAAAGTAAGGAGCTAATAATATTAGATGCAACCCCGATTTAATATAATTCTGATTTTAAATAATTCTAATTCTGTCATAAACAAAAGAATCACATTAGAAAATTCAGACTGAACTTTTTAAGGTATTCGTACACTGTTTTTTTTTGTTTTTTTTTTTTCATCGCGTTCATTTTATGTTGCGTACGCGAGCTTTAAAATATACACTCGAGGTTTGTGATATAAACAATAGCTGTTTTGGAAAAGATGCCTGACTCTTCAAATCAGTAAAAATTTCAAACATGACCTAAAGCTTCAGCGAATGATTTCCCCAAAATGTCAATATTTCATCTGTTCATGGTTTGGAAATATTTCATTGGATTATGGTTAATGGTTTTAACACTGTCAATCTTGCTTACATCAAATAACACATTAACACACAAAATGTAAACTTCTCACCGAATTTGTGTCTAAAAGCCATGAATTAGGATCGCAATATTCCGACGAGAATGAGCTTCCAGAGGGATTAAAAAAATTCTGATTGCTGGCGTCCTTATCATACCTAAAAAATAATAAGTCAATATTTAAATTCAAAGCCTACGTTATGTATAAACAAACAGTTTAAAATGACCATCTCCTACCTTCGATTTAACATGGCTCAATTTTTATCACTAATCAATGTAAGACTTGTTAAAAAGAGTTATTGTAAAACATATTATTATATCATAGTTTTCGTACCACTTATCTTTGTGATCGTCGTCAGCCAGATCTTTTAAATTTGATACTTGCTGACAATCGGAAATACCTTCGACATCGATCTCCTCTTCTGCCGATTCCGCCATATTGAATTGGAATGGCGAAAAGACTGGAACGAGATGTAGACTGACTCTCAGGGTGGGGATGCGGCAGTTTTGTCCGTCAAGAAAATTTTAACAAAGTATAACTAAATTTCTGTTTCACGACTTTCTCTCTCTCTTTTCCGTAATTCATTAGGTAAAGATAATTCTTTATGAACATCCTGTTTCAAATGTTCGAAACATATTTAATATTCTGTCCTCCTTTAAACATTGCCTTCGTTTTTTTTGAGAAAAAAAATGGCTTCATAAAGACATCTTCGGGAGCCCATTAATGGGCTCCTGACATCTTATTAGAGTAAGCCATGAATGGAAAATTGTGAATAAAGAAAAAAAAAATTCACTGAATAATTTCTTGCATTTAAAGCCCATAATTACAACACTGTCCTGAGGCCTATCCCGACGCGAAGGTGTTCGGTAACTTTTGAACACCTTTTGGCGGTTTTAGCAACCACGAGCAACTTTTGCTTTTTCTGAGCAATTTTTAAGTAAATTAGCCAGTAGATTAAGGAAAAAAAAAACCTGAGTCAACGATTTCATATAAAACTTCAAGAGATGAGACGTACTCTGAGAATGCAATGGGTTGCGTTCAAGTTCCCTCATATCGTTCGGCAAGATGTCAAATGAACCATATGCATGTGGTTTGTTCCATTCGAATTATGCATGAGAATTCCCATATTTCCCCCATATTTGCAAGCAACTGTTCCTAGCCAGGTTTCAAGCCATTTTTCTCGACCGATGTCGCGAAAAATTTCTGTCACGGTCTAGGAATTTGGACACCCCATGAATTTGTAACATAATACCCTGAGGTTAAAATGTTGTGGCTGATCAGGCATTTGTATCTCTTGGAGACGGAATCGTTTGAAATCAACATTATATTTACGGCTACGGCCATTTCGAACCTCGGAGGTTTGCGCTTAAAGTTGAGTGTTAACGAAGTTTGCCTGCATAAAGATGTCTTCTGACGAGGAAACCATTCCAGATGACGATGGTCTGCCATATTTGGGAGAATACGATGGTGAAAGAAACGAACTGGATGAACGACATGGTTTTGGGCGAGCGAAGCTTCCCAACGGTGATACCTACGAGGGATGTTACGAAAATGGCAAGCGGCACGGGAAAGGAACCTACAGGTGAAGATTTAAGTCTTATTTTGCATCAAGCAATCATAATTTGACATCGCGGTTTTTTTTTTCAGAACCCATCGGGTGTGTTTGGCCTTTCTTAGTAAAAACATAATTCGCTTGAAGTCGATTAAACTTCCGTTCTGCCATCGGAGTTGAAAAATTCATTGCATGGTCTCAACGATCTCTGCCAGCATTGACTTTGATGCATGGAATAAAAGCGATTGTTTATTGTTTAGCGAAGATATTTGCGTGGCAACAAATTAACATTGACTTTGATACATGAAATAAAAGCGATTGTTTACTGTTTAGCGAAGATATTTGCGTGGCAACAAATTACCATCTTACGATGCTTTGACAAAGGCGCGTTTCAGTGAAGGCCAAAGGCATTAATATTCGAGTACTAGGGCACGTTCGACTATAACCACAGCTGTGGTAGAATGCTTTCTCTTTCCGCATTTGCCCAACTTAGTAGTTGTACTACTATTGACACATTCGAGCTAATGTTTATAATGACCTCTCAAATGTTGACTTGGTGAATAGGGTATCGTGACTATATCAGTCGCTTTGCTCATTCATCCATTCAGTTCACGTTTGGTCTTTACTGATGTCCCGTGGTTTTCTCCTGCCGCTTGTTTATAACAATGCGGAATTCTGGCCAGAAAGGAGGAGATATAAGTGTTATTAGACGTGGCTTTTCGACGCTAGAGACAGGTGATCGTAGCGAAATGGCGATGTTTCGAAAGTTAAGCCCGCTTGGTTTATTAATTCAATTTTTTAACACTTTCACGCAAAGCCGTGTTCAGTCATGCGCAAAAGGTCACGCCGTGAAAAATTCTTATCTTGAAAGTCGTGGTGAAGACTCTTCTTGAATAAGGTATTTATATCAGCTAAATCCTCTCTGCCACAAAAGTGCTTAATTTTCAATTAAAATTCTAAACAGAGAATGCAGTGGCCATTTATTTCTGACATATTCTCTATTTTTTTAACCACTAAAGAAATCCTCTCGTCATAAAGAGAAGTATGTACTTCACTGCACGTACTATGAAACAAGGTGTTTTGATATTACCATCACCCTCCCCTTCCCCTTCCGCCCCCCCCCCCTTATTTCTGAAGAAAATGTTTTCTACCTATTAGTAAACGACAGATGAACCGCTTTGGAGAGGACTGAGTTCAAATTCTAGGAACTGTAAGGAGCTAACGCCATCGCAACAAGACTTGCAAGACTATAGATTTTGCAATGGAAATCTAAAAAAAAAATTGATGTACAGAAATTTATTTCCTCTGTACGTAACAAAAAAAAAATCTGCTCAGAATAATCACAACATTCCTCTAAGACAGGGGTAGAGGTAATAGAAAACTCGTTCCAAGTCAGAACCTTCTTTACTCAAAAGCCTCCTCTTACAACCTGAGTCTAATCGGCAGCAACATTTACCGCGATTGAAACCAAAATATTTCTTTCTTTAAGATTCAAAAATGGAGCGCGCTACGTTGGTTACTACATAGAGGGCAAGAAAAATGGTGACGGCGTGTTCTTATATCCAGATGGTTCCAAGTATGAAGGGTCCTGGATCAACGATTTACGAAGCGGCTTTGGTACTTACACTTACCCCAACGGAGACACCTACGAAGGGGAATGGATACAGGGGCGTAGACACGGCCAGGGAGTTTATACGTACAAAGCAACCGGCTCGCGTTACGATGGGAGATGGTTCCAAGGCAAAATGCACGATGAAGGTCAACTCATTCACTCAAACCACAGATATGTAGGTGATTTTGAGGAAAACAAGCCAAGAGGCCGTGGGAGGTACGTTTTCGACTCGGGTTGCGAGCAGATTGGAAAGTACGTATGGAAAGAGAAGGAGATTTTAAGCGAACATGAAGAGGACGAACCTGAAATTGTGATTTTACCGATGTGGGAGGGAAAAGAGATTTGCTCGTTAACAGACGAACAGTGATAACCCCTACACAGCACTTACTGCGTGCGAATTTATTTGTTTCAACATACCAGACACTTTGTTAATTTCGTATAAAGTACAGAGTGTTTTCTACTTAGGCAGATTAAATCCATTTTCAACTAATCACATTTACGCAAACTTGTGCTGTGTTGACCTGCTTTCTTAGCCAAGAAGATCAAATCTATATTTCAGCTGATCCCTGTCGATGAAGTCCATTAAAATTCTTATTTCCGCGAGTTTTCTCGCCTTTTGTTCCTACCTTAACGCGAATTGTTAACGCCCTTCGCTTTTGCTCAGTGGCTAATTGGAAATGATTTTACTTCCCGTAAAAGGATGATAGTTCTTGGCGTACAAAGAGAAGACTTTGAGGTACTTATATCTACGCATAAGCGCCCCGCGCCGTTGGTTAAGCGCCGGATGCAAAACTAATGTAGTCATAAATGGGAAAGTAAACTTACAGTAATGTTCAGAAAACTCCTTAGTCTTAGATACCAGACCATAAGGGAACTCGCCTAATGACGAAGTTTACCATGCAAAGTTAGCCTTTGTATCGTGACCTTCAGAAGTGTAATTACCATATTTACGCATGCAGAAGCGTACTTCTTATCAAAAGATTTACAAGTAGTTATAAAAGACTAAATGTGTTCGATTCTCTGATTCTCTGTTCTTGAGATATTTCAAAGTAGTTGAGCATTCCTTTTTATGGCAAACTGAATTGAAAGAATTTCTAGAAAACTTTAACGGTAAGTGTTAAACAAAAGCCACGAAAACTTTTCAAACGCCACAAAGTGCGGCGCTAGACTTGTACATGCATGTGCACAAGTGTTCACTCTGTCGTAGAGAAGAGTTCATAAAAGTTTCTTCTACCGAAGATGGTTGCATTTAGCGAGATAATTACATTTAAGAAGAACATCGAAAGTATATCGGATACGTTCTAGTTTCTGAATTGTGTCCTACACGATAACGTTTAGTTGAAGGTCGACGACAAACTTGCCATAGATAAAAAAAAAAATCTAGCCACTCTACCGGCTTATGTATGCTTCTGAAGCGCTCATAAAATCTTTCTTCAATTCAGTTGATCGGGCAGCTCATTGAAGATTTGACCGCTGCATTTCATCGACTCTCGTGATCTTAGATCTGTGAGAAACGCTTGCACACGAGCTACCCAGTAATGTTCTGGATGAATTCCTTTCTTTTTCCACTCTTGTAGACATTCGTCCAAGATCTTCTCTCCAGCGTCCATGTCACCAACGTGCACAAAAGCCTCACCCAAGAGAGCCCTAGGATGATAGGCACCGGGACTCACTATGAGGTTCTTATCCTTATGAACTTGTACAAGCTCTTCCAGAAAATCCTTCGCGCGTCGATATTCCCCACGGGTGAATAGGACGTCTGCGAGGAATGTACCCGCACGCGGCCACGCAATATGTCCTGAGCTTCTGTATACCTCAACGGCCTTCTGACACATCTCGTAAGCTTCGTCAATGTCTCCTAAATGCAGTTTTGCTGTTCCGTATGTCATCCTAACTCCGTTGGGGAACTTGTGATTATCTCCGTGAAGATCTAGGTAGATTTTTAACGCTTGCGCATGTAGCGTGGCCGATTCTCTCAGATGCATGTTGGTGCTGCACGCATGTGGATGCGTGTGACGCAGGCCAAGATACCAGCGCAGATGGACTTTAGCCGTGTAATTCAACACCTGGCCACGAAGGAACATCTCAGTCGAATCACAATTTTCAATAATTTTTCTGGCCTCCTCCAGGACTTGTATAGCCTCATCGTTTTCCCATCTGTCATGCAAAATGATTCCAAGGTTACACATTCTCTCAACCAGCTCAACGTGACTGTTCCCATAAGCCTCCCGGGTCACTTCAACGCATTGCTTCATGTACTTCTTTGCTAAGTCCAGCTGAGAACCTTCACGAAACGTAAACGCAAGAACATTTAAGACTTTTGATTTTTCTTCCATCCATATGGGATCTGTTTCAGTCTCGCAGAGCTTCTTGGCGTCCTCCAGAATCGGAATCGCTTTATCCAGGAAGCCCGCCTCACGGTACGTGTAACCCAAGTCGTGAAGCAACCTGCATGCGGTGATATCAGTACGACCCAGTTGTTTGTTGATCTTGTAAGCGCGCTCAAGTAAAGCCACGCGGTAATTGTCGGTTACCCCGGCAACGTGCACAAGACCATCTGCAAGGTAAACCAACGCCTTTACAAGTAAATCTTCTTCAAGCCACTGGACCACTTTTACTTCTTCAACAAACTCTTTCAAGTGTGGACACAGCAGAATCCTTATGGCAAGATCATGCTCTTTTAACCCACCTTTCTTTGATTTGTAGGCTTCGTTTAAGGCTTGAAGTACTCCACTCAACTCTTTTTTCTTCTCACCAGTAGCTTTTCCCGACTTGCCTTGTTTTCGTCTGATCTGAGAGAACGCCAACTGCATTACTTGATGAAGTGTAACCACTTCGATTCCTCTTTCTCCTGTTTTCGGATATATTAGCAAAGAACACCTTGCTATTTTTAGCTTGACGTCATCAGGCACTCTAATGTTGACGTTACCACTGGCTTTAGCCTCGCGCAAGACGTAATCAGCCACAGTGTCCAACGGAACGGGTCGTAAGGAGCAGTACGAAAGGAACACGAAGGCAGCCCGGAGAACTTCGCTGTTCTCGGCCATCCGTATGGCTGCGAACTCTGCTGCTCGTATCATTGACTGCGGATAACATGGATTGTGATGCGTGAAATCAGAATGATCAAGATATGCGAAGTACTCTTGGAGGTTCGACAGATAGTTTTTCCAAGAAAACTTTGAAACCGGGCGATCCAAACTCATTTGCCTGACATAAACTGCTGCACAAGCTAGAGACAGTGGAAAATAGCCAAGAACGCTAGCGACTTTTTTAGCATCTTCATCCACATCCATTTCAGATATCACTCGTAACAATTCCATAGCGTCTTCCTCTTCCATCCCTGAATCCAGCGAGATTACCCTGGCATGTGCGTGGGATCTGGGGGCGAGTTCAGAATCCTGGGTCGTAACCAAGACTGTTCCCTCCCCCCATGAGCTTTCCTGTCCCGGAGATGGCCAGAATTCTCTCATTTGATCACTGACTGTTAGGTTATCAACGATCAAAAGCCAGACAGATTTTGTTCTACGAAGGTAGTTCTTAAAATCTTCCACGTAACTCTTGATCTGCTCGCGGACACCTCCTTGATATTCGCGTTCGTTAGGGATTTCTAACTTCTCGTGTAATTCTTTGAATGATTGTAACATTGACTCAGGGCTATTCGCTTGCAACGTAGCGACGACACGAGGCATATTTTCGAAACATCCCCCAGGTGCATTGTTTTGCATAAACTCTTCTCCAACCTGTCTTGCTAGTTGTGTCTTTCCACAACCGGGAGGACCTTTAATGTACAAGCCAATGACTGTGGAGCTTGAAACGTTCTGTCTTAAGTCGACGAAAAAATCGTATACCTTTTGTAATTCTCTGCCTCGTCTGTGAGTCACGTGAAATGGTTTACCAGGTAGAATCCCCACTGAAGGAAAAACTCTTCTCGTGATTGAAGCTTCAGCTAATAACAAACAAAAAGATTAGTGACAACCTTTTAAATCCTTAGAGTGACCAGCATCCAATTTCTCCTTAAAGCAATACTGCTCTGAATCATTCATTACGATCAAGGGAATTATGGAAATGATCGTCAACCTGAGAAGCTGCTTCTTGTGAGCAGCAAAGAATTGTATAAGTAAGAGGGTGGAAAATACAAATACTGATGATAAAGTGTAAAGGGTTAACAACATATAGCATGTCCTCTTAATTTCACTAGACTTCTTGTACATTTACGAAGGTAATACGTTACCTTCCTGAAGATTGGTATCGTCTTTTAGTCCTACTGCTAATCTGGCGATTCCATCTTGAGCTATCTCAGCAACTATAGGGAGAAATTGAAAAGTGGAAGAATATCTTCCAATTACTCCATAATGAAAGTAAGCTTAGCCAGTTGGACTCCACATGGAAAGGTTTCGGTGCTATCGAGATTTCGATCGAGCTTTGGTCGGTTCATTGTTCTAGCTGTTTTCTGGGGCTTGGGAGAGATACCTTCAGGGGACCACAGGCAGACCACACTGTTTTCGTGGTTGATGATTCTTGACGTGAGACGAACAAAATCTGTGGTTTATGAATAAAGCTCTGAAAATTGCATGTTTAAATTACATCTCGATTTGAATATCTCAATAAAGTTAAGTGAGATGTTAATTATCTCATTTGTGGTATTTTTCGCCTTCATGAGCCGTTTGAAGGGTCTTTGTGTGAAACTGCCTTTGCCAGAGACCGTTAAGAGAAGAGCAGTTTCGTGAAAGGACGCCTTAAACGGCCCATGATAGTTAAAAAATATTACAAATGTGTTGATTCATATTTCGTTGAACATTCTTGAGATATTCAGACCGAGATTTAATTCAGATATATAATTTTCAGAACTTTATTCATAACCCTCAAAGATTTTGTTCGTCTCATGTCAATAATTATTAACCATGAACATGTAGAGTGGTCTGCCTGTGATGGGACTATAAAAGGACCGGAACTGTATATGGGATCTCGGCATTAGCCTTTTTTCTCTCGACTGAAATCGCGTCCCTAGCTAAGTATTAGCTTTCGAGGAGTGGCACCGGGAGTTTGTTATGGTTTCATTTATTTGGGACGAGAGTTTGGCACGTGATTGGCCACAATTTAGCAAATTACACATGCCCGGTAGACGGACCTGCAACCGCTGTCTGTTTGGACGCAGACTGACCTACTTAAAAACAAGGCGGGCAGACCCTGCTTGGGATTTAACCTCGCGCTCCTTTTCCCGAAGAAAATCGTCTCTCATAGGGAAGGAAACAACGCCGAGCCGAACTCGGAAGACGGGAGGCTCGATTTCCGCTGTTTCCTAAGATCCGCAGAGCGCGGGCTCATTTTCATGATTAGCGGCTGATGATTGAGCTTGATTCGCCTCTTATGTTCAGCGATCAAGGAAGGCTGAGGAAAATTTGAAAAAGCATGGTTGTTCTTTTAGTTTGAGTTACTTACCTTTGTCGTTACAGTATCTCTCTACCAAGTCATGCCTTTTAAAAACTTCGTTATCTAGCCCCTCAGCTAAGTTTTGATAACTCGCCCCAGATCCACGCGACTCCTTCCACTTTCTTAGCATGGTATATGATTTATCCAACACTTTAGGATTATCTTCGTGAATTTCATCCAAAGTCGCATTTGTTAGGCCTAAAACTACACCAAGTGGTCTCCAGATTGACTCGATTTCACGAGCCAGACTGAGAAGTTCTTCGTCCTTTGGTTGGCCTGTCTTGAACAGTACCTCTCTGCCTGTTTTTGCAAAACAAAAATAATAATAGTAATAATAATCCACGATTTATTCGTATTCATATGTCACGTTTGTCAAAATTTCCTATGTAGGATCTCTCTACCTCTCCCCCCTCCTCCGACTACATAAGCCAGGCTGGGAAGTTCTTTGTCCTCCTGTCTTGAACACCTCCTCTCTGCCTGTTTTTGCAAAACATAAATTCTAATAGTGTAGTGTTTGTTCGTATTGGTTAAATACTTTAGCTATTACATGATCTTTATTCTATTGGTTAACACCCCCTTGACCGCAGCCACGTGATTAAGTTCATTGTTATTCTAAGAAAGCAGTTGTGTAAAGCACTTGGTTTGTGCACGCGTTACCCTATAGTAGTATACAACGAACCCTAATACACAACAACTGGCGACGAGGATGGCCACTCTTGACCTCGATAGGCAGTGAGACCTACAACATCTTGAGGGATTTGCTAGCCCCGGGGAAGCCATCTAGCGTAAAGTTTACAGATTTGGTTACAACTTTACGAGATCACTATGAGCTAAAGCCGATCGTCATCGCTAAACGCTTTCACTTCCACAAACGCGAACAGCTCGAGGGGGAAGGTGTGGCTGCGTACAGTGCAGCCCTAATGAAGTGTTCAGAACATTGTGCCTTCGGCGCATTTTTAGAGGAAGCCCTTAGAAACCGATTCATCTGTGGCCTGAGATGCAGACAAATTCATAAAAGACTCTGAGCAGAAAAAAGTCTCCCGTGGAAAACAACGGTAGAAATGGCGTTGGCAATGGAAGTTGCTGATAAGCAAGCCAACAACTTCAGGAACTCGCCCGCAGATAGTGGCATACATTTTGTTAAATCATTGCATCCGTCACTAAACAACAAAATCCTCAAATACCTTCGAAAGGCATGCAGTTAGAGCTACTGGTCGCAGGTCATTGTCACAGGTGACGGGTGACGCCTTCGGTATTGGTGATATATAGGCATCTCTCCACGCCGATGGGAAGTCACCAGACGACAACGACCAGTTAAAGATAGTGGTCACGGGCTCAGAAAGCTCGCACGCGAATAGCTTCAGAATTCTATTTGGAATCGCGTCAAGACCACAAGCTTTGAAAGGACTTAGCCTGAGCAGTTTTTGTAGACTTCAGTGGGGCGGATGGCAGGTAACTCGTCCGGTGCGAGTAAAAAGGCAGGGAGCGTTAGGTAATCCAGGGCTGGAACATCAGATGTTACTGAAACAAAAAAGTTGTTAAGCCTATTTGCCAGCTCCAGGCCAGACAATGCCTTATTGTCGACCTCATAACTGATAGCACTCACGCCATTGGATTTACCGGAGAGCTTGTTAACGAGAACCCCATCACTTCCGTGGGTCGGTATTTTTCAGATAGCTAACCTTCTCAGAGTGAAAGGCTTTTTTCCTGGCAGCAATTTCATTGCGCACCCTGGTGCACAGCTCTCTCCATCTGCCATTCCTATCAGAATGAAACGCACGCTGCCTTTCGAGGATGAGCTGCTTAATGTGAGATGTCATCCAGGGTCTGTCGGTGGGATGGATTTTCACCGACTTTAGTGGGAAATGAATATCAATTGCTGTTTTCACATCAGTGTTGAACGACCCCTTTAAGCTGTCAACTAAAGCCACCCTGTCTAGAGCAGTGAACCAATGATGACTAGAAACCTACCTCCCGAAAGCATTAATAGCCGACCCCGGAAACCGTCGTACGCTGCGTTTCAGGGCCTTATGGGCGTGCACCGTAATATCACGAGATGGTTTAGGTCTCCAAAACACAGAGCCGTGATCTGATGCACACAGGTTTGCGCTTATAACAGGTTTATCATAAGGTCCAAGATACTTTTTCCAAGGGTGGGATCGCGAACTATCTGCTTGAGTTTATGATGGGCGAGTACGTCACTAAAGTCTAAGTGTTAAAATCACCGCAAATAATGACGCCGCAGTCCGGATGCGCAAACCTAACAGAGTCTAGTGTTTCTATCAGGTAGGGCACTCGATCACTATTTTCTTGCGCTAGCGCCTCAGGAAGGTAAACAATCCCGCAGTTAATGCCTGAGAGTGGACCTGGTAACCGGTGAAGCCGAAGCCATAACCACATGCATTCGAAAACAGGATGTTCCAGATCAGTTCTCCGCTTACACGGGATTCCTGTGGTGACAAAAGCGCAGACACCACCACCCTCTCTGTCAGGACGATCTCTCCGGTAAAGGACGTAGCCCAGAATACTTATATAAGCACTGTCGATGTAGCTGTGCAACCAGGACTCCGTAATAACACCGACATCCACGCCGCTCGTCATCAATTGTGCAGAAAATTCATCGAGCTTTTTCTTGATCGATCAGGCGTTAACCATGCAGAAACTCGGAAGTCGGCACGCCTTCGCGGTTTGACCAGCTGACTAGGGGACAATTCTTGCACATGCTCCTCCAAGTACAGGAGGAATTTGTGCGTTATTTCGATTTCGCGTCATGCTGTTCTGTGATATTCTAAGGGTATGTTTTTTCTTTCACAATTAGGCGACTCATGAAGTTGTTGCCTATTACAAAAGGTGAGGGCACGAGTTGTTGTTTGAGCGATCTGCCTGACTGCATCCAAGGTGTTGACTTGAATATTTAATGTTGTCCATGTAGAAATATTCAAATGTCCCCCATCTTGAGACAGAGAAATAAAATCCCGTTCAGATCCCGTTAATGTACAGGAAGGTGGACCATTAGGTGTAGAAGATGCTAGTAGAATGGGCGGTCGTGGTAGTTTTTGTTTCCTGAATCCAGCTCTACATCCCCGTCGCGTTGGCTTAGTTCTTGAAATTCCGAGTTTACACAACATTCCCCAAAGGTTCACATCAAGGCGAGCTCTTTGAGAACCAGCCGAAATTGCTCTTAAAGCTTCACCCGAATATCTAGCCATCAAGATAATTCTGCGTTCTTTAGGGAGAGGTGATAAGGTAAAAACTAGTGCAAATTTGCAGAGCGCCGAAATGTGCTGCCGAGAAGGCGCTCATTAGCATCTCATTCATATCGAGTATCGTTCGACAACTAAACATGCGAACACCGATTTTTTTATCCCGCTTGCCGATACACAGCGACAAACCAAACAAAGAAGTCGATGAGGTCAGACTCATCAACTTATTGCAAATTGAATCTTTGCCAATGAATGTCGATCAAGTTCGCAAAGCGACACGAATGATGACAGTTTGGCCAGATAAGCAAATCACACTGTACTTTAGCAAACGTCACGAAATTCAGTCGGAGATGGTTGTTTATTGTAGGGAGTTCGAGTTTCGCGAACGTGTGTTATATGAATTGCACAAGTAAAAGGTTTGATTTATTTCTAAAAGTCAATGGAAAGTATCAACTGATTTGTCAAGAGAGACGCAAACTGGAGCCTACGCTTGACTGAAAACTTTATTAAGATGTCGGAGTCATGTCGCTCAGTTCTTTGCATGATGTCGTCGTTTTACTTTCGACGGTTCATTCGGCAACAATCTTGGAATTGGTGAGACAGCAAGAATTTGTGCATTACAGATCTGATCAATCTCGGAAGATAAATTAACTTTGAGAAACACACACTTCCTAATAAAAAGCGGAAGTTGATCTATATTGTAATGTGAAATCTAAATACAATTAACTACTCAAATGTTTGGATTGTGCGAATTGAAAATTCTTTTCTGCATTGTTTTGATTATCTTAGTTACGATTTCTGACTAAGGCCGAGAAGAAAGGTAAAAACAGCAAATAAATCAGGGGAAACCAGAGCTTTTGAGTGATTTTAAGATCTGCAAATGTGGTCGCGCTGTTCCCAATCCGTCGCACATTTGTGACTCAAATGTATCAGTAGGTTGTTGCAAAGTAAGCGATTTTTGGGCTTGAATTGAGATTCAAGACAAACCAATAACACCAATCGCGAATTATCTTACACTAGAACTATTTTGAAGCATAAGGCACATTTTTCTTTGAGTGAATTACGAAACAGCTCTTCCTTTCACGGTTGAATCGAATTGAACTCGTTTGTAGATAGAAGGGCGCTTGTATGCTTGTTTACTTCGAAATTTGTTCACAGATGCAAGCGATCGCTTGTGCGAAAGTGGATCTTGAAAATTCTTGAATTTTGGTAAGGAAAGGTACGTCGTCGAAATCATGTATCAATCGACATTTTCAGATCTATCAAGCACCAACTGTAGGTAATAGAGAAAAAATTATATTATATCATGTCTTACTTTGTGGTTTACGATCAGCCATCGTGAACAGAGGCTTTCAGAAACTTTCCAATTTTCTTCCGTTGAGAAGGCGGTAACTTGCAAATGAGTGAGACAAAACTGAGATATGACAACCAGAGAAGCCGTGTCTTGAATTTCGAGACAGGACCGACGACGGACTTTGAACTGACTGCGATATTCTGAAGTAGGAAAGTTTCCTTCGAAATTGTTTGTTTCCGGTCCATTTCCTGGAATGCGCGTGAGTCATCTCCGTCTTTCATGTTCGGATTTTCCGATCGTTTGACGAACTCACAAACTCCTTGGCTGCTTTATATTCAGCACCATAGCAAAAGTATGGTGGCCGATAACTGCCAATAGTAAAATCCGTATTTTGATGGACGAATTGTTTTATTTCTTATTTTATTGTCTTTTTTTTTATTTACAAATCTTTTTCTTTTATAATTCTAATCTTTACTTTTTTTTTAGTCAAAGTGAAAGTAAAATCGATTGAAGTTTAAATTAAAATAAAATAAAACTGAAGTAACATAAAATGAAATTTTTCGACTCAGCTGAGAGCTGCTACTACCAGCATGCATTGCGTGTATCGTAGATAAGGCGCGAAGCTGACATACGCACTGTTCTCCTGTTATCGTTTAGGTCCTTCTCTCGAAGATGACGGATGGAGGTTTTCATCGTGGAAGGAAGACGATCTTCTTAACGGTGAGTTGCAGAAGTACGTCAAACAAGGCCTAAAACGCGAAGAAGCGATTGATTTTTTGCGGAAGGACTTTCCTCAATTCGCCTGGTTTACGTTTACGCCATTTCGAAGTTTATTGCAAGGATGACACTATTTCGGTTGAAAAGATGTTAAAGAGGTTGTTAAAAAGGAATTGGAAGGCCCAAGTAAGTTATTGGGGTATACTGAGGCATGCACAAGAAAATGAGACAAAATATGACTTGTTAGTTTTACGATGTTATGTCTGATCTCGACCCCTGTTCGCGGAGAAGGCCAGACGAAAGAAAGGAGACCATTTCCGCTTGCTATTTATGGTTGCTTGGAGTAAGGTGTTCCGTCAGAGAGTTGTCGAAGGCAGTCGAATTGGTGTAACTTTTAATGGTGGTTACAACAGTACCGACGGTTTCGACTCTTCATGAGTCTCTTCCGCTGTTGTTTTAAGATAGAGTTGCAATAGAAAAGTCTTTCAGGGAAAGGTAGAGTGGTGTTCTCAATTTCGTCCCGAGTGGAAAATGCTTCTGTGACCTTTACAAACGTAGATTGTTAGGCTTGAGGGTAAAATTTCCGCACAGCCCCATACTTCATTATGCATTCAATTCTTGGATAGAGAAAACAATGAAAAAAAAAAAAACACATTGCCATTGGGAAAACAGATTTGTTTTACAATAGAATGGGGCTGCGAGAAAATTTTACCAAATTTGTTACAGTTAACCATAGAGTTTTTTTTCATCCCCTCTTAAGAAGGAGGTGCTTAAAATGTGACAAAGTTTGATGCCTTTGTCAGTAATTAATTTGAATAAGTTCAGTCTTTCTTTGGTTTATAATAGCTGGACACATGCAAAGCACTTAATTCAAGCTAACTTTTCAATTCATGCCCACTTTGCCTCTCAAATGTAAGCTTGTGATTTCTACACATTATTGACTCAGGCTGGAGTGTAGAGGACGTATAGAACTGGCTCTCTTCCCTGGGAATTAAGGAGAAGCTGCCCTGTTTTTGAGTAAGCCCAAGTAATAATTTCATGACTTTTCACAAACAGATCTGTTGATTTTATGAAATAACCTGCAAAGTTTGCTGAGGTATTCACATTTCTCTCTATTATTTATATAATAGGTGATTGTTGCTAAGTGAAAACGATGATGACAAGGACATTGCTGTAGAGCCTTAATGGGCTGACAAATGGAGCTTCTGGCAAATATGAAACAAGCAATTAACACTCAAGAAAAGGAAAACCCTTACAGAAGTGGATTCAAAATTGGAAAATTCCTCACTTGAAAGAAAAATAACAACTCTGGATAAAAAGATTGGGATGCCAAATAAAAGGCAATGTACTTAGAAAAGTAAGTGTTTCTGTTTCACCATTTCACATGTTTTAGCTGTAAACTTGCTTTGACAGGTAATTTTAAAAGCTCAGAAAGTGATGCAGTGGTCTCAGTTCTGCACTATATTTTTTTCCCTCAAAAGTTTAGGACATCTTTCATTGTTTGTGAAGCTGCTAAGGTGTGGCCTGGCAATTGCAGTATTTAGTACAAAACAACTTTACCCAGAATTTAAAACTCGAGGAACTTGTTTCAAGGCTAGAGCAAAGTTGTACAATACCAAAGATTGGCTTTGGATGGAGTAAATGTCACATTCACTGCTTATATTGGAGTTATTAAAAAAAAACAAAACAAAACAAAACCAAAAAAAGACAAAAACAACAACAACAAGAGAAAGCAATAAATTCAACTGGTTAGATTTTTTTCACATACATATATTTCACTTGTGGGACACATAGAGATTTGCCAAGGGCCAAAACCACATAAGGAATTCCTCTGGTTCTCACTGGCTACGCAAGGTTTGATTGTCATGAAAATATATCTGTTTGAAACATGGCCTGCAGATTGAGCAGATCATGCATTTCAGCTGACATAAAATTCACAAATCATGCTTGAATTTTATCCATTTTCCCAAATCAGTTGCCAAATTTCAGCCAGCTCACACACAGCATGCAACCCCTTCCAGACCCTGTACTGTGAATAATCCTAACTGTATTTGGATATAAATGCCATTACCAGTGTGTAATATGTTGTTATTTTCAGAGTATATCAGGTCTCACAGTATCCAATGGGTGCATGAAAAGAACTAGTGTCCAAGGGATGGCTATGACTTTGTGGTGAATCAGTAATAGCAGTTGCACCTATAGTTGATATAAAAAATTCTTATACATTCATAACAGTCAATAGTATAGTAGCCTTGTTGGGCTGTTGATGTTGTTCATCAGTAACACATGGGCTTTTTGTAAACATGTATGGTCATGTAACCCTGTCATTTGTATTATTGGGAGTTAAAAGTAAATCCCATAAATAAACAACATTTTAACTGCAGATTTCTTGAAAGGTATGTTATGAATTACATTTTTATTGTTGTGGATTTACAATTTTTTTTTTTTTTTTTAATATAAAACAGGCTGAACACATGCTGCAAAAAGAGCCAAATAGAGAAAGCTTTGTGGTAGTGGTGATGAAGAAGGTAATCTGTTAAGCATAAAAATTGTCTCCTTAACAAATATGCCTTAATGCATGCAAAGTCTAAAAACTCATTAAATGACCTTAATCATTCAAGAGAGGGTCATGCCATGGTTCTTACTCTGTTACTGTTTTTTCTTCCTTCTATAGATGAACTAGATTTTGGTCCAGTTGGAAAAGTAAACAGCTGTCAAGCAAGTTCAAAACTGGATGATATCAGCAACAAAAGTGCTGATATTGTAGTTCTAACTTTTCTGGGATTTCATTCCATGCGAGATGTGACAATTGTGAAGCATCTTCATCCTTCAGCCAAGAAATAAACTATCAGATATTGTTCATCATCATATCATCATCATCATATCAATTACCTGTAAAGATAGCAACAGAAGTTATAAGTCAATGCTGCACTGAGATAAAAAGACCCATGAAAGGTGGTGAGGTTGACTTCTTGAATCTTAACCCTTTACCTCCCATGAGTGACCAAGACAGAATTTCTCCTTACAACATCTCTACAATATTAACCAGCCAGGTTATGAGAATAAAGAAAACTATCAATTTGGAGATAATTAGTTGATCTAATACAAAATTCTCTGAACTAACATCATAAGAATTGTATGATTGACAGTGAGGAGAATTACAAATTTGGTCTGGGAGTGAAAGGGTTAAGAGAGAGAATAGTTTGTGCAATAGGAAGCTGGACCAGCATTAGAGCAAGGATTCAGATGTAGAGGAATCTGATAATGGAGACAGGTTCAGTAACCATTGACTGTTCTTTTTCAACCCAGTCTGATGGTTTTGAAGTCAGTGACACTCTTTAATAAAGAGACTGATTCTCAATTTCTCAATAGTCAGTGTTGTGTTTTGTAAGGAAGTTAGCCCAATTATGTCACTGAAAAGGGAATTGATATTGTATTTACCTTAATTTAGTAAGAGAAATCCTCCAGAAAAGGCATTAAATTTGAAGCAAGACTTAAATAAAATAACTTTGTTTTAATTTGAGTATATTGTTTGCACTGCATATTATTAATAGATTTTCAAAATGCTGGAATTGCTTATTCTAACTAAAGGTAGAGCCACATTGCTATATGTGCAGTCTTATGGCGACGATGCTTTGAGGAATCGTTGCTGGTTCATTGGAATATGAAATATTTTCCTGTGTTAAGTTACTTACCACTTTCATGACAGTATTTCTCTACTAAGTCATGCCTTCCAATAATTTTGTGATCTAACCCCTCTGCTAAGTTTTTATAAGTCGCCTCAGATCCAAGTGACTCCCTCCACTTTATCAGCATGTCATACGATTTATTCAGCACTTTAGGACTGTCTTGGTCAATTACATCCAAAGTTGCATTTGTTAGGCCTAAAATTACACCAAGTGGTCTCCAGATTAACACAATTTCATGAGCCAGGCTGAGAAGTTCTTTATCCTCTGGTTTGCCTGTCTTGAACACCTCCATTCTGCCTGCTTTTGCAAAATAACAATATTAATATGATGATCGTTCACGATTCAAGCTATGAGGAAAGGTTGGAAGCATTAGTAGCATTACAATGTATCCATATGTCACGGTAGGATTTTTTACCCCCTCCCCCCCTCCCCCCTGCTCCCTAAATTCTCCCCTTCCTTTTTTCCCTCTCGCCTCTCTGAGTGGCTCGTGCATGGTTAAGCGTACTTTTGTTTTGCAAGCTTTTCCCAAACAATATATATATATATATATATTTTTTTTTTTTTTTTGTTTTGTTTTTTTTTTGTAGTTCGCAACCCCCACCTCTATAAGTTTTTGAGCCGTCTATCTCGAAAAGGATGCAGGGACGAAGAGGGGGGGGCTTAAACTTGGAAATCCGAAGATAAAACAAGTCACGAGTATAATGTATTTCTAAAAAAAACCGACAACGACAGAAAGTAGCAATTGGTTTGGCGAAAGAGACGCAAACTGGAGCATTCGCGTGACTGAAAACGTTATTAAAATATCAGGGGGGATCATGTCGCGCAGTTCTTCACATGATGTCATAGTTTTACTCTTTACTTTTGACGGTAAATTCGGCAACAGTTAGGAAGTTAGTGAGACAACAAGAATGAAATGGTTTGTGCATTCCATAGATCTTATCAATCTCGGAAGAGGAATTGACTTTGAAAAAGACACACGTCCTAATAAAAAGCGGAAGTTGAGCAATTGTAATGTGAAATCTGAATTTCTGGATTGTGCGAATCGCAAATTCTTCTCTGAAGTTTTGATTATATATAGTTACGATTTCTGACTAAAGCCAAGAATAAAAATATAAAAGCAATAAATAAGTCAGGGGAAACCCGAGGTTTCGAGTGATTTTGAGAACTACAAATTGGTCGCGCTGTTCCCAACCGACGCACATGCAGAAACAAACGTAATTCTGACTAATGTCTCAGTAGATTGTTGCAAAGTAATCGATTTATGAACTTGAATTGAGATTCAAGACAAACCAATAACACCAATCGCGAATTACCGTACATGAAAACTATTTCGTGCGAATTACGAAACACGTAGCTCTTTCTTTCACGGTTGAATCGAATTGAACTCGTTCGCAGATAAAAGCTAAGAGCGCATGTATGCTTGTCTACTCTGAAATCTGTACACACACACAAATGATCGACTGTGTGGAAGTGAATCTTGAAAATCCCTGAATTCAGGCAAGGAAATTTATATCGTCAAAACTTTTGACGATATAAAATGCATATATGGGCCATATGCATTTTTTCAGATCTTTCAATCGCCAACCGCAGACAGTAAAGAGAACAACATAATAAAACATGTCTTACTTCGTGGGTTAAAACCGGCCATCGTGGTCAGAAGCTTTCAAAATTTGTCCAATTTTCTTCAGTTGAGAACCTGTCGAGAAAGTTACTGCCTTCTGCCTGCTTCTGCCCTATTGCGAACAGCGTTTCGTTCCGGGAATGCGCGCGAGTCATCGTCGTTCATTTTCGGATTTTCCGATTGTTTGACGAAGTTGTTTTCGCATCAACCCAGAGCCCACCGGTGGCTTGTTATTACTCACAAACAAAATGGCGGTCAATGGGACTAAACCAGCCGAATCTTTACGGTATTTAGCATGTTCCTTGGCTGCTTTAAATCCAGCACCTTGGGAAAAGGTAAGATCGGAAATTTTTCGGAAAACGATATATTCGTCGCTTACATTGGGTACAAAATGATCAGAAATGTGTTGAAATTATTTTGAATATTCACGTGAAGGATCGGAAACTTCAGCTTACATGTTTGTTTACTTAGGTATGCGAACTCGAATTTCAGCTCAAAATTTTTATGTGATTGGATCAACGACGTGAAGATAGATCAAATGGTCTACAGCATCAAACTTAAAAATGTTTGAAAGTCGAAAATATTAAATTTGAGAAGGAGACTTGTATTTGAGACAAAATCACATCAATAATACTGGACATTTTACATGGCCTGCTAATGTTCATAATCTTAAGCTTCCATTTATTGTTACTATTTGGCTTTTCTTGAGAAAGCCGAATTGCAGATACCTAAGAGGAATGCTTTGAGCAAGAAGTAAAACCCATAACAAACAAACTAAACACACATAAAATATCAAATGAGGAAACTGAAGTGGGTCAGACAACCCTTTCACTTCAGCGCTAAGGGTGTCTGTTATTTGTTTTAGCAGGAATATATATTTTTATTTTTCCTCTGGTACTATGCTTTTTGTTGTTTGTTATTTGTTCTTTTTAAACCTTGAATTTTACTTTAACCCTTTCACTCCCACAAGTGACCAAGACAGAATTTCTCCTTACAATATCTATACAATGTCAAGCAGGTAGGTGATGAGAATAGAGAAGAATATCAATTATGGGATTATTAGTTGATCCAATACCAAATTCTCTGAACTAACATCATAAGAATTGTATGGCAGATAGTAAGGAGAATTACTTATTAGATCTTGGGAGTGAAAGGGTTAAATTTCTAGAAAATAATTATTTCCCTTAACCTATATTTCCAGTTTATCTTGTGCATGAATTTTAGGTAAAATTACCCACCCCTCCATCGGAACTAAGATTATTTGTTCTTTATTTTCCTTACTAGGTAAAGAGATTAAGCCGTCTGTGCCCAGCAAATCCTGCTTCAGACACAGAAGTGTTTGTCTTTGATCAACGTGGTACTGATGGCGTTCTTGCTCTGGGATTGTTTGAACTCCACTCCAGCTTGCAGTACAAGGAGAAAATCATGCCCTATTTGGTGAATGTTCTCAAGAGTTTACCAACTGCCAAATGGCTGGAAGCGCGAGGTCCAGAGCTGTCACCTACCAGCCCTTTAGCAGGAGAATTTGCATTCTGTTTTGTGACACTTATGAGTGGGCTGGCAGCAAAAGACAACAGCTTGGATGGAGACATCATCAAATTGCAACTTAACTTGTTCAATACTGTAATTGAACAGTGCTGCAGTTATCAAGAGCTCCCTGACCTTAAAAAAGGTAAAATGTTGTAATAAATACTTTTCAAAAAAATCAGAATTCTGTAAGCTGTTTCATGACCATCTTTAACCCTTTCTATCCTAACATCAGCATGCCTATTCTCCATAATGTTCTATAGACATTCCCTAAAGTACTGACAAGGATAATTTGTTTATTAATCAAGGCCTTCTTTACTTGGTGATCATATCCTTTATTCTCACAAGCTTTATGTTTGATTCAGCTGTAATATTGTAAGGAGAAACTACATGTAGATGTTAGTCACTCTTCAGGATCGAAAGGGTTAAGCTGGGTTAACCCTTTAACTCCCATAAGTGACCAAGACAGAATTTCTCCTTACAATATCAATACAATATCAAGCAGATAAGTGATGAGAATAAAGAAAAATATAAATTAAGGGAGTATAAGTCGATCCAATACCAAATTCTCCAAACAAACATCATGAGAACTGTATTGTGGACAGTTAGGAGAATTACTAATGAGATCTTGGGAGTTAATAGGGTTTAGACTACCACACTATACTTCTCAAATATTATTTTAAAGTAAATATTGTATAACTAAAAACAATGATTGCTTTTGGAGTTATTGCTGAGGATAATTCACCAATCAGAACCTCTGTAACAGTCCACTGATCCTTGCTTGTTACTTTCATCCAGCAAATTTTTGTCGCACAACTGTTCCTCTTCTGTTGGGTGTGGCTCAAGCCCTTGGTGTCTCCAGTGTGTATGTGTCTGACCCCTCCCTGATCACAAAGCTGTTGTTTCCAAACAACTCTGGACATGCTACTCCTACTGAACTTCAGCTGCCCAAGGCCCTGAGTCGCTCTGCTCCAAGACGATTTTTGAGTTTTCCACAAGGCAAGAGAGATAGCAGTTATCATTTATCTGATGTTCAGTTGAAAGACCTCATCACAAAGGTAAGTTACCCAAGTGTGCATTACATGTAGTGCTTGTAAGTTTAATATTTACTTTAAGTTATTGTTGTCAACTGATGAAGCCGCCAACCTTGAAAAAGTGTTTTGCTGGAATACATGCCCATACTGTGGGTAAAAAAAGTTGATGAGTGCCTAGCTTTGTAAAGTCCCTCCTTCCCCAGGCCCCTTTCCCCCTTCAAAGATAAAACTGAAGTTCACAGGTAGAGCATTTTTAAATTTTTTTTCATTATTTTTAAAATTTTTTTTACTGGATTACAATTTCTAAATTCACCATTTTATTATGTGTCGAAAATGGTGAAAATCTGATGAACCTCCAGCCTTGAATAAGCACTTTTTCTCAAGGCCCATTAACCCTTTAGTCCCTAAGAGTGACTAGCATCTAATTTCTCCACACTATATCACCCCCTGAATCAAGCATGACAGTTATGAGAACAGAGGAGATGATCACCAACTAAAGCAGCTCTTGATTGTTACACTAATTCTCCTTGTCAGCCTCTTTGGAAATGTATTGAGAACAGTATGGAGAATATGCATACTGATGTTAGGGGAGGAAAGGGTTGATTTATAAGCACCCAGGCTGCGTAATCTAATAAATTAATAGGGTATGTATCATTAATTCATTCATTGTTATGTTTCGGACAGGTGGAACGATTGATTACTTCTCCAATTCTTCAAGGCTTAGACAGTGTCTTGTCGGACTGCATTCAGGTAATGTGTGTAATAGATGAATGCTAATGGTGAAGAATACATGTTGTTATTATAATGATTATGTATGGTTTTAATTGCAATATTTTGGTGGAAATCTATGCAAAGCATGATATTGGGGTGAATAATCTGCTAAAGAAGACAGCTTATAAAGACATGTTGCAATAATAGTTTATTTTTGATGTACTTATTGCTTTTTTCTTTTTCTTTTTCTTTTTTTGCCTTTCTATTAAAAGCTTCACTCTTAAAGTTTTTTGATAGTTACATTTTTGGCCCCTAATATTGTGCATCTACTATTAATAGAAATCACCTACTTGGAGGCACTGTCAATGTATTTTAGAGTGGCCCTCACTGCAATTTGCCTCCACCCTTTAATACTCCTGGTTAGAAAAGATGTGTTGACAATGAAATGTTTTGATCATAAAAAACCAATGCAATTATGCTGATTTGGATTCAACCTAGTTTCTTTCAGTGTACCTCATTGAATCTTAGCAGTAACCATTAACTAGCATGTGATGCAGTTTCCCATAATGCCATATTAACGAGGAATTGATTGATTCAGTTTTCATAAGCAGCGTGCCATCTGTTGAATCAGGTTGAGATCCTTTCAGCAATCAATTTTTTATGATTGATCTACTCCTGTGTTTAAATAATATTTATCATTGATTCCTATCACTGGTAAGTGGTTGATAATACCTAAAGTTGTTGTTGTTGTTGTTTTTTTAATAAGTATGGACTGGAAAATTTGTGAAAATTCCTAATTTATTCAACTCATAGGTTAACCCATATTTTGTTCTTTTGTGATTAGGCAGACCTGTTAAAGACTTCTTTTCCATTCCACTCGTTCAGTGAAGCTGTATTGTTATCTATGGTAACATTGTTAAGGGATCTGTGTCAGAATACTCCAGGTGAAGATATATATATCCCTCAATTACCAGAATCTAACAACTATTTTCCCCTTAAATGATTTTGTTTTTTATTTATACATTTTTGAGCATTTGCCCTCAAGAGATACCCATGGATGCTTATCTAATGAGCTCATGCATTAATAAATGAATCACAGCCACTCCGTTTGCAATAAAGGGAAATCAGTTCAGAGAGGGGACCTTTATAACAGCAGTACATGTAACTTGTGCAGATTCTCTTAACCCTTTAATTCCCAGAAGTGATTCACATGAAACTTCTCCCTACAATACTCATAAATTATCCAGCAAATAGGTAGTTAGAGTACTCAAATATATCAGGCAGAAGTTTATATCCTGATCTAAAACCAAATTCTTTTATTTTATCGAGAAGGACATGTGTAGCAGTTAGAGGAGAGAATTAACAATTAGATCTTGAGAGTCAAAGAGTTGAATAATTTTTGTCTCAGATAAATAATTTCAAATCTAGTGAATTAGCTGTACTGATCAGTCCCTGGAGTGACAGGTCTGACAGACGAATTGATCAAACATGGACGGAGACTCTTGTATAGACTAGGACAGTGAGGCAGATACAAATGTGTAGACAACTGATAGAAAAGCAAATAAATAGATGGGGCAAGTTTCTCAAGAAACTGTGGAGCTGAATCGGTGGGAGAGTATAACAGGGTAATTTAGGATTATCAACTGAGTTGATAACGTAAATTGGCCACCGTAAAGAGTTTTAAAGTTGACGTTTCGCGCGTTAGCCCTTCGTCAGAAGTGTCTTGTTACGGTGGCCAATTTACGTTATCAACTTAGTTGATAGTACTAGAGTACCCTGATAGAGAAATAGACAGAGGAGTGGACAAACAGACAGACAGAAAGATAGATGGATGATTGAGCAGTTAGACAGACAGACAGACGAATGGATTGGGACTGACTGACAGAAAAAATGAGTTAAGAGGATGAAGAGACTGTCAGTCAGACGAGGCGACTGATGGAGCGATTGACAGGAATTAGCACAGTTTAACAACCGCAAAGAAAAATTTTTGTTTTTGTTTTATTTCAGGTATTTCTGCAAGTGTGGCAAGCAGAGCTTATAATGTCGGCAAACAGGTTTTCACAACAGTGAAGGCAGAATTTCAAAAGAAAGCAGAAAATTCTGCAGCTTCGTTGCCTTGGAAGCTTCAAACTGTCTCAGCCAGTGTTGATCTGATGGTGTGGACAGCTGCATTGCAAGATGAGCAGGGTATGTCACGTCGACCATTGTATCTTCTTCAAAGTTGCCATTGAAAATTAAAAACCACTCGATTTACTCTTTAAATCGGTGCTATTGGATCAACGTCACGCTCCGTCGCGGAAAATTACCAAATGAACTTCGCCCTTGCTCAAACTCTGCGCCTAAGGTCAGAGCTGAATAACGCAATGCTACGTCATGGCTATGCTGTCAATAACGCAGGCTCAAGCGCTTGAGATAAAAATTTCAGCGAAATTTACGGAGGAAAAAGGGGCGGGCATTTAAACCTTAAGCATCTTGTTGTCGTTGAAGCCATTTTCTCCGACGTTATTCAGCTCTGTCGCGCCCAAGCTGTATATGATCTTCATTTGTATTGTCGACCTTGAAAAATAATGTTTCCCTTGCTTCAGTTATGTGTGTTTTTTGTTACAGATGGTGATACACTCTGCCAGAATATTTCAGAGTTCTTGTGTTCCAGCTTAGCTGTGTCCTTGGCTCAGACGGGCAGTTGTCTCTTTATCCTGTGTTGTTTGGAAGGGCTTGCTACACTGGCGGAAAAAATTCCATCATTAACCAGGTGAAGATAATTTGCGCGATTGTGTGCAGTGTATTACTTGAAAAGAAAAATCAGAGTGGTTAATGACTGTAAATATGTGAAAATCATATATGTGAACTACGGGCAAAGAAACAAATATTCGTTTCAAGGGTAGTTTATATCTGTAATATCTTTTTGTATTCAATACATTAAAACAGAAGTTGCTCGGAATCGGCGACTTTCCGAAAATGAGCAAAATGTTTGCGAGATCAATGAACATGTACTTAGATCTGTCCCCGAATCTCCAAAGTTCTCTTCAGTCTGATAATTGATCTCATTAAGATTGTCTTAAATCTTCTCTGAGTGGAAGAAGATTGCTGTTCTCCAGAATTTTTTGTCTTGGTGGTGAGAACGATCCTTTTCATATGTTCAATCACGAAACAATAACCCAGTGGTTGAACAGTTTTCCCAGCTAGTTCCCTCTACCAACTTCACTCCTGACTCTAACTTAAAGGTCATGAGAATAAAGGGAATGATCACTAATTGAAGAAGCTCTTGATTGTTAAACAAATTCTCCCAGTCAGCACCTTAGAAAATGTATAGAGAACTGTATGGAGAATATGCATACTGATGTTTGGGTGTAAAGGGTTGAATGAAGCGGAAGAGTTACTTCTTCAAGTCGATTGGCCCATCAGTGCCTGTGTAAATCCCTTTTAATTCCATTGATTAAAAAAATAATAATAACAACGACAATAATAATTTCTTTCTTATTCCATTTAATAATTTAGATCATATTGTAGCGTTACCTTTTACTTGTGTTTCATTTTGTAGGCCGGTACTGACCTCACTGAAAGACTTCCTTCTTCAACCTGCACCTCTGCTTGTTAAGTTATCTGAAAATAAAAAGAAACCAACGGCGGCAAACATTGTAATGACGGTGTCATCAGACACCAACGACAAATACCTTACAGTTAGTCATGCCTCAAATAAGGAGACTGAAGATTCACCGTACCAGAAAGTTAGAAAAGTTACGTTGGACAGTATTTGTCGGTAGGTTGAGATTTTGAATAGCTGTTTTTGTTTTTTCTTTCCTATTGCTGATTTGAACTGGTTGTAAACTTCTGTTCATTTAGCCACTGAACTAAGACAATCTTTTCAAGTTCTTCGGGGAGAAATTTTCGGGTAAATTTCATCATGGTGTTTGAAGTCTCAGTGTTGGAAAACATTCCGAGGCACGCTCAACTTCTTTGCGAGTAAGTGCCATTTTGCCACCTGAAATCATGGATTGGTCGCCAGAAATAAGCTTGATAAGAAAACAAGAAAAGGACACTTTGTGCAGCTTACAAAATTGTAGATCTTGAAAGTTGAGCACAGGTACCTTTCTCCACGACGGCCAAAAATAAGCCTCGCAATTGGCCACTTTCGTATTGAATATACAGCAATCGCCAAGGTTTCTCTCTACTCGCCGTTGCGAAAAACAGTCCTAGGTTGAAGCGAAATTTGAGTTTGCCAATATACTTTCAGGGTACTCAAGTCAGGTCAAACTGTTGACGAGAACTGTGTCCAAGCTTTCCTGGCCCGCGTCGCCAACAGACTCTATATTTCAGAAAGTAGTGACGGCAATTCCACTCTCATCTCTACCAACGCCATTCAGACGCTGGGCTATGTGGCTTTCATGTTGCACTCTGTTCCTAAGACAACAGAGTCTGTGCTGACGATTCTGCAACAGAGATTCTGCCGCCCGCCCTCATCTCTGGATCCTCTGATTGTGGAGCAACTTGGATACCTTGTTCTTACAGGATCGGTATGGTTATACTTAACTATTTACGCCCTAATATCAGCATGTATATTCTCCTTACTGTTCTTTATATATTTCCAATTCTACCGAAAAGGAGAATTTAGTTAAAAATCAAGAGCTTTTTCCCCTTATTCTTAGGAACCTAATATTTGATTGAGAAATTAGATGCTAGTCACTCATATGTGTTTAAGGTTAATCTTCATGAGCTTCTTCTATGTAGCATTATCAGTTCTAATGGAGCTTTCCGATTGAGTCCCCTAAGTCCTTAAAAAAGAACAAAGGGCGACATCAAATGAAAACGAGCAAATTGGCTGAAGGGTGGGAAACGGGAGTGACGCAAGTCAGTATTTCTTTCAGTCTTGTATCTGTTGTTTAAAAGGTTGGCGCGAGTTTCCGTAACTAATCACAGGGCGCAGGAAAGTTATGCTTCGCTGTGATTGGCTGCTTCATAATGACACGTGATCAGGTGCCCAGTACGACTCAAGGAAACCGCCATTGTGTAGTTGCAATGGCGCGAACACATGGGAAGAGACAACATCGTGAAAGAAACGATGATAATTTTCCAATTGTAGGAACAGTCTTATCAGCAGATCATGGGGATGTTCATGAAGATAACAGTAGACGCAGGTTCAATGGCGTATTCTCCAGAGCCTTCGATCAATGACAAAACGGAGGGCTACAGGTGAGTGTTATCTGTAGAATGAGAAATAATGGCACACAAGCTTGGAGACTCATTCGGCTAGAGCGCATCTTGGTTTCTATAGCTCTACGTACATCTTGCTACAACCCCTAATTCTCAGAACTAGTCAACAAAGAAATGTCTAATTACTTGTTAGGAGAATTCACCTTCCGAAGTCGAAGTTTTATCTGTGTGCAGGGCCCGATGTGCGATGAATTTGTACGCACATTTTATTTTAAAATCCTCAGGCACTGTGCTCTTGCCGTCATCAATGCGTACACCAACATAGCGGCAAATCTTGACGGGGAGACCAAGCTTCAGGATTACTTGGTGCGCCTGTTGGAGCTGTTTGTACAGTTGGGATTAGAGAGCAAAAGAGTCAGCGAAAAAGCGCCTGTGGCTTTCAAGGTAAGATTACGTGTACGCTATCTCTTTAAAACGTCATAATTTTTTATGAGTTATAGATATGTTACCGAAAAAACGAGCCTCTGTTACAACGTATTAACAATACTTACAGTTCGGCTACTGTTATATAAAACTGGCAAATTCAATTTAGGAAAAGAACAATGGATTCCATCTAAAATCTTTGTGTATTTGCTTCCTTGCTGAATGTGATTCCAGTCCATTGCAGGCAACCGCTCCCCTCCCCTCCCCTTCACGAGTATATTTCATTTGACTTTCCTTACAGTTTGCTAGTACTCTTATGTACTCCCGGGTGGAGAGGCGTACTGTGAGAATAAAGTCTCCCACCCAAAAACATAGTACAATGACGTGTTAGGTTTCCACCCAGACTTCTCGACCCAGAGTGTAGCACACCAACAGTTAGGGCTCTGCTAATCCACTTATCGAATATTCAGCTGAGGCTGTCACCCTACCTCCGTGCTGGACTGTCAGCTCACATGTACGCTGTTGCTTACTTTTAAACACAGGCTTCATCCAGCGCAGGAAACCTTGGTGTCCTCATCCCAGTCATATCAATTGTAATGCAGCGACTTCCAGTCATTAGTGACCCCAAGCCTCGCCTTCACAAGCTTTTCCGCGACTTCTGGCTCTATTGTGTTGTGATGGGCTTTGGTGTTGAAGGGTCCGGTATCTGGCCTCACGAGTGGTATGAAGGGGTCTGTCAGATCGCATCCAAGTCTCCGTTGCTCCTTGGCACAGGTCATCTCCGATCAGAACTGATGTACAACTCTGCCTTGAGGAATGATTCGGTGGCTCCGGTATATGCAATTTTTTTTGTTTTTGTTGTTTTTGCTCCACAACGACAAAGCGCGTTTGGTTGCCGATAAATCACAGCAGTGATATCCGAAAAGGTTTAATTTTATTTAATAGAGACCAACAAGGAGGCATCAAAACAAAACAAAAAAATAATGAGAACTATAGCTCTCTCCGTCCTCTGAAAAACCACAGTGTGAAATCCCCAAAATTCGCGTCCGAGTACAAAAACCCAGACAGAAAATCATTTAGAATCTCATTTGGGGCCCAACGGTGTTCACATGCGTGAAAAGCGTGACGAAAAAAGGGTGAAAAGCGTGAAAATTTAGCGTGGTAGGCCCTTGTCACTGAGTTTTCGATGAACCACTGAGGTTGCAAAATTTCGTGCTTTACCTGGGACAACACTTGTAATTGACATTTTCAAACAAAATAACTTGTACCACCAAAATAATTTAGAATTTCCGTTTCTCTCCATCACCAGGCTGAACTGAATGAAGTACGCACAACTTTGCTAGAGACTCTTGAAAACCCTACAGAAATTGTCACTCTGGTGAACAAGTTAAATTTTGGTCAGTGCACATACCTACTCTCAGTGTACAGACTGGAATCACTCAGGGTGTCGTCTGATCCAGGAAAGTTCTACTCCATTTTTGACTACTTGGAGGACAAAGCCATTGAAAAAGACAAAGCTGGTAAGAAAATAAGACTTAGATGCAAGAGCAGGAAGGCAGCATGGCTTCCGAGTTTGCGGCGCGTGGTTTGAAATCTAAAGCGCCCAGTTTTAATTTATTTACTCGTTCTGCTCATCAATTTGATTTATTTTCTCAGTAGTCGCGAGTTTAACTTCTATACTGAACGTTTTAACCCCTTGACTCCCAGATCTCCTTCTCCTTACTGTCTGTCATACAATTTTGTGATGTTTGTTACTAGGAAATTGTTATTCGATCAACTAATAATCACCTAATTGACATTTTCTTTACCCTCATCGCTTGTCTGCGCAATATTGTGTGGATACTGTGAGGAAAAATCTTTTCTTGGTCATTCGCCGGAGTTTTAGGGTTAATTGGAACTATTTACGCTAAAATAGTATTCAGCAAGTTTCGACAGTGGCAGGAACCCTAACATCAGTAGACATATTCTCCAGACTGCTCCCGATACATTTCCTGAGGTGCTGACGAGGAGAATTTGTTTAACAATCAAGAGCTTCAATCGTTGGTGATCATTTCCCTTTTTTCTTGTGACCTTATTTGTGATTTGGGGGTAATGGTTGTAGCCGACTTGTGCGTTTTAGATCACTCTTAAATATAACTGGTTATTCATTTTGTAATGTTATCAGGAATCTGGCAATGCATTTCCGCTGTTGGAGATAAAGTGTTCTCGGTTTTTCTAAACGTTATGTCCAACAAACCTAGAACAATGGAGAGGGAGACAGAACTGGAGAGGCATGCACAATTTTTGTTGGTGAAATTTAATCATCTTCAGAAATGGATAAGGCGCGTTGCCGACAAGTATCTATCTTCATTTGTTGACAAGTAAGTAGAAAAATTTTGTGCGACTTTTATTTGACCGTCGGAAGTAATCCGAAAGTTCATTGGGTTTGTGATTGGTGTAGAAAACTCACGCCATTCTTCCAACCAATCAGATGCAAAACTAGAGACACTCGCAAATTTGTCACCCGCGTTTTCCCGCGCTTCAGGCAGTTTGATTTTGTAGTTGAGTTCTTATTGGTTCCTTTTGCGATTTGCTCTGCTCTGATTAGCTATTGTTATTACTGTAGTTCAGGTTTCACGACACTTCCACGTGCGCTCTTTAGATTTACTTAAATGGTAATTCATTTAGCCTTTTAGCCCCTAAGGGTGACTAGCATCTAATTTCTCTTTACAATATCACCCCATGAATCAAGCATGACAGTTATGAGAATAGAGAAGATGAGCACCATAATGCAGCTCTTGATTGTTAACCAAATTCTCCCTGTTAGCCTCTTAGGAAATGTATAGAGAACAGTATGGAGAATATGCATACTGATGTTAGGGTGTAAAGGAAAAAGATATCAGCCATGGCCTCAAAAGAAACGCAATTTACTCAATTAATTTTTCTTGGTCTTTTTGTCTAACATAGGTTTCCGCATCTTTTATGGAACGGCAGGGTGCTCCATTTTATGTTGGATCTTTTGCAGGAATTATCCAAATGTCTGATCCATCCAGTAAGTTAACAGCCAATCAAAGAACGTTTATAAGTGCTTCGTGATAATTAACACGCAAAACAAGCAGTTAATTAGGAGGAAATAATTAATATATAGGCTAGATTTTAAACCGCCTAGTTGCAAGAGTAACAATCCATCCAAGAGAAAATTGCTTGCCGAGTAGACGTTACATTTTGGGTTTTTCAGTTGGAAAGTGGGAAGTGTTAAAGGTACGATTTTTGTGAATAATCCATTTTACAGTTGCGTGCTTGGTTGCCAAGCCTTTGAACAGGAGTGATGCTAAGGGTGACCTTGATATGATACAAACCTTGTTGCTTCTCAAATGTAAATTACTATGTTATCATGTTAACTAGACACTGGTCTCTATCGCAACATGGTCAACTTCAGCCTCACTCTAAATCAAAGGCTTGGCAACTGAGTACACAACTGTAAAATGGCCTAATGCGTGAATTATGTGTAATAATACTCATTGTCGCTTTATGCTGTTGAAACCAGGATAAGCTCCGGCAGAATGAGCCAGTAGACTTGATTTAAGACAACTTACCTACCTACCTACCTGTCCTATGAACGTACTAAGTTTTGTTTTCCCCATCATTGGCACAATTCAGAATGAAAACCACCAGAAAATCGAGATAACGGTGCCCAGCTCTGTACCTGTCAGGCTGCTTGTTCCTGAAGAGATGGACGGCCGTGAAGGGACAGTTAGAGATTTTGCTGCGCGCTGCAGTGGAATAATAAAGGAGGCGCTTAAGTGGGCGCCGGAGACAACCAGATCATTATTACAGGTGAGTCATCATCATCATTGTCCCTACCCCTCCTTGTGAATAATAGCACCAGTCTCTCTCTCTTTCACTCTCCGGGCTGATTTATCGTCCGCAGCTGTGGCTGCTTCATTGCAGGTTCTCAGGTGGGTTTGATGAATTGATCCTTGACCAAGACAGAATTTCTCTTTATACTATCAAGACAATGTCAAGCAGACAAGTAATGAGAGAAAAAAGAAAGAAATAATCAATTAAGGTAGTGATAGTTGATCTTATTACAAATTCTCCAGAGTTGTACAGCAGACAGTAAGGAGAATTTGGTTGGTTGTAACTTGTGTGAGACAACTTGCCTGAAAGCGCGCGACCTTTTCATTACAACGTCCGTGCATGCGCAGATGTTTGATCGCTGTGATTCCTATATCGCGCTTTTTTCTGTTGTAGGATTACATCATGGAGCTAGGAAATGCATCTCAGGGAGGGATCCACCACACTGGTTTGTCCCTTGCTACGGAGAATGTCTTGCAGTTTGCTGGACTTAACCCTTCTTCTGTAGCGGTTAGTCACGTGTTCCTTGAGAAACGACCGAAATGTGTGAAACAAGACACTTCGCAAGTGGTATCTGGACTGACCTTGAGAAGCAGATATCTGGGAGAGGTAAATATGGCACATATCGCCCAGTAGATGAACTTACACCAGGAAGTATGTTTCTTGCTTCCAGAATTTTTTGTTCTACTTCGTTTGCTTTCATCTTTTCTTTGCTGTGCTCCGCATTAAGACAGTTTGAGAAAAGATGCTAATAATTTGGCCCGCCAAGAGCACAGAGTGAACTGACACTAGAATCGCTGACAAGGACCCCTCATGTATACATAAATGTGTGTTTGCTGATAGTGTTTACGCTCGTATATAAAGCCAACAGAATTTGCTGAATCAAATGCGAGAGATAATTGGTTTTACTTGGATCGATTGTGTCGAAGGAACTTTCATTTTTACTTTGTTTTGTCTGCTCAGCTGGCTAAGCACGGTCAAAGGCAGTTGGAAGTAGATACTATTCTTTTTCACGTTCTTTGTTCGATTACTCTCGCTGTAGATTTCTGGAATAAGGGAACTACTGACCAGTCAGACGTCTAAAAATAAAGATGTGAATGAAACATTATCCGCCATGTTAAATAAACAGTTAGAGGAAGCGAAATCGGGCAAGGAAGATGCTTTTGTAGCCGCCATGTTCAGAGCATCAGCGTTTCTTGTGACTTCACAAGGTACTGCATTCACTTTTACTACATCTTATTTTATGCAAGAATGTGAATTGGTAATTCAGGGCCCTAAATGAAAAAAAAGTCCTAAATTGCCTTTTGGCGAAAAATGGTCGCCAGCAGTAAATTTGTAATCGTCTATTTAAGACAAAATAGTCAGTAGAGCCCTTTTTATATATCATAATTTATGCCTGACAACATTTTACAACGTACGGAAATAATTTATTTATCTTAGAACAAATTTGTCATTATATTACACACAGTGTCTTACTTTCCATAGTTTTTTTCGCTTCTAAACTTATGCTGGTACGCGCACGAGCGAGCGACCTGAAACTCTGCCAGAAAATTTTGTACTCGCAGTCAAAAATGTCTGAGAATCTAAAAAAAGTATCTATTCTTTGTTTTCTTCTAGCTGTTGATCGACAGCTACTGCATAATCTGTGTTGGTGTCCGGCTGATTTGTTCACTGAGCTGTCCATGTCCACCGCTGTGTCGTGTTGGGAATGGATCATGGGCGCGCGACAAGATCTGGAACTTCCAGTAAGATTTTTTTTTTTCTTGCAGCAGTCTCCATTGGTTGATTTTGATACTCAATAATTCTAGTTATGAACGATAACTTTTGTGTATTTCCAGATGTTAAGTAAAATCAGCGCCGCATGGCAGTGGACGGTTTGTCGACGGATCGGTTTATTTGCAGCAGACCAGCTGACCGAGAGCCCACTATCAGCTTTTTCCGACAACAGATCCCCACCCACTCCCCCTAATGTCGCTCCACATGACATTTGGATCAAGTTTCTTGTTCGTCGGTTTGAAGTGATTAAGTATTACAGTCGTGACCAGGTGAGGGACAGAAATGTGTTCAAAAACAACTCCAGCGCAAATATATGATGATATATTTTTTTCAACTTTGCTTTTTTGTGGTCTTATTGGAGGTTGTGGTGCTAGTATAGGAGTGTTTTGTGTCTCATTCTGTACTGGGAAAAAGTACATATTATTTTTCATAGAGAATATTTTTGATAACCTCGAGAAACGCGAAAAACATGATTGTTCAGCGTAATTACGAGAAAAAAAACACAACTTACCTTAACCCTTTCACTCCCAGTTGTGATCAAGACAGAATTTCTCCTTACAATATCAATACAATATCAATCATATAAGTGATGAGAATAAAAAAAATCAATTTGGGGATAATTAGTTGATCCAATACGAAATTCTCTGAACTAACATTATAGAAATTGTTCGGTTGACAGAAAGGAGAATTACAAATTTGATCTGGGAGTTAAAGGGTTAATTGTTGAGTGTCTGCCTTAATGGGAGACAGCCATTTTGTGTGCGCGCCAGTTCTCTTGCAACATTCTCTCTCTCTTTCTTCCATTTCACCCTTTAACTCTCATGAGTGACCAAGACAGAGTTTCTCCTTACAATATCAATACAATATCAAGTAAGTAAGTGATGAGAATATAGGAAAATATCAATTAGGGGATTTTTAGTTGATCCAATACCAAGTGCTCTTAATTAACGTCGTAAGAATTGTATAGCAGACTTTAAGGAGAATTTTTAATACAATCTTGGGAATGAAATTATTAAAACAAACTTTTACTTAAGGATGTGTTTTTTCTTATATTTCTATCTTCTGTAGGTGGAGATATTTGTTACAATGCTACAGCGTTGTCTACCACTGTCTGTCCAAAGAAAGAACTTTGTTTCCCGGCACATTGCTGCTCTCAGAGCCAGGTTTCGGTTACTTCATCTTGGACTGTCCATTCTTCAAGGGGACTTCTTATCAAACTCAGTTATGAAGAATGTTTTAAGGGAGAGGATCTACTGCAATGCTTTGGACTATTTCAGGTACAGTTTGTACTGGTGTATAGAGTTGAAAAGCTAACGTTTCGAGCATTAGTCCTTCGTCAATCGCTCTGACGAAGAGCTAACGCTCGAAACATCTGCTTGGTGGCCAATTTACGTGATCAACTCAGTTAATAATACTAAATTACCCTTTTATACTCTCCCACCGACGCATTACTATAGTTTCTCTAGAAACTTACCACTTTTATTAATGGTTAACTAGCTAGAATTAAGTCGTCATATTTTGTGCAATTTTTTAGCTTTTAAATATGATATAGTTCAAATCAGGGACATGTAAAAAGCGAACTTCGCGGGTGAGTCAAAAAAAATAATTAAAAAAAAAAAAATGATAGAAAAAATTCAGGCTTCGACGGGATTCGAACCCGTCTCTCCTAGACACTCCTCGGACGCTTCTGCCAACTGGACAACGGTACCAGATGTTGGGAGTGAGGTTTCCTTTCTGTCATTGCGATAATTTCAGATCACATGCCAATATCGTTTATACAATGTATTTTATCCTTGGGTCAAAATGCCATCTCTCTCATTTAACTGTGTAGCTCAAGCCATTGCAATTTAGCTTGAGAATTCTGCAATCTCCTCATTTTTGCGACACTCAGAAAACCTGTAAAACCGGAAGTATCTCTTGAAGGTGACTTTTTTCGATAAAAGAAGAAGCCAATCAGACGAAAGAAATCTTTACTGTACAAAGTAACGCTAAATAGTTTGATGTTTGGCTTTTTTTGCTTACAATTTCCTGTTTCCCATGTTATTGGAAAAACTTATGTTTGTGGAGATGTTCATAGTTTCCTGAGTTTGAATACGGATTCTAAAGAACGAAGTTTAAAAAGCAAGGCGTTGTATTACTCGCCCCAGTCTCTCATCCGTCTTTCTTGTATCACTGTTGGTAGCGTGGAACCAATGTGGCCAGTCAGCAAGGATGTAGAACTGCGGGAAGACATTCAGGTGTTGATCAAATTCTGGCAGGCCATGCTTTCCGACAAAAAATACATGAAGTACTTTATGGTAGCGGCGCCTGTAGACACCAGCCAGCTTTTAACGCATGGCTCCTCCACAGGATCTCAATACACCAGTGGATCATCGGGCATAGGACCCTTCCTGCAGGTATGTATAACGATCCCTAATGGGGGCTCCATAACACTTGTGACCTATCTAGATAAGGGCCTTATCTGCAGGTACGTTAAACTATCCCTAAAGGGGGTTCCAGAACACTTGTGGATCATCCGGCTTAGGCCCTTTCTGCAGTTATGTTTGACAAACCCTAATGGGCGTTCCAGAACACTTATGGCCTATCTGGGTTAGGGCCTTATCTGCAGGTAGGTTTGACGATCCCTAAGGGGGGTTCCAGAACACTTGTGGTCCATCTGGGTTAGGGGCTAAGTTGTTGGTAACTTTAACGATCCCTAGAGAAGACCCGATGCCCAATTGCATCATTTTTCTGAGGGCTTTGTTTGCAGGTAATTTTAATGATCTTAGGACGCGTCCCATTATCAGACTTGGGTCCTTATTTATATTTTTAACACTTATTTCCTGCGCGTTTAGTTTTTTGTGTTTTTCAATTATTTTGTTTATGTGTTTGTTTTTTTTTGTTGGTTAAATGAGACTTGATTGTACTGAACTGTTGAACTCTGAGAAAATTAAAGTTGTATTCAATGGTGCGAAGCTAGAGGCTTAAAATTTCTTGCTCGTATTTCTAATTTCCTTCGCCTCTTGAAGTTCCGGAGATTGTGGTACAATTTATAAAATTAGTTTCACGTGAGTGAACCGCGTGTAGTATTCCTCGCGCGATACACGCGTGTTCCTCCCGTTTCAGAGCGCTTCTTTCTCAGGAAGATAAAACTAACCGGCAAATCGTTTCGTGATGCTTCTTCGTGTTCTCGCCTAATGCTGCTGATGGACACTTTATGAGCTGATTGCTAATCGCCAAACAATGTTGTAACAGGTTCAAGGGTCAAGACGAAGCTCTTATGCGCTTTTTATGGAAGATATGGTAATGCGTGATTTGCTTGTAACACTGGCATCTATAAGAAGGCTGCCTCTTTGGACGCACTTCTATGTTTTTTGTTTTTTATTTTTTGTTTTCTTTTCTTTGTCTTTTAATTTTGAGTTTATTTCTTTTTATTGTTTTAATCTGTTATTTTTACAATTTGTGTTGGCTTTTGTTTGGTCTCTCTACGTTTTTCCAAAGTGGACATGGCCTGTTCCAGGCGGTCAATTAGAAAAACGGAGCGCGGTGATAAACAGTGCTATATTCGCAGCTGAGTTAAAAAAAAAAAAAGAAGAAGAATGTTTTGTTCATGAGGCGACTCGACCCAGGCTCCTTTTTATTTTTCGGTCCCTGCAACTATCGAACTGTTTAATGCAGACAGTGGTTTTGAGGTTACTTTCTTCAACTTAGATCAAAATGAAGTCACAAGATTGTCTCAAATAACGTTGTTGATCTGTCAACGGGTTCCCGAAGTCATATTGTTAATTGTATGTTAAGCTCTTTCTAAGATAAACCCTCAAGTTTTACTGGTTAAATGCACAAAAATAAGAGTTAATCTTCAGGAGCAAGTTCAATTGCCAAAGTTGAGATGCATGCGTTTATAATTTTGTTTAACATGGTTCGTTGCCATGTGACCCCAGGGCAATCGTTGGATGAACACAATACCGCTGTCTAGCAGTCTTTCTTCTCGACGCTCAGCCACAGAGGGCTCAACTGGAAAAGAGGCCACAGGCGGGCAACATGTTCTAAAGGATTATTTGAAGCGACGAAATCTGATTCTGGCGTTGATTCGTCGGGAGATTGAACGGTTGTCGACTTGGCATAACTCTATGGCTCGCCCAGAGCTGAACTTCACCGGAATGGAGTCATTGGTGAACTGGGCAAATCAAACAGTTTTTACCGAGAGGATTTGGAGGGACCTTGTGAGGCTTGCTTGGCACATCTCACCAGACATTGCTGTGTTTCTACCAGCAAGGTAAATTTTAAGTCTTTTTCCGCGTGACAGTGCTACTATGTAGTTTTCAATTGAAAGGACAAACGATAGAGTTAAATTCTTGGAATTTTTCTAAGAAACACTTTGCACAACATGATAAACAGTACCATAATGACATCAGACTACTGTTCTGTGGCTTTCAGTCTAATAGTCGCACACCAAGGTTTGAATCACCTACTTAAAAGTTATAATCACCTGGGACTGTATCAAAAATCAGTATCACTGCTCCACACCATTATTTGAATGTCACTCTCAAAGATTTCATCCGAAGACATGAAGGGTTGAATATCTTAGTGCAGCAAAATAAACTTTACCACGTCAATGAACTGTTCAGTAGCTTTTTTTGAATGATTACACATTAGGGTTTCATCTTCAGACTTGAAAGTTCAGTGCACCTTGTACATCATAAGTGACATGATCGCATGTCAAAATATTGCTCAGTGGCTGCTGTTTGAATGATCACACGCTAGCAAGGGTTGCATCCATATCTTCTTTTCTAAATTGGTTCAATTCACTTTTCGAAGGTTCAAAGAAGTTTCTGCAGTACACAAAGAAGTCAGTCGCTTGGTCCGAATCCATCCAACAGCAGTAGCTGAACTACCCGAAGCTATACAGGTGACACGAAGCTCACAACAGGATATAGAGATTATTCCGTGGAAAGTGCGCACGAACGATTTTTATTCTCAAGTTACGATGCATAAAAAAAAAAAAAAATCGAGTCGAGTTTTGTGCTCGAACTGTTGCTTCGAACAGGTGCTTGAAGCCTGTTTAATTTGCCCAAAAGGTTACTCTTTTTTTCCTCTCTTTCTTGTTTTTAGTATCTGGTCACTGAAAAGAATATCAAAGCCGATATTCCTGAGCTCACGCACATTCTGTGTTGGTCAGCCATTCCCCCTGTCCAGGCCATGGCGTACTTCTCACAACAGTACCCACCCCACCCTCTGACAGCACAGTATGCCTTCCGTGTGTTACAGTCCTTCCCGCCGGACGCCATATTGTTATATATTCCTCAGCTGGTGCAAGCCACTCGCTACGACGCACTGGGATTTGTAAGTGAGTACATCATGTGGGCCGCGAGGCATTCACAACTTCTTGCTCATCAGGTGGGTAGCAAAATATGTTGTTATTTGTGTTGCAGACACTGGTACGAACGAAGCCATTGCGCTCAACTCTGGATCGAAAAGTGCAGATTCTTGCAATGTCTCTCTCCACCTGGTAGTTTAGATAGTTTCTGTAAAACTAGTTGCCGAAATCTTTTTAAGTGCCAAGGATAGCCTGTTATGGACTGGCATTCCAGCAAGCAAACGAAATAGACCTGCTAATGTCTCCAGAGCTGTACAAGTCAGTTTCGTATGTTAGACTCTTAAAACTAAGGTAAACTTAATCGTCCTCGAACATTTCGGCAGGTTTCGCCTAGCGTAGATTGCTTGACGACACTGATGTGTCATGTTTGGAGTTGCATAGATTACGTGACGTGTTATGAGCATTACAGTTTACGTAATGTTTTTTGTGCTGCATAGAACTGCATATAATTTTTGATTTGGAAATTAATATGGATGTGTATATTCACTAAAGCCTCAATTTGACGCGAAAATTTGTACGGTGATTTGTCCGCGGATATTATCTGTTCCAAGATGCGAACAGTTTTCCGAGCTCGAGGAAAACTGTGCGCTTCGAGGAAGTTATAATGCCCAAGGACAAATATCTGTACAAGTTTTGGCGCAAAATAGAGGTTATTGTGTTTATTATCCTTCAGATATTTTGCAGAGCGCGTGAAGAAAATTTTACGAACAGCTTACTGTATTCAGCTTGGGATGTTTTCTTTCGAGTGTTCTCTGCTACGACTGAATGAACAAAAAAGGATTTCCCCTCTTCTGTAATAACCATAAAACCCTCTCTCATCTTAGATCAAATTTGAAAAGAAGAATTGTCGTAGTGGACGTAAGGTTTGAAAATTGAGGAATATCGCTCGGGTGATGTTCTCGGATATCACCCAGTTTTAGCTGTGGAATATTCTATCACGAGCTGCGTTTAGACCAATCGCGTACCAGCAAAACTATTTGATGGATCGTAACAATTGCTACACGTTTGACAGCAAATTTAAGTAAACTATTTACAAGTTTGGACAACGGAAAAGGACTTTAACGGGCGCTTTTCTTAATTTGGAGCTTACCTTTGATCTTTATCTATCATTATTTCTTATCAGCTGATTTGGAATATGAAAACCAACGTATTTACTGATGAAGAGGCCCTTCACAAAGATTCAGAAATTGGCGGTCATCTTGAGAACTTAATTGAAAGAATCACAAACTCGCTTTCAGGAACAGCGCTCGATTTCTACAAGCGAGAATTTGACTTCTTCGACAAAGTTACTGCTATATCTGGAACTATAAGGTAGGTGTATTAACGATTAGAGGATCTACGAAGTGAATCACGAAATTGTGAATGCCATTAACTCTTTTAACTCTCATGAGTGACCAAGACAGAATTTCTTCTTACAATATCTATATAATATCCAGCAGACAAGTGATGAGAATAAAGAAAAATAAATGGGGATTAATTGATCCAGTAGGGGATTATTCGTTGATCCAAGGAGAATTTTCTTCTTATAAATTGAAAAAAATCCCTTCAAAGAATTGTACGCGAGAAGGGCTCTAATGGTAGCGTTGCAAGACGCGTGCAAGGAGAATACCTAAGGAGATCTTGGGAATGAAAGGGTTATAAACCTTGAAAAAAATCGGGACTTCAACAGAGTTGATTTTGTAGCCTGCGAGAAGGGCTCTAATGGTAGCGTTGCAAGACGCGTGTTTTTCCGCCCGAGGAGATTTGAGACGAGTCGGGGACAGACGGCTCACTAGCTTGCGTTGCTCAAAGCCTCGAACTTTCTCGCACGCAAAGAAACGCTCGCGCCGAAGCGCTAATAAAGAGGAATTGCTCGCACGTTAATAATTTTATGACTTCATGATTTTGGTACGATGCCCTCGCCAACTGAGCCGCTCACGTTGGGAAATAGTGAACTAAATGTTCTTGAGTTCCATGAAAAAAGATGAAATTTATAAGAATGTTTACAAAGTGGATTAAACGTTTTTGAACTGCGATTTAAAAGAGAAAACCACTTTCGAGATCGAGGGTGGAAGATTTTATCTATAGATTCAAGAGCTTTCTCAGATTTTCAAAACCTGGTCACCAAAAGGTTTCTGGTCTGTCGCCCCGACTGCATTTATTAAGCTACTAGTTAAACACCAGAATGTTAAGAGGAAATTTTTATTTTCACGTGAGAGAAATGTTGTATGAATCCTACACTCGTTTCTTTCCATTGTACAACACAGACCGTACCCCAAAGGTCCAGAACGGAAACAAGCATGTCTCGAGGCGCTTAGTAAGATCAAGGCCCAGGAAGGGGTGTATTTGCCGAGCAACCCAGAGGCCCTGGTGCTGGACATTGATCACAAGTCAGGAACGCCAATGCAGAGTGCAGCTAAGGCCCCATTCCTCGCGCGGTTTAAGGTCAAACACTGTGGAATTCAAGAATTAGAGACCATGAACTCGTCAAAAGGTAACAACAAAAACCGGAATGTTAACAAATCCTGCCACAAGTTCATTTTCTTCAGTTTCTTCAATTTCTTGTCTTAAAGGGGAAAGGAGACTTCTCTCTCAATAAGTTGGGAAAAACACTCGACTACGACTCGTGTTTCTCCCTATACTTCTTTTGTGCTCTAGCCGCTTCCTGTGTGCTTTACAACAGAATAGAGCACAGTCAAGGCTTCTCTATTTGTTAAATACCATGTGACCTTATAATTTGAAAGTGTATGAAAATTACTTTTGTTTTAAAACTTCGTAGATTTTTCGTCGTCGGATAGTGAGGACGAAAAAGAAAAAAATAAGATCTACTGGCAGGCTGCCATATTTAAAGTCGGCGATGACGTCAGACAGGTAACGTGCGTCTTTTAGATTGTCTCCCAGCAATCTTACATTTCGGTGTGCGTTATGTTTCCTATTCCCGTTTTATCTTACACAACTTGTAGAGTTTGTTGTCAAACGTGCTGTCTTTTTTCTTTAGGACATGCTGGCACTGCAGGTGATATCACTTTTTAAAAACATCTTCGAGCAAGTTGGATTAGACGTCTATCTAAAGCCTTACAGAGTCGTGGCCACTGCCCCTGGGGTAAAAAAATTCTTGAACTAAAGATCTTTTACCTTGGAGAACTCTCTCCCGTAAACCGAATCCCCGACCACTGTTACGTTCATTGCCTCAGACGAAAAGTAATTAGCTCTCCTATCTTACGATCAAACGATGAGAATTTCATTTCAACATTTGCTTATAATAGTTTTGATCATTTTCTGTCTCAGAATGGTGTTATTGAATGTGTACCAGACTCCAAGTCACGTGACCAACTTGGCCGTCAAACCGAGGTGGACTTGTACGAGTATTATCAGAAGACGTATGGTGATGAAAGCACGTCAGCTTTTCAACAGGTCTGGATATCTAACTTCTTTTGTTTATTATTATTATTATTATTATTATTATTATTATTATTTGGTTCATTATTATTTGGTTCATTATTAGTTCATTATTTGGCAGCCATTTTATTTTCTCCATTTTTAGCCCCTACTTTGTTCTTGGCTAATACGGCTCTAAGTGACTTAGGAATATCTTTTTCTATATAAATTGTTAGCTTATTTCGCTGGCTTGTTAGAGTATGTCGTTGAAAAGTTCGGGAAACACGATTATTCTGAGCGGGAAAGAAATTTAATGTTGTGATACATGTTGGATGATGTTGTTATCCTAATAGATATGATGTAGCTATCAGAAAGATTTTCTCATGGCTAGTCCTCGACTGTTCGCCACAATCTTGAAAAGTCTTGAAGGCATGCCGAAAAATTAAGTTGTTCCTCGTTGATTTTTCGAAGGCCTTCGTTTAACGGTCGAGAATTCTCGCTGTTATTCATAAATTTGAGGGTTTAAGGTTGTGTTTAAAGTTTGAGGCATTTTTGCCTTACCTTGCGTTTCTCTTTGTTGGCTTGTCTTCAGGAAGGTATTTTTATTTGTAGTGCCTTTCTTGTTTTAAACCCCATTTTTTTTTGTTTTTAGGCTCGAGCCAATTTCATCAAAAGTATGGCAGCATACTCCATTGTGAGTTTCCTGCTGCAGATCAAAGACAGACATAACGGTAACCTAATGCTGAACAGAGCTGGTCATATTATTCATATAGGTAAGCTACAGAAGCCCACCTTGTTCTCAGACTACTCTTATGTTTTGTGCCACGAAATAGAAAGCAGACTGGCATCTCGCAAAAGATGTCGTACCTTTTTCAAATCTGTCGTTTGAATTCTGGGGTAATCTTCTTTATCCCCCACTATCTCCTTCCTCTTTGTGCTTCTTATGTTTATTTTAATTCCTTTATTTCACAAGTCTGGTTTTTGTAACCCAAACAGATTTTGGTTTTATGTTCGAATCGTCTCCCGGAGGCAACCTTGGTTTTGAGCCTGATATGAAACTGTCACATGAAATGGTGATGATCATGGGAGGAACAATGGAGTCCCCCTCATTTAGGTAAAGTAACGTAACGTAACGTAACGTAACGTAACGTAACGTAACACAGGCAGTAAGCCTATGCTACTTCTTTGTCTCAATTTAGGGTAAACTTTCGGTATCAAAGGAATATCTAGCCCTTGCTAGTTATCTGATGATTATTCTTTTATCAACTGCTAAGGTTGATTTACTTGCACACACAAAATTTGCAGCCCTCGTCAATGAGTCAGTACTTTGACTGTCTCGATTTACCGTATCAAAGGAATATCCAGCCAAATGCTTATTATATAATGATTATCCTATTAGGAAGCAAACTACCATAGCCACAATGTGGTCTGGCAGGAAAAACATTAAAGTTTTGGTTAAAATGCCCATACCAACGTAAATGAGATATATCTCGTTGAATTAAGGAAAGATCAATGTTCTGAACAGTTTGGAAAAAATCTAGAAACGTGGTTCTCATCCACCTCGATCAAAATTAAAGCTGGCTCGTAACGCTCCTCTTTTAGGACTGGTCGACTCACTGTTAGGTCTCACCACTGAAATACGGCGGTTCCCTGGTTCACTGGTCTTCTAAGTTGCGAACGTTTTCTCTGCACTCTTTCCCAACGTGAAATATCTTCACGTCGCAGTTATACGACTTCGGAATCCAACTGTGACAGTTTTTACTCTTCACACAGAAGGCCTCTCACATGTGAACCTCGACAAATCCCAGCTCACCAACGATTTCACGGGAAATAAATTTACGTACGACTTACCGCAAAGTCATAACTGGCTAACGCTTCAACCCTCGTGGAGCATTCTGGACAACTTTGCGCAATTTTACCTGTATCTCTGATCAAATGTTGATATAATTCATTTTTTAGATGGTTCATGGATTTGTGTGTGAAGGCCTATCTTTCAGTCAGGTGAGATAAAGTGGCGTAGAAAAACGCTTCACACTCGTTTTTTCTTTGCATCTGACTTTACGTAGCTTTGGTTTTTGTTTTGTGATTTATTTTATTCAACATTGACTATCCTCTTCCCTCCTGTCAGGCCTTACCAGGAAGCAATCGTATCCCTTGTTGCACTGATGTTGGACACTGGTCTGCCATGTTTCCGGGGGGAAACACTCAAAAGACTCAGGTGATTAATGATGAAAGGGTAGTCTTTAAGTTCACCGCTTTAATTGATGATGTAGAGATATTTATATTTATTTTTGTTAGACGAATAGATTTTGGAACTGTAACTTAAAATAGATGTTTGAGTTTTTGCTCTGTGACAAACTACGAGTTACTCTGTAGTCCTATGTCCATCGCGTTGGATTTAACTTTACGATAAACATCTCGTCAGGCGTTTTCATTTGTTTTGTTTTTTGTGTATAACAGAGCAAGATTCAGCCCGGCACAGAGCGAGAGAGAAGCAGCCGCATACATGGTGAAAGTTATTCGTGACTCTTATCTAAACTACAGGTGAGAAGAGTGGTGAGCTGTGATCTCGCCTTTCTCGTCAGACCTTTTTTCTTAACTCTCAAAATGCATTTATCCACCAAGGAGTGGAAAGGGTTCCGGCAAACTGTTAGGTAAACCTACTAAAATGATGAAAGTTACCTACGGGAGACTGGTATACCATGGGGGGGGGGGGGTGTTAATTCTTCGAGCTTTGTGACATTCACCTTCTCCATCTGGTGGCATTTTGTACTACTAATCATGAGAAATCCTTCAAAAAGGAAAAGTATTCATGCCATGCTATTTCTCCCAAGAAGTTTGCTGCTTTTTGTTCACTATTTGGACTAGTTACTCTTCAACTCCAGGGACTACTTCTTCACATAAAAATACCGGTCGCCATTTCACAAGAGGATTTATTTTTGGTTTTCACTTTTTGAGAGCGTCTGAAATTGTGATCTATTTTTCCTTTGCAGGACCCGAGTTTACGATTTGATTCAGTTGGCCCAAAATCAGATTCCATGCTAGACTCATCATTGGCAACAAGATTATAAATTAAGATGTAATGCTAACAAGGACAGGTCTGGTCTCCTGTTTCTAGTCTTAGGGTTAGTGTAAGGGTCAGTTTTGTCAGTTTCTTCGGATGAGACTGGTCTCCAGTTTTCATTCCCCACTGAAATTTGAATTTAATTTCATGTAAATAGCCTTGTAGTGCCCAGTACAACAAGGGACAACTTACTGAGATACTGAGATCACATGACAAGAATTGTAATTTCTCCTTATAATTTTATTATTTAGTGACGGGGAAAACCAATTTTGTCAGCTGAAGAATGCTTTTATGATAGAGCTCTAAATTCTCCCAATAACTTTAAAATTAATATGCAGGGGAAAAGAGAACTTATTCCCTGGTCTCCGAACTGAAAAGGTTTAAAATAGTGGCTAATGGGTTTCTTTATTTAGGGAAATGGTTGAAAGATCAAAATTTTTGTACAAAATTTAATTTAAATTACGAAGAATATTTTGTTGAATATATCGTAGAATTATCCACAATAATGTAATATGGTAAATAAAAATGAAATGTGTCATTTGTTCTTTGTGTGGAACATGCCACTATACCAGAATAGTATTATGGTAAACTCCTGAACCAATATAAAGGCTAGCTCTTGAACCAATATCAAGGCTAACTTGAACCAATATCAAGGCTAGCTCTTGAACCAATATCAAGGCTAGCTCCTGAACCAATATCAAGGCTAGCTCTTGAACCAATATCAAGGCTAGCTCCTTAACCAATATCAAGACTAACGCACAAAAGGAGCACGATAAATCAAACGCCGAATCGTTTCTTGAAAACTTAAGGTAGGAGTGATAATAAGTCGGTGCAAGAGAGATTGTAAGTTAATGGCTTATAATAGGTGTTGCAACTTTTGTCTTGACCAAACAATTACACTAAGGCCAGAATAACGTACAATTTCCTTCACGTTTATTGAATCATTTTTTTTTTTTCCATAAAAGCGCTAGTTTGCCTTGATCATTTACAAATATATTCGCGCTTTTCCTACAAGCTACTCATGAACAGATTTTATTCAACTGCTCAGCGACATTTGTTTCAAATATTTGGATCCAAATGTACGAGAAATAAAAAGAGACAAATTCATGCTCTAAAATTATTAGTCTTAATAACATTAACATTTGAAAACACACTTATCGTTTGCTAGAAAATTTTAACATTTAAAATTCTTTGCAGATATCCAAGCAAAATTGAAATAAAACATTACAATGATAAAGCATGCTTTACAATAAAAATAGCCTTCTAAACAATATTTACTTTTACTGTGAAAATTCCACATTACAAGATTTAATCTTATAAAAAAAATGTTATTCCATCTCCTTGGAAATTCTATTATTTATAACTAAAAATACTATTGAAAATCTCTAAAAAATATCGTTAATGAAGAAAATTGAAATTGTTGCTTACTTTCGATTGAACGACGCTGAGCAATTCGCGCATAAATTTTCATCCTGGTTAGTCTCTTGCCCACAACCTTTGCATACACCGGAAGTATAAGCATTAACAACAGGCTTGGTGTCACCGTTCGCACTTTCTTCCGCTTCCGGTGCACTTTCAACCGGCTTGAATTGGTGATTCTGTAAGTCGACCGGAAACTGAGGGAACGGAAGTCCGACGCCGTTAGCCGAAGGGAACATATATGACGTAAGAGGCATCAAAGATGGCGGCATAAGATAACGATATTGTCCATTTACGTAGTTAAATTTGAACAGCGGTGGAAGGGAAGCTGAGGACGGGGAGGAACGTGAGAAGCCTGGGGAGGAGGTGGAGGAGCTGGGGGATTGGCGTCATTCGGAGGTTGAGCCTGCAGTATATTCGACTGACCGAGAAGACCGTTTGTATGTGATCTGCTCGCGTTGTATTGCACGATTACTTCAATGGCTTGAAGAACATTTCCATTACAGCCTTTTAACACGTGTTCAAGCACCGTGGACGATAAACCAGGAAATGCCCTTGTCAGGATATCCGTCGGCGGTGGAATAACCGTAGGAAGTGTCAAGGGGGACTCCGCATGAGGTCTTTTAGAGGCCGAGGCCATACCACCGCCATAATCGCTGTCGGAACTCTCTGGGCTGTTACTACTACTGGGATCTCGTCCGCCGCTGTGTTTTCGTTTCAACAATCCTAGATGGTGTGAGAAAACACAGTGAGTGAATCTCCAGAACAACTTATCAGTCAGAACAACATTTATTTGAACTGCGATAAAGACGTGACAATCTAAATACGGAAGTTACCGGTGCAGTGCTCCACCAACTGAACTAACAAACCAACTGGGAGCTGGTTGTTGGTTCCAAATAAACGTGAATAAACTGTGCCAAAAGTCGTATATTTGAACTGCGGATAAAGACGTGAATATCGATCTTCGCAAATTTCCACTTAAGCAGGAAAAAAAAAGGCCAAACGAAAAGCAAAGTTGGGTCATGGGTTCGGGTTTGAATTTTTTCCTAAACCGAGAGTGTTAAGCAAAGAATCCTAAACCGAGAGCCTTGCTTATTTTCCCATTACAGTTAATACTGCTTTCTGAAGTTAGGAGCTATGGAGTGCACTTCGACCTTATCAGTATAGTGCATGCGCACGCTGATATGAAATATGAAATATAAGACAGGAGCTTAAATTGCTCCCTAACACATTTTCGTGAAACTTTCGAATTACGAAAAAAACTTAATTTTTTATCTGATGGACAGTTTCAACTTTTGAATTGGACAATTTTCGATTTGCTCAGACAATCGGCGTGATGATTGCCGATATCAAAATTCTGACGGTTTCATGTTTCGAAACCTTTAAAACTTTGAATCAAACAAACGGCGATGCATATTTCTGCGCCCCCAAATAAAGTGAAAGCACATTTTTTACTAGCGAATTATTGTTTCAATGAGAGGAACGTAACCAAGAATAAAATCTGACTTCTGGTTTAACCAGGACGCGTTCAAGAGACACGATTTTACAAGAATTTTGTGTCATCAACTATGATGACTATGTAAATTGGCCACCATATATAGCTTCAACAGGCGACGTTTCAAGCGTTAGCCAATCGTCAGAAAAATAAAAGGACTTTTCTGCTCTCTCTTTTTATTTGTTTCTAAGTTCATTCGGAAGCATTTGCTATTGCTGTGGACTAATTTACAGCAATCTATACGAAAAAAAGACCGCCATTGTCTGATCAAATTTTCTGTAAGCCTTAAAGCAGCAATCTTTCCTTTCACGAAAAATCTTGCTTCGTGTAGTTTATTAGCTCATACAGTAACTGCGAACAACGTATGATCGAGAACCTTAACTTACATTTCTAAAAAAAGCCTTAGGAACTTTATTATAAAAGTCCAATAAACCATGCGATCTTTCGAAATATCTGGAAAAATTCGAGAAAACTTTCCTAAAAAAACAACACCGAAACGACCATCGTTTTATCTGTTTGTCTTTCTGTTTGAAATTAATTGTAAGTGATGACGAGTCCTAGTTTTTATCACGTCCTGTTCTTCAAGTAGAAAAAAAAATTGTTCTTAGGTTTTGTTCGTAAATTCTCACTCGCCAACTTATTTCTTCTTGATGTATTTCAGTTCTTGTTAAATAACTCAAAGAAGTAATAATCAACTCAAGCAAATTGTAATTGTGCAAAAGCTTACCCGAAAAAGAATTTCTGTGATGAACTCTGTACCACATGGTTTCCAACGTTTGTTGGGGATGGATTCTCAAGATAACCGAGCGCACAAAAAGTTTGTGATGCTTCAAAGTTAATCAAAAGTTTTCCTGTGGAAAGTTTCTCACGGCTTCGGCAAGTGAAGAGTACAGAGATTCATTAAGAAAATTTTAATCTTGAGAACCGGAACACCTTGAATGCTTTCAATAACGATTAATTGCCATAGGAACTTAAGGAATGCGGGGGTGTTGTCTATCACTTGTGATTTACGCTACAGCACGATAAAGGGATTTTGAAACAATAGCTACTGATTGTAAAGATGAACAAATCAAGAGATTAAAAAGCTTTCCGGTGAGTCGTTTTCATATGTCGTTGACCATGCGCTCGCTTGTATACCTCCTCAATATCATCGTTTTCACTTTTCAATCTCTAAGTTAAAAACCTTAGTCATATTTCCGGTTAAAAAAATCATATGAACGCAGCGAAGCGTGCCTTCAATTAGTGGCCAGTCGCATGTATTGTTATAAAATTTGTTTGCCTTCATCGCGTTTCTGGCTTACAGCTGCGAACAGTAGACTCCTTTTTTTGAAATGAATACTGTTCCTTTCAATAGCTAATTAAAGTTAAGGGCGGTACTGAACACTAAAAGAAGGCAAAGGAAATAATTATATTTGAAAAGAAGAACGCAACTTGTATATTGAAAGACAAATTGGACTCTGCAGACACTCTTTAAAGACACTACCATGTAGATGAACTGAAAAACAATTGTCTTTCAATATTTAAATTAACATTCTTGTTCAGCTTCTCTGCAAAATACTTTACCCATATTTGAAAGCTGCGCTATTAATTTAACTTTTTACCCAGCGAAATGATTTCCTTTAAAAGCCGCATTGCAGAAAGCGGAAGAAATTAAGAGTGGATTGGGAATGAAAAATGCCGACGTAAGTATTAAAAGTGCATTGTTTTGAATTTCGCGCGAACAGCGGTAAGAATTGAAAGAACAGAGAGGCAATTGTGCCATTTGTAAAACAGTTTACTTAGCGGACATCAAAGCCCAAAGAGATCTATCCGTCGAATTTTAAAACCTCGATATCGTAAACTTAACTAACATCTTGATGAGATTTCGCGCGTTTCACGGTCTTAGTTGATTGCATAACGTTATTTCCTGCTTGACTACAAATACCTTCCGCACTGTACGCGAGTTAGGGTCTGTAGTACTTTTTTCAAAAATGCATTATTATTAACTTCAAGTACGTCGGTACAATCATCAGAAGTTTAACCGAAATCTTGTTTTCCTGGGTCGATTTCCGAGAGATTTTTCCTATGCTGTCCAGAACGTTTTCCAGTCAACGAACGCTACAAAAGGTCAATAATGGGTTAAAAATGGTGTTTGATTTGGAAGATTGTTATAGATAACAGACATCAGATTCCAAGATTATAAAAGTTTTTCTTTGGTCAAATTGGACGATAAAACGACTGTTCCTGAAAATAGAATTTTAATTCTTTCTGATCAGAAAGATCTGCAGAATATTCAAAGCTTGAATGTTCCTCTTTAGTTTGTGATTGAAATCAAGGAACCATTCGATGACAAAAATTTATGGCGGTTTTAGCCAGTAATTCTTGAGTTCTCTTTATATATAACGTACTCAAAGATAAATCTCATTAGCCCCGTCATTTTGACGGGCACACGGCGGAAATTTGCGGTTTGTAAACGATCAAAATGGCGACTTCCTTTAGAAAACACACGTTTTTCGAACGCTATGATATTCGATTCCTTCAAAAACAACAAACTTTTTACTCATTTCACTCAGTATAAATTTATTTCTTTTAGGAAGAAGTGTCAGATAAGGGGCAGTGTGCAACAATTCTGCAATCCGAAGAATAATCATTTTAAAATGAACCTGACTTGTTAAACAAAATTGTACGGCAAGAAGCACTGCAAATGTTTTCTGTTTTCAACACGTGCTCTAAAGAAATTATTATTGATACTTTCAGGATTGGGAAACATCGTTAGAATCATTCTCTGTCGAATTGACGAAAGGAACACGGAATTGTGTTGGTTGCATAAACAAATACATATGGTAGAATCATTGATGCTGATGCTATCGAACTACGTAACAGCTTCTGGAACAAGCATGGAAGAGGTATAAAAGATTACTCTTCGAGTAGGTTGCATTTAAACCAACTCTTTATAAATATGAATGTTAAGCATATAGTAGTAGTTCTTAAAACTTACCGTCTCGATGCTCATGTTCTCCGTTCATCCATCCATTTAATAAACCAGCTTCCATTTGTTCTAATTCTGGCGAGTTAACGATCATGTCTGCTTCGTTTCCCTTTTGCTGACGAAAAAGCGCAATCCTGGCAGCCGTTAAACGCTGCCGTTCAGCTACAGTTCGACAGTCCATACAAGAGCAGTCTTTGAAGCGACACTGGTGTTTATGTCCGCGAAGATCTGACAAAATGCCATGATTTCTACACCGCGTACATTTAGGATTGCGATTTGACGTGTTCTGAAGTTTCAAATCTGCAGGGCTGTCTTGGCCTTCATCTTTTATCTCGTGTTGGTGCATTTTTAGGCTGTGTCGTCTTCCAAGGACGCTACAAGCACGAACAAGCGCGCTACTTTTAAGACAACTAACATTAAAATCCATGATCTCACGTGGGCTGAATTTTTCCAATACCCAGAGGAGTTGTCTACGTGACATTCTGGCAAGTTTGTATTGTTCAAAGGTCTTCGCACCTCAGCGCTGCATAATTGTTTGAAAAGGAAACAAAAACTGCAATGAGAACAGGGTGAATGATATATTTACATCCAACCTTTCTGTGTATAACGCTTAAAGAGTCAAATCAAATAAAACACGAAACAGAGCATCAATCAAAAGGTGATGATCCTGTTCCTTGCTTTGGCGAAAATAATTGAAGGAATTTGGCATCATCACTTCATTTTAATATGTTACTTTGAACCTTTATTAATTCAAATGAAAATTGAGTAACACAGCTAACCGTTCAACGAGATCATTTTCGTTAAAGAAACTTGAAAAATTCCCCTATATTTACTGTTTTTCCTTGGTGGTCAAAAGCGTGTCGTTTATAATAACTGAAAACAGCACACTTAAGAAATGTGTTTTAGACGAAGAATCGCACTTTTTTCTTTAGTCTGCCTACTCAGTGACCCCTTATACAAACCACGAGAGATCATTAAAAAAAGGGAATGGGTAATTGTGAGAAAAAATTCATCGGCGACGTTTGTCTCGCGATTCACAGAGTTTTTTGTAGTGTACTCAACAATCCGAGTAGATATATTAGTGAGTCATTTTAACTGTTACGAAATATGATCTCTTCCCATACCTTTTCACTTGCATTTTCTACAATTTGCAAATAAAAGACATGTGGCCTGAAGCATATATTACAAATCATGTGGGTCATACAGTTCATCGGCTGCGATTCAATCGCGACTACCTACAGCTTAGACCACATGTAATTTTCAAAAGCGTATTTAATTTTAGCCACAGGGAACAATTTTTAATGTTCCGATTGCCTCATCTAAACACGAGTGGTTTGGGACAGTTCGAAACAATTTGTTTACATCGTAAAAGTTCTTTATTGCTTTGATAAACTATCTCTAAAAAATGTGCGCGAAACTAAAACGTCACAACCGCGTTTACAATTACTGAGAGAGTTAAGCCTCAAACTCCCAAGATTTCGTCGGTAATTCTAGCTCTTTACTGCCTACCTCACAATTTATTTGATGTTAGTTTGGAATTGGATCAACCAATAATCCCCTAATTAATATTTTTCTTTATTCTCGTTACTTGTCTGCTTGATATTGTACTGATAATGTAAGGAGAAATTCTGTCTTGGTCACTAGTAGAACGTAAAGGGTTTATATCTTATTTTTATATCTGCATGATTCAAGTTTGCCCCACTTGAAGCCTTGTATCCGATGAAGCTAGGTCAATATAGGACTACAGTCGAATCCCCATAACTCGAATCTTCAAAGGATATTGAAAAAGGTTAGAGTTATTTGGGGTGAAAACAAAGGAATTGAACGGAAATAGGGGAAAACGGTGTTTACTGTTTGGTTTTTTTTTTCTATTAATACAATATACTTATTAATCAAATCTAATTATAGAGAAGTCGAGCGAAAACGTTAAATTGTTGCTGAAATCACAACGTAACGTAAATTTCTCAGACTGCAGTTTCATTAAAAATCCCTCAAAATGACCCCTTTTTTTTCTTCAAACTCTTCGTTGCTTAACGCACCACATTCCTTAAGATCGTGCAACTCTCTGACAAGTTGCAAAATCTTTGCGCGTGCTTCTTGTGTAGCCTGCAATACAAGAAACAGATATTAGGTACGATGATGTAATCGTAAGATAAAAATCACTATTGCAACTTGTATTAAATCGTTTCAATTTTTTTTTCAACGTATCTACTTTTTTGCCGTTTCCTTTAAAGCCTAGTACCCATCATGTCCGAAGCCGAGATCGAGACGTCCGGGTACGCATGGAATGATGGGGTATAATAGTCTTATTTGCACTAACCGCTATCCTTCTTAAGGCAGCCAGCTCGCTTACGAGTAACGTGGTCATGCAAAGAGGGCGTCCAGCTAAAGTTACAAAGTTTGCAAGGGAGGCTTACTGATCCCTAGCAAAAGGATCTAATCCTATCACGAACTGCTGGCAGCCTTGCAGTCACATGCTGCTCGTCACATAAGGTTGAACTTTCGTAACGCAACACATGACAGCCTCATTCAAAGCCTGTCAAGTGATGCGGTAATATCAGCTTTTTATCGTTCCACCAAAATTATTATTATTATTGCACAATTTATTTGAATTTTTTATTTCATTCAAAACTGATACACTTGTTATTAATGGCGAACAGCTTGATAATGGAGACCGAAGTTGAAGAAACAACGGAAGGTAGATAAATAAAAGCAAGTAAGAAAGTACAGCAGCAAAATAGGTAGTTGTAAAGATTTCAAGTCAGTATTTTTTCATCACTTAATGGAGAAAATACAGTCTGAAGCACTATTGTTCTCGGTTACAGACGTCACTGTGATTCTCAAAGCCAGATACCCTATTCACACCAGAAAAAACATGTTAAGCTAAACCGGATTTAACTGAATGGAAATCAGTAACAGAGAGATGAAAAACTTAATTTTTCATCGGTTTCAAATGGCCACTAACTTGTTATAAACTGAATGTCCAAAAATTTCAGCGGCGGCTTTTTAATGAAGAAAAAAAATCGGTTTTAAACATGTTTAAGATTTGGTTTGATGGGAAGAAAACAGTGATAAAGGCAAGCTGGTGAAAATAATGAATAAAAATACAGCGCTCTATTTTATGTTAATAATTTATCGTCTTTTAGTATTTTAAACATGTTGAAGATTTGGTTTTATTGCAGACTGTTAAAGGGAAATTGTCGGGTTTCGACCCAAAGCAAACATGCATATTGTACATTTACCCATTTCTGCTTTTTTTTTTTTTAAGGCAAGCTGGTGAAAAAATAATGGATAAAAATGTTGTATGAATTTCCGCTCTATTTTTTATGTTTTTAAATGATGAAATCAAACCAATGCGGGCTTTCAAACGCTTTTCTTTTGATTTTTTAGCCATTTTATTCTCAGCTTCATTATCTGCTTCGTCAAAAAATTTCTTCTCTTGGTTGTTTAACATCATTTGGACTCATAAAAGAATACATGTAAACTGGAAACATTGACAACAAAACAAACAGCTCTGCATGTAGACAGCTCATTCGACATAAATGATTGGTCATAGAGATATCACTGTCCTTGTTCAAATACAAAATTCCATCAATGACTATTAAACCATAAAGTAAAAACAACGAGACAGCAGTGTCCGAGAGAAAGAAAGAGAAACGTTCTATACATTCTTTCAAGGTGTTCTTGGCACGATCCTTCTTTGCTGCTCTTTTACAAGAACGGAAAACACGATACCACGATCCGAAGAAGATAACAGTTGAAGGAGCGTAAAACATTGTCATTTCACTCTTTAAAATAGCCAGTTCGTCGTCTGTTTTGGCGAGATGTGGACTAAAACAGTTCCCAGTTTGACAGAGTTCAAATTTACGCCCATAGTACACCAACAATATAGACGAAACTAAAACAAAAATTGCAACGTTCGTTTTAGACTTGAGGCGTTGTTCCATAGTTCTTCCCAATGATGTCGATAAAACCAGCGTGGCTAGTAAGTAATTCGAAAAGAAAGACAAACTGTTCGCTAAAACAATCCAAAAATGTTGCCGTGAGAACTCAACTGCCGCATGTGCCATAATATTCCACGTGTTCAGAGACAACTGCACTAAAAGAATTCTGTTAAGCCTGTGAGGCGTCGACCACGAAAAATAAACCCAGAAAAACAAGATAGCATTGTTGACGAGGCCACAGGCATACAGAAGAAAAATTATGGAGGTCATTGGAGCTGTTCAACACACTCAAAGCTCCTAAATCCATTCAGAAACCTTTACATGCGATTTGCATGATAAACATGTAATATTGAAATGTTTGGAAAATTTGCATGATGCATGCAGTAATGTATCGATATCAAACGATATTCGTTCCTGCAAAAAATTAAGAACCTCTTTATACTGCTCCTTATGCCGAAAAAGCCAAAGAATCTAAATTTACACGAATTTGAGAGAAAAGAACAAAAGTTAAGGAAGAAAAGAATATTTCCTCCTATAATTTGCCAAGTTTCAATCTTATCAAACTTTTTTATATTGTTTATTATTTGAAATGCTCACATTTTAAGGAAATCTTTCCCTATAATAGAAAATACGCGTAAATATTGCTGAGATTATCGAAGGTAACGGTGGTTGCTGATTTTTTTTTTTTTTTTTTTTTTTTTAACGGTCCTTAATTAATAAAAATTACATTTAAGTGCAACAAATATTTATCTCTGTTTGTCTAAGATATTTTTTAAGCACCCAACTACTGTCAGCGGAGAGAACCAGAAAAGATAATCACGAGAAACTACGCGAATACCAAAGACATGATGAAGTTACTGGTAAGAAGACTGATATAGACTGAGAACGAAAAACTACAGGTAAAGATATCTTGGCTCGTTTTAAGAATTTCAGTTTTTATTTTAGTTATATTTTGGTAAGGAACGCTTTCGACTTGTTTGTCTACAGGGAATCGTTCTTCAAGTAATCAATGGAACCTATCACTCGCGCCTGTCTTTAATTTGACTCACCGCTGGCGAGTTTTGTTCAGGAACATCTGTACTTGTCGTGACTAGTCCTGCTTTTGCCTGAAAAAAAAAAAACAGACTTAACCCATTTGTTATAAAATGAAGAATAACGGCAATCGAAATTGTCATAGGATTGAAAGAAAAGGCATAGTAACGACATAATAAAGTCATTTGTAAAGAACAATCAGCAATGTAGGGTTTGAACGCTTTTAAATTTAGTGCTGTGGAGCCAAAATGATCATACTTCAGCGGAACAAGCTGAAAATTTCCGAGGAGTTGGAGAGAACTAAAAATAGAAAAAAACAGTGTGCATGAAGCGCATGAATATGCGAGTGATCAATTTGCGACAACATAAGTTTTGCATCTGACTAGCTGAGTAGAAAGTTAAGTGTTTCAGTTGAAAAAAAGAGGAAAACCGGCAATCTAACTGTCACTTTCTTACTTACCATTGGCTGATTTTGACCTTGATTTGTGCTTGTAACCTCATTGGTGTTAACTTTATCGGCTTGTTGATTTCCTGCTCGAAATTTTCAGAAAGGAGAGTTTGTCGTTTTAGAGATAAAATCTTCATCGAGGACGTACAATGAGAAAACCTTCCTTTTAGAATGCTTTCTTCTAAAGATTCTTGAACAAGAGATTTGTTCGTTTGCACACCCCCTTCAGTCACATGTTTAGAGTAATGTTTTAGTTCAGTTCAGAGTGTTCCGTTATCTACCTCGCTGTGCGCCTGATCGCGCATGTTGATTTTTAAATAGGATATGATGTAATCATTTCGAATGTACTAGACTGTTTTGCATGTCTACATAAATCAAGCCTATATCAAGATGTTGCTTTAACCGGTAAGAAAATAGACTGAGCTACGTGTTCCAGATCTAGACTATATAGGTGACTTCATTTCTACGACATGAACCACACTTTAAGGCTGTGGAATCTAGGCTATTAATCGTTTAGCTGTACCATCAACCTTCAAACCGTCAAAAATGTACCCGTAGGCAACCGCCAAAAATCAAGAAATCTTAACGGTCATTCATAAATTAAACCGAGTCTGACCAACCTTAGCAAACCAATTCGTCGTTATGCTTCCTGAACTCTTGCATAAAATTTATTCAACGCGATCTTAGACGGTTTGCTTTCTTTAAATCTTGCCCAGCCTTTTCAGCCGAACTCAAGAAGACGCCAAATATTTCACATTATTTAACCTCCAATAAGCAAATGATTACTATAGTTAACCTACAGTTCATTTAGCCAGACTTATTCGAAATACAAGTCCCATTTTGTATCATTCTTTTTAGGCAATATTTCAGGAAGAATTATTAGCATCCAATTATAAAAATAATTTGAGACAAGACTCATCGATGGCTAAACAGAAAACAAAGAATGCAGATGGTTTCAAAATAAGCCGACGAGCTTGGTAGGAAGGGAAAATCTGAGTGAGGATTCAAACAAAAGCACTTTCGATATCGCGTTTCATTTAGAGTCCTTGTTTCTATGTAGGCGGTGTTCTACTCCTATAGAAAGTGTCAGTACTCACCTTCATTGCATTTACCGTTAAGCACTTTGGTTTTGACGAAGATAACTTCGTCGTCTTGGGATCGTGTTTTCCTCGACGTTCGAGGTATGAGGCAACATTTTGAACATTCGCAGTTTTTAAATTGACAAAAAGCCTTATGACCTTTTAAGGTAGAATTAATGTCATGACATTTACATCTTCTACAGTATTTTGGCAAAGTTGGTGCCTTCCTAATGTCTTGACTTGACATTTTTCTGAATTAAGGGAAAACGTTCTGTAACTGAAAGCGACGTTCAACCGCCTTTGCATTAACTTTGAAAAATTGCACGATGACTTTGACCTCTTCGGAAATGCTAGGATTACATCCGATCGCTCTGAAATTTCGGCTGTAGCATGTAAACATTCTAAGCCAATTACATGGCGAATTATCAAACGTGACCTCGGGAGCCCGATCCGAAAATTATTTGCGTACGATTTCAGTCTGCGATAATGGCGTCCGATGCGAAACGCTGGAGATACAGCGTAGCTAAGGCTTTAGAGGTGATTTTTGACGATGGAAGTGAGCATGGTGGTATCTCTAGTGGTGAGGAATCCGAATTAGATAGAAAACTGGAAAATCCTAGCGAAGAATCGAGGTAAGTAATCTGTAAACATTCTTGCGATATTTAAATGCTTGACGCATGTGGTGTTGAAACATTTACTTTTACTACTTTTCGCGCACGAATCCTTGTTTTTTGCCTTGAGGCAAACCTGTAAATGTATATTTGTGAATGAAAAGCAACATATATTATGATCAAACATGATTTTTGAGCGACAGAGAAAATAATCTTCAATGGAATGTTAGAACGCAACGACCTAAATTATCAGCCGATGACAGATATGACGCAGTGTCCGTCCGAACTAAATAAAATAAAATCTTTTATTTTTAAAACGGTAGCTGAATATATATCGACCTGTACATTATCTTATATGTTTTGTATGTTTTTTAAATGTGGTTCTACTTGTTATGCTCAAGAATGAGTGGAATGATATAAAATGACAGTTTCCGGTTTCACTTCTGAATTGTCTACTCTTGAAAATACTGGTGGTGCATTGCAAGTGAAAGGCTTTTGATATATGTTGCGCTTTATGTATTTTGAGGTTGATTATCTCATTTGTCCCTGTTTCAAGGCAAAATTTCAGAAGTCAAACAAAGAAATATAGTTCCAATGGTTGCACTGTAGACTTCAAGAGGGATTAAGGCAGGGGTCGCACTAGTGCTTTTGGTGTTTACATTGGACATAAAATCTGTCGCATGTTTGCGACAAGTGCGACCCTTTTGTCGCGCCCAGACATAACTATGTCCGAAGGACCTAAAGATCAGACAAGCCGATGTCCTGCCTCAAAGCAGGTCATATCTTGTCTAATGGCCTTAAAATAACAATTTTTTGTTTTTCTTCTGTCGTCAACGTCAATCAAATCTGAAATACGGGCAAAAATTGGAGTTTTGCAATTCTGCAAAGACAACACGTGTGCACTGCTAGCTACAGCTATCGGGTTAAAATTTTAGTCACCGGTTTTCTCTTCAAACGTT